AGACGAGTAGAGTTTGCAAACCCAGACAAAAATCATTGCAAAGCGGTCTCATTTGTCAGATCTGGACACCTGTCACTTTTTCTCATTCACCTAACTCACAACCTGCTTCAAAAAAAAATTCGCTAATAGCAGTAAAGCTCATCCCAATGTGCTTTTTGGGTATTTTCAGAAAATCCATTAAAAGATCTACTGAGTAGACTTTTTTAAGTACAATTTTTATATATTTTTAAATAATTGTATACTCTAATAAAGCTGAAAATGCGAAAATATTTGTCTACGGTACAGGTGTTAGGATATATTGCCAAGCAACTTTCATTGTTTAAAAAATTAAAACAACAAATCTTACATACATACTATACTTAGGTGCACGAAAACAAATATTTCTCAACAACTAAAGTCAAATAAGAATATAAATGTACCTGTAGACAAATTATATTCGCGTAAACATCTAATAAAAATTTCAACAACAACAAAATCGTGGAATACATGTTTGCAGTGCTATTGTAAATCATTATGGTGGTTGGTGTATCAAAATTCTGGAGTACTATTAAAGGCTTAAATGTAGAAATATGAAACGGCGGTTTAGTTGCTCGTTCGTTCGGTTTTTATTTAAGAGATGGCGTTATTGTCCATAGTACTAGTGTTACGTATCGCATCATGTCATACTATACGGCGCTGAAAACGTGTTTATTCGCGCTAAAAGTTTGTCCTTGACAGTTTTTCGATTGATTGACTCAGTACGTTGTAAGCGCTCGTCAAAGATGGACACCAGCAAAGAGAAAATTTGCTATATTTTACAATTTTTCTTCGATCAAGGCGAAAAAGCAGCCAAAGCGGCTGAAAAAATTAATTTAGTTTATGGGCCCGATACTGTAAACGAACGTGTAGCACAAAAGTGATTTGCTAGGTTCCGTTCCGGTAATTTACTTAATATTATGGTTTTAAGATTTTTAATCTTAGGCAGGTAAAGTACAATATATAGTGTAATCACTATCGATCTTCTATCCACAGTACACAATACTAGTGTCACATCAACCGCCTCTTCAGATGTTGTTGACCTCTTAGTTTTTTTTACGTACGGGGAAAAAAATAAGTCATTCAGATCCAAGTTAGGACTATACGGTAGATGACTCATTGTATCGATGTTTTAATTGCTCAAAAATTTAGTTGTTTCAGTCGATGTGTGAGAGCTCGCATTGTTGGGGTGAAGAGTGACCCGTGATTTTCTTGAAAGACAACTGGCAAACAAATGGTTGTGTACCACTCAGAATTAACTGTTCTGCTTTGTTTTAGTGGTATAGTTGGGACATGTCCAGTTTTTCCAAAAAAACAGGCAACCATTTGCTTGGAAGTGCTTCGGCCGCGAACAACTTTTGTTGGATTCCGCTCATCTGGAAACAACCATACAGTCGAAATCCGCTATTTAGCACCTATCATGATGTCAGAGACGTGTTCCGAGGCACCGCAATCGAATTCTCTCACTCTCAGATTAATAGGTTACAGGACGATCTTGCAATATCAGTTTGCGCACAGCATCAATAGTTTTAGGAACAATAACTGATGTTGGACGACCTTCACGAAACTCGTCTTGGGGTGATTTACGACTTCGATTGAATTCACCATGCCATCGATAAGCACTGTCCATTGATGGAGCTTCATCGCCAAAAATTGAATTTAGTTCGTTGATGCACTGTTGCTGAGTTAACCCACGACGAAAGTTGGAAAAAATAAACGCGCAAAAATGTTCGCGACTTAATTCCATTTTTTGACCGGGATGAATATTTTAAACTACTGTGCACAACACAAATAGCGCTGCTATGTCAAAACGTTCTAAGTATGGATAAGATCAAAAATGTCAAACTTTACGATTAAGTTGTGAGTTGCCAGATTGCAACATTAAGGTAGCTAAGTCCTGACTTACGTAAAATAAACTCATAGGTCCCTATCGTCAAACTTTTTGAGCTTTTATTAACTGCATGCAATTTTTACTTAATTTCTTTTCGTGCCACCCTAATATACCCATATGTTTCTAAACATTTATAATGTAAACATTTCTATTGAATTTCAACATTTTTAATAATTAAAGCCCTTACTTTTTTTAACCAGATTCAACCAATTAAAGCAATTAAGTTATTAAAACAGGTGCCAAGCGCAGATATATTTAGCACATATGCTCTTACAGATATAGAAATTTAAACAAAGGAAATAAGCCTGTAAGAAAAACGAACAAATTATGTTACAATTTCAGCAAAATATTAAGAATTCTTACAATATTAAAGTTGTCATCTTATCTTTTTATAGATTTGGAAATCAACCCTAATTTTAAATTTTTCATTTTTATTTGGCTCATATTGATGGACGAGAGACGGCCATTAATAGAAAAACAATTTTGATCTTGGAAACTGAGAACGAACTCAGACTTTATGGATGGAAACTGCTTGCCTCTACAAATTATAGAAAAAAAGGATTTTTAAAAAGTCTATCCTACTTTGACAAAACCTCAACAAAAGTTTTGAAGAGGCTCCGAAATTATTACTGTCCAAAATCCTCGAAAAAGTCAACTACTGATTGACGTAATATAGGCACGTATTAATATGTGTCATGAAAGTATTTTAATAGAAATCATTTAACTTACAATGAGTTACACAATGATATGTGGAGCAACGGCAAAGACACATGGTATACTCGAATTCTTCGACATCGAAGAAAAACTCACCGAATATTTCTCTTACTCCATTCCTCCAAAACCTCAGACACACTCACATCCCTAGTGAAAACAATACTACAAGTCCGATTCGGCTCAACGTTGTCGTCTAAAAGAATGTACTTATACGGTAAGATTTCTTGTGATAGTGAGCGATGAGGCTAAGTAATTATTGAAACGCCCTTTTATAAATGAAAGAAATATTGCGTAGCGGATAAAATTAATCACGAATATCAGAGAAAAAATATTTTTGGCGGAGGACTTTCACCGTTACACCGTTAAAATTAAGACCTCATGCTTGGAGATTCTATCTTAGAGATGGCTATCAACACCAATTTTTCAAGAGTACCAAGCCACTCTAATGTATATATACCAATACATTTCATAGCAAATTACTTAACAACAGGCCCCTTCTCTTCGGTACACCGAGTCAATTACCAAGTCGACGGGGGGGAAAGACTCATTATCTCAATTTGTAATTTCGCAATTAATTCTTATCGTCATTACTCACCAAATCAACAAACAAGTACGCGAGTAGCTTAATATATTTATTGTTGTGAAAATAAAGCACTACTTAGAATGGTATTTGAATTTTAATATAAGTACATGTATATATGTACGTATGTACTCCGATAAGTACGGATTTTAATGTAAGGGCGCACTTTAATTGATTCTTATGCGGTGCGCACATGCGGACACCTCTCAGAATATCAATAACTGAATATCAGTATAGTAACCGGAAGAGCTGTAAAATTAGAGGTTATTTTAAACTTGACCTATATTCGAATATGGACGTGTTTTTAGCATACATATATACAGATATTTAGATATACACGCGTATTTATATAAATTTTTTACTTACTTACATACTTTTTTCTGCGCCATTCACAAAAAAATTCGAGGCAATGGAAAACATGAATTTAACTATTTCGTTATTTTTGATGGAAACGCGTCCCAAACGGAGCCAAGCAGAGTCGCTGGCCACAAACGGAAATCGGCACAGGGCACCGTGCCTTGTTGATCGATGGTCCGATGGCTCAGTGGACCACCGGCGTTGCGCCACCGCATGCGCATGCCCAACTGCGCCACCTGCAACAATTGCAAAAAACACACACCCATATATATACCTATATACATACATATGTACATATGCAAACGTGGTGCCGACGTATAAAGCCGACGTATTGCACGAAACGAAATCAGAGTTTTGTGGTCATCGTCAATTGGCTAATGCGTGTGGCATAAAATTTGCGTGCGTGCGCCAAAACGGGCAAACTCCCCACCTGCACGCCGATTATGCCAACATACACGTTTGCATGCGATGAACTTCCGCCGGCACTGTTGCTCCACGGTGGGTGTCCACGCCTCTTTGCCATTTGCCGTTTATACCGACTGGTGGTCGGTGGCGGTCAGTTTGCACCCAGCCTCGTGTAGGCACACGAACTTGCCGGCACATATAGGTAGGTACTGATTCCCTTTAGCCACTAATTCGCTACCAAGCGCCAAAGCTCAGTATATAATATATGTATGAAAAAATGTATGTAAATATTTTCACATATGTATGTATGTGTATGGCGGCGATCCGCGGCTACTGATTGAATTTCAAATTACTCAATTTTTGTAGCCGCAAATTTGCGCTGAACCGCAACTTGCCTGGGAAACTGTACGACAAGCATTGCAAAAGGTTCTTTGCTTTTCGGCATTGACGTTTGTACATAAAGCCAGTCGTCTATATATATACATACATATAGTATATATGCACAAGGCATGAGTACACACTGGCGGCGACCACCGACTGTCGACCACCGTGGTCGCAGCAAGCCTCAATCCATGAATCAACTGTGAGTGAGTTGGTGCCTGCAAATTTCGGTGTCGGCGACCACACGGTCGAGTAATTAACGGATGCGATATGATAATTTCGAAGGTAGCAATTTAAAGAGAATAATGCGACAATAGTATGAACGCGTGTGTTTATATAATTATATATACCGTAGATATAGATACAAGCTCGCCAAAACCAAAGTGGGTAGAGAAGGATATGTAGATTGTGCGATGGTGAGCGTGCGATTTTACGAGATACCAACTGTTGCCGATATCTCTAAAGCTAACGCAAATCTAGAAATTTTGGAGCACTAAGCACTTTTTTTGGTTCTGGAATTCGACGCTTTGAAGTGGTTTCCAACTGTATGCGTTGTGATGGAGCCTTCTTAAGGTTTTTACCAGTCGCTTCACGGTTTTACCAGTCGCTAAATCGACTCCCAAAAATTTATAATTAATTGTATCTTTGCTTCTTAGGAACTACTTCTCAAAACCACCTCTAATCCCAAAATGGAATAACAGTCGTGAGCAAACAAGTGTTAACAAGCCACCGCGCCAAGTGGACGAATGCTAAAGGTAGTCGTACAAGGTTAGTCTACTATTTCATCTCATTATTTCTCATTCGCTAATTTCTACCACAGAGGTGACATCCCTATACACAAATTCTATTAAGTAATGCTGCCGAGTTAACAGCTCTTGACTCGATATAAATACGTTCCGCTTACGTTAATTTTACTGTCTTTAAAACGAGATATCCCTTTGCCAGTACTATTACTAGTAGCTAACATATTAAAGAAACTCAGAGCGGAGAGAAACTCAATTTCTCTTGAACACCGATAAAATTGACAGTCAGATAAAAATCAATATAAGATAACAAACTGATCTCCTCCGGTTGCATAGAACCAGCTGTCCGGGGAAAGACATTGGAAAGTACCTTAGGTATCAGGATGACAGCTTAACCTCTAATATTATTGAAATGTAATGCTATTTCGCAAGTTTAAGAAATTTTCTACAGTTTAGTGTAGTAATGTTAACTGTTAAATAAACCCTGGTTTGCATTATCAAATCTAGATTTAACGATAAAATTATTATCGGATTTAAAAAACTGAAATCTTAACCGTTTATCAGGTTATCCCACTAAGCTTATTTAACCCTCCCATTAAAGCCCTCGATAAGATAACCGGGAACCAAAACTGAAGAATGAAATACCTTCGGTCGAAAACACATTAAATTAATACCGAAATTCGTGTTAAGCGACAGGATGGAGAAAGTAGAACTGCGGCCTCAAGTCTCTTTAGGCCATCTAAAGTCCACACAAGCAGTAAATAAAATGTTTGTTGTTCTTTCTCTCTTTTGCAATTGTAATTAGCAAAATATTGCGAAATTTCAAGGAATCCCACCAAGTCAAAATGAAGTGATTGTGTCGGATAATGGCAAGCATATGCGGTTTTCGTATCTTTTGTCGAAGAAGCAAAATTCGTATGTGTAAATATCGATTTATGTGTATTTATGTGTTAGCTGTGCAAGTGTTGTGGTGATGGTCAAGTCATATTTCCACATACATATGCACGCGTAAATCAAAGACACACTACCGCCAATATTACCACAAACTTAAACCACAAGATTAAAACTCGTAAATAAGTATTTGCTATGCATATAGGTTTGTACATACTCGTATATAAGTATGTAGTAAATATAGTAAGTATGCAAATGCTGGTAGTATTCCCCAAACGAGGCTTGGTGTTGTATTTACGAGTGTAGACGCAATAATTGACGAAGCGTAAAAATACATTCCAGAGGCATTCGTCCATATCGTTAAATCTTCATACAAGCTTAGATCAATAAGACATTGCCAATTCGGTAGGGCTGCCACTTGAGTTTTATTAAAAATTTCAATAAATAGCAACATAGATATAAAAAGTAGACAAAGACGATTTGGTAGACTCAATAAATACATATATAATTCTACAAAAGGCGCTTTTTGTTATGAGTTAAGTTCATTCCATTTCATAGAAAGTTTGTTATTGCTAGCCCGATATTGCACTATTCTCAATCTACAAAGCAATCTTTGTATGGTAAAGCCAGTATACTCGAAAATGCTATTATTTAATAAATGGGATCCACGACAATATATATCGACGAATTTTTATTATTTAAATTTTCAGATGTTTTCATCACACCAGGACTACAATATATCTTAATATCTTGCTCCTGCGCCACAGCATTTATATTAATATTATATTAACATATAAACGACCTAACATAGAAACATTCCTTCAGCTATTTATACAACGCTCTATCGATAATATGTAAATTCAAGTGTCGACTAATCTTACGTTGTCTTCTATAACCTTTCGTACCACGTACTATAGCTTGAAAGTTATGATGATAAAGGACCTAACCTCTCAATTGCTTATTTAAATAATTTTAGCCGTCTTCGCTTGGTCATTTCCCTGCGGTCTTGTCAAAAATATTTACATGTGAAAGCAACAGTTTCGAGTTGAATTGAAGCAGGAGAGTTTGCGTATACTTCATTAACTTGGTATAACTTCTATCTTCAATGCTGCTAAATTTTGCTTTGCATAGTTTAGCTCACTTTTAATATTGTGAATGGTTTAAATCACAAATTGAATTACACATTTCTTTTTTCTCTTGTATTTTTAAAACATAAGACTTAAAATTAAATATAATATTTTATATAAAACCAAAACAAATGGTTACAGCAACATAACACTACTGCGCATACGTCAGAAGATATGTTAGTGCAGGATTCCACCACAAGTGCTGCCCGTTTGTTTAAGCATCTGTTATCGTTTGTTTGTTTCACTGGAGAGTAACGCTTGGCGAATCGAAGACAACTTCTGTTCTGCATTCAGTTAACTAGCTTGCCTCAGCATCTAAATGTCATGAATGGTATATAAGCTCACAGATGCATGGCTGTGCGAACTTTTGTAGGCGTACAACTGGAATATTTAAACAAATTAACATATTTTTGTGCAAATTAACACTTAGCAGACTTTGAGCAAAGACTGGCTGCGAAATCACAACTGCATCACAATTAATTCCGCTCATATAGATAATACGTTTGCATATATATATTTACAGTATATGCAACAAAATATACTTGGCTTTTGTACTCTTGAAAAAAACTTTGCTTTATTTACTCGCATTCAACTGTTACCGATCATACGGATATACTTGTACATATATATGTACATACATATGAGGAATGCGTTTGGCAAGCGTTCGCTTCGGCGTCTATTATACTTTTGTCTAGACAGTTGTCTTATGAGCAATAACAGTTATAATCTGATTGTAATGCTTTTTACAATATTTAAAACTACTTAAAGTAACTGAAATATTTTAATGTTGCCATCGATCCACCAGCCGTTATCCGCACAACAAAAAAATACGAAAATTTGAAGTCACAACAATTTCAAAGTAAATGTCAGTCACAATAATATTGTAAAAAAAGTGTTTCTTGTGAACTTTTTTAAAATTTCTGTTTTTTTTTCTAAAATAGGTTTTAATCTTCGTCTGTCGTGGTACTACCTGGAAAGTTCTTTTTAGATGTCTTAGCTTTGACCCTGTTATTATTAACAGGCTATATTTAGCTTGCCACGAAGTTTGTGACAACCAGAACGAAACAATGGAGACCCTACATATAAACTATACTTTATATATAAAGAAGCACCGTAATAAGTTGAGTCAATTGAGCCGTATCAGTCTGCCCGTCTCTCTGTCTGTATATCATTTTCTCCTCAAGAAGCTGCTCTTTTGTCGGAACAACCGATATCGGACTACTATAGGATATACTTAGCTGCCTTACAAACTGATCGTTCAAAATCAAATCATGATAAGGAAATTTTTTTTATTTGACAAGATATATCTTCATACAATTCAGCATGGATTATTATCCAAGACAATTCAACGATCTTCGAACATATTTTACAGATGGGACCACATAGCATATACATATACGAAATTTGACAAAGATTATAACTCAAGGCAACGATACAATATCCGAACAAATTGTTCACATTGAACCACTATAGCGTATAGCTGTCTGATCAAAATCAAGATAAACATCTTTTTATACCCTTTTTAACCCCTGTGAGGGTTATTATAGTTTCGGTGCAACCGAAGTTTTTTTTTTTTTTGTTTTTACTGTTTTTCGCAGTATAAGTTTTTTATAAATGGCAACTATTAATAAAAAAATAATTTTTTATACTCTGAACAGAATATTTTAAGCACGGAATTCGGAATGAGTTATTTTTTAAGGCTACAATGCAATCTCTGAGAAAATTGTTCAGATCAGATCACTATAGCAAATACAGCGTGGCTCACGAATCGTCCTACAAAAACAAACCGCAATAACTTTTTTTAATCAATGCATTACATTTATTTTTTTTTATTGTACAGCAATTTTTTTTTTTTTTTTTGTATAATTGATTATTTTTAAAAATTATGGATCAGCCACGCATATGTGACACCGTATTAGAAGATTATTCATTGCAGCCTGAAGGGTTGAAGGCGGGATTCAATTCAGTCCGATTTCTCAGTTGGATTTTGTACACCTCTTCCTTGCCATAAGCCCATAAAAAAAAGTCTGGTGCAATCAGGTCAGGTGACCTGGAGGGCCAGCATTATGTGGAGTTTCTTGATATTAAGTTCTTTCCTAGTTTTCGTTGGAGCGTTGCAATAACCGGTCTGTCTATGTGCAGTTGCTCCATCTTGCTGGAATCAAACGCTATTGAAAGGGAAACGTTTTTGTTTAGATCAAAATGGGCCTCATCAGACATAAATGGTTAATTTATCAAGTTATTGTCTTCTTCGGCCATTTCAGTCATTTTTTGACAAAATTTTAGGCAAATAGGCAAATGTAGAGGGTTTGTTTCTTGAACACGAACATACGGATCTCGATGGTACGGTCTGCTTGCGATACTTCCAGAGTTGGCAAACATGTTTACCAACCTCATATTGGTCCAGCTACTATAAGGAGTGCCGCTAAAATCCCGTCTAAATTGCCTTTGAACGGAAATGACGGACTGCAAAGCATGGTACCGCTGCACTATCCAAACGCTCTTTTCGGCATCCCAAGCATGCAGTTTTAACAAATTTAAATAATAACCTACCAAATAAAAGAAAACGTAAATCGATTACTCACACAGAAAAAAAGTTATACTTGTAACGGGTTGTTTTTATAGCACGATTCGTGAGCCAACCTGTAGCTACCATACAAACTGAACGAACGGAATAAGTTCTTGTAAGCAACCTTTTGTATTTGTGAAGGGCATTATAGCTTCAGTGAAACCGAAATTAAAGTTTTTTTTTGTTTTTGAGTGCTTAAGGTAATTCTATCTAAAACGTCGTTTTTTGAATATCTAGAATACTTATAGATTTACTTTTCTCCATAAATGGTAACTCTATTCAAAAGTATGTGTTCACAATATTTTTGTTGTTGTCCTCATATCGTTAAGTGTTGTTTTGTTTATTGCTTCAACAATAATACTTGTTAAGGATGTCATAGAATACACATGATCACACTATCATAAACTTTGGTATTCTACCCCAATTCACCTACCTAACCTCAATTCTTCGGACTATGACGCGTGTGATTTAAAACTCGTCATCAAAAAGATGAGTCATTACAGAAAACGCGATAGGTTGGTAAAACGGAAACCATTACATTCTATACTCATTAAACGTGAAACACAAATGATTTGAATTATTTTCGGTGTCTCTAATCCACAGTAGTTCATTCGCATTTATAGTGCAAGTCTCCATGAGAGGAAGACAGCACAGACATGTTATGTAGCTAATTTATTCAAATTTTCGGTTTTATAAAAAGTTTTGCCATGACAGAAATATACTCGCAGGTTTGGTATTACCTGCTGAGAGGCTAACACCATAACACAAAAATATCCTTGCTGCTTTATATTTTTACCTGAGCACCACAAGAGTCAAAATACTTTGTTGGCCACCGGCATATTTGTATATAAAATATAATCATATAAACATATGGTATATATAAAAATAAAAAATATAGTCACAAAAAAGGTTCAGCAAGAGTAACGTTAGATTCTTAGCAAACTCGCAGTATAAGCGGCTAAGTTCAAAGAACGAATCTAATCACTAATATATACGTACATAAGAAGTATAGACAAATACCAAAACATCTAACAAAGAAAAGCACTTGTGACAGACGGCTGCCGTTGTTCCACTGAAAGCGCCAACTAATTCCAACCGCAAACTTAATTAGTGTCATATTACTGAGGCATGAACAGTTCTCGATTCAAAATTCCTCTATACTCGTATTCTCGCTAAGCCGACAGCGATAGTAATTCAATGAAACATATTGCAACCCTACACAAATTGACTGCATATATAGGGTATATTTTATGTCAACACATTGAAGAGCTTAATAGCCTTTTATTTTTAAGATATTTTTTTTTAATGTGACCTTTATTCCTTATTCGGGCAATTTGAACGAAATTATAAACCGAACATCACATAGTGCTGTCAGGCATGGTCTATTAATTAATCTATAAGTGATGGAAAATATGTCACACCCTTTATGTTAAACACTCATTAAATACCTCGATATCGACATCAATATTTATATACTTTACTTTTCAACTTTTGCACCCTTTTCTTCTGTGCTTGCTGAAAACTATTCCATTGTGCTGCGCTATGTTTTGTAGCTGCAGTCGGTTAACTGTCAGAATATGCTCCCCCAGTGCTAAATGTCAATTTTATGCTCTACACAAGTTAATTCGGCATAAAGTAAACAAATTAGTAGCTGACACACATTGGAAGCGAAAGACAAAAGACTTAAGACACAAACTTAGCCAATCAATTTGCTCGCTCACGACAATGTAGCAGATATTTCACCTCTTACAAGTATATTAATTATTAGCAAAATATTTGGCAGTAATACACAGGACAACTTTTTTAAGTGTTGCTTTCCGATATGTTAATGTGCTACATATACCAGGGTGGTCCAATGAATACTTCACAGCATCCGATGGCGCAACTATCGCAAGAAAACTTTACTATCGTATAGTACGTAAGTTTTTTGACCGCTTCTGGAAGCGGACCTTTCTGCAAATTTTAGAAAAATTGAAAAAATCGTTAATTGGATTTTTGTTTTTGAAAAGGAAATTGCGAAATATACGAAAAAGTGCTTGGATTAACGACTTTCAACATAATGAACCACCGCCTTATGGCCCAAAAACGGCTACCACGGCTAAATTCGGTTACGAACTTTGGCACCATATTCTCCATATCTGGCTTCAAGTGACTTCTTTTTGCTTTCAAACTTGAATATATCGAGCTTAAAGGAGACTTCGGTGAGCAATTTATTGCCTTTTATAGCCTAAATATGATATTTGTCGGACCGCTTGAAAAGTCTTAAACTTGTATGATATTCCTAATAGTTTCTAATTAACTTTTTGATGCTTGATCAACTTTACCTCTTAATTTTGGGCTTTATCAGTGTCCACGAGTGTGTTTACAAGTACAAGTACTATATAAAATAAATATTGATATAGCTTTCGATTATTTTATACAATCACTACTGGTTATAAGTAACTCATGTGAGAAATAAAATAGAAAATGTTTTTTTTTTTCATTCTGCGTCCGCGCTTGCAATATCTTATGAACGTAAGAATCTATATATGGTATATGTTTTTGAAAATCGAAGAGAGCAAAATGTTGTTTTAATAAAAACTGCTTTCAACTCACAGAATTTGTATCTAGCAGTCATTTTTTAACAATATTAGCATAGTAAAGCCTCTCATATCGCCAGATGTAAAGTCAAATAGTATCCGAAATGATTTTATTGAATTCACTTCCAGCATTCTTCTGAGCATCATAAGCATCTGCTCCAAAAACCCACTCTAATATATCGTGTAACCAAGCACTTAATCGACAATGGAATAAATGCTCGGAAAAGATATGTCGGGTGGACTAAGTTCGTTAATTCGAATTCTTTCTCCGTTAAGATTATATTATAAGGTAATATTTTTGACATGGAAAAACTTAATTATAGCCATCATCAAATCAAAACACCTTCAAACATTATTGAATAACTGTAAAGATGATGACTTTTGAAATAAATATCATTGTCTAACTTAAGATTTAAGAGTCTCAATAAAGCAGTTAAGGGCGTACGACTAGGATTTGAAAATTTTATAGTCAAGTTCGTAAGAAACAGTAATACCATAAAACATTGCGAGAATTCGAGAAATTTTGTTAGGTTACCGTTAAATTTAATAAAATTGAGTGAGTTAGTTAACATCAGTAAATCTGAAAGTAACGCATAGATTATATTATTCTCGAATTTGTACAAATAAAAAGGATTTGCCCGTGTTAAGAAGCTAAGAAGAAAAAAAATTGTTCGGCATTCAATCTTTGACTGATCGAACGCGACAAGAACGAGATTCTGCGCCGATTTGTCATAATGGGTGAAACATGGATACATCGTTACACACCTAAGTCCAATCCGCAGCCTGCTGAATGGCTGTTTCCGGTTGAAAGTTAAACGACGACGAGCCGGAAAGAGACCGAGCAATTATTTTCATCAACTATCTCTAACATCGTAAAACTCTCTATAAGCGTTATTGGACCAATGGACATCGGGAATAATGTTAGGCTCCATTGTTAGGTGAAGCACTTTCCAGCCCATGTAGTAGTTAAAAATGTTTCTGAATAATCAAATTCTAGTATATTCATATAAAAAGTGACTTTACATATTTACCTACTTTACTTTATTTACAGGTTGACTTGGCGTAAAAAATTCAATGTCTGTGTCAGCCGGTCGCGCATGCGCTTTAGCACGTGCTATACGAAAAGAAAACTGTCAGTTTTTTTTAACGTTTCGATTTTTTTTCAACACATTTAAACCGTTAGCTTAACCGGCCGTTGTCCCGATCGGACCCATATGTCATCTCGTCTGGCATGCGTTAACCAAGCGGAAACTGTAAAACGGTAGCAATCGGATGAAATACGCTCGACTGCCCACACATCGATGAGTTACCTGTGGTTATATGTACCATAGATGCCCTGACCAAAATATATATATATGTATGTATGTATGTATTAACAAAGGCACGCATCCAGAGCAAATTTGATACATTCAAAAAAAGTTGCAAAACTTTTTTACTGTTGGCACGACATGAGGTCTAAAATCAGTTAAACAAAAGCGATTGCACTTATGGGGGGCGCTTGAACTGTTCGTGTATTAAATTTCTTCGCCAGCCAGTGATTTAAGCCCGAAAAAAGTTGATTTTTTGAATTTTCCAGTTGACATGGCACAATTTTCTTTCGAATACACTTAATCACATGTGGTTTTTTGCTACTTAAGGCGCATGCGCTTATATACGTACAAACAGGTATTTAAACTTTGTGTAAATATGTATGCATATTGTACATTTAAATACGGTACTTGTGTATCAGATTCTTGTAATCAAAACTTAATGGCGATAAAGGACAAGTTGGCATGGACCACATGGTAATATGACGCCATGGCGCTGGTGTGGCGACCTCAATCACTTAACGAACAGCAATTCCTAACATCGGCCAGTCGCAACTGCTTCGTACTTTTATTTTATTTTCCAAAATTAATATGAGTTTAAATATTTAGTTTTCAACAACACGAATTTTAACGGTAATGTCCAATTTGCGTTGGCATTTGAAGCTTTTGCAGTATTTTAGATTTTGTCGCGGTCGAAACTCGAACTCGCAGTTACGCACATGACAGTAACGATGAAAGCCTAAATATGACAACCATTATCATTTACTATTTATAACAAAAATGAAAAGAAAAGATGTTAAAGATCTAGTAAAAATAAATGTATTATTTTTGTATTAAATGTAAGGTATAATTTAGCATTGTTATAATGATTCGATTTAGGTTAAATTCCAGGATGCGTAAGAACCTCCATAGCCAGCTCCGGGAGCTCCTTGTGAATCTCTATCGAAGTGTGCGGCCTGGCGTTGTCCTGATGGAACACAATTCCTCTCCTATTGCCCAAAGTGAGCCGCTTCTTGGCGATTTCTTTCTTCAGACAGTCCAATTCTTGACAGTACAGGGCCGTTTTAAAAGTTTGGCTATAGAGGAACAGCTCATAGTAAAGGATTTCCTGCCAATCCCACGAAACGCGTATAAACACCTTCCTGACCGTTAATCCTAAATTGGCCATCGTTTGCATCAGCTCACCGCGATTCAACCACGACTATTTTCGGTGGACGTTGTCGCAAGTGACATATTTAACATCACCAGTAACCATCCGCTTCAGAAATGGATCTATTTTGTTGCGATTCAGCAGTGATTCGAAGAACGGTTTTTCCGTGCATGATGTGTTTTATTTTGTGATAACTCGTGAAATACTACTACATCGTATCCACATTTAAATGATTCTAAACGTTCTTTTGTGCAACGTTTAACTCCTGTGCAATGGAAACAGTGCTTTCACGACAGTCTTACTCGACAATACTCATTAGTTTGTCGATATTTGCAATAAGGGACCTTCCAGATGTTACAATATCAGGACAAAAACACTTAGTCCAATCTTTGGCCTTCTTCACGCCATAGTAACAAAAGACTACCACCTAAAAGAACAGTTAAATAAAAACCTTAAGTCGAGTATCATTGATTGTATCGAGTTAGAAGTATTGATGCTAAAATTAGAGTCCTAAAAACATGTATTGCATAATCATATAACCACAGCTAAATTTGTTGAAAACACAAACAAAACAAACAAGAATTCATTTACGGATGAAGCCTCTTTTCCTATCGAAGCGCAGTGCTCTTCGGCCATCTAAAGTCATACAAAAAATAAATTTTACACTATTGACGTTTTTTAGCCAGCTTTATTGATTCGTTAACTGTCTGCCAATAAATCTTCGAAATCGCTGAACTGTTATAATTTTAATGTTTCCCTACAAAAATTAACAGTTTATATAATACCAGAAGACCCCTGCCATGCCATGCTGTGGCTAAGGTATAATTAAATTATATTTGACTAAGCTGTTTAATATAGTAAAAATATTATTATCGAAATTAATTTCGCCATTTTTTGCTGTCAATATAGCGAAATTACCGAACCAGTTATGATTTAAGTAATTATTTTGTTTGTCTGTGAAAATACAGCCAATTAATTATTTTTTTCCATGTACAATAGCGCCAAAATTATCTGGCAATTAGCCTAATCCAATTGTAAATTGTCTGTTAGTAATGGGTCACTATTCGCGCTAATTTTAGTTAAACTACCATGGCCATATTGTTTACCATATACTTTAATATCATTCATTATACTCCAATATGTTTAATTAAATAACATAAATATACACGACGCATGTGTTAACAAAATTGTCTAATTAAAACAATAACATATCAGCAGTAAAAAAAAATTTCATTGACATTAAAAGAAAAATTTTTGCTTTTAATTTCCGATTGTCACCAAACCGTAGAGCATCACTCGCTGGCCAACCTGAAGCTCGTCCGAAAAATTTCATTGACATCGGCCCAGTCCTTTCGGAGTTTATAAGGAACATATGTACGTACAAACTTTCCTTTTTATATACTAACATATGCACAAACATACTGCATAGATTTTATCCATTTTAGCACGCCTTTCGATCAACTTCGTGCAATTGCTAAGAGTCATAATATTATTTTTTAATGTTTATATACAATACATATGTACATAGATTTGTAAAACATCCTTAATATAAAAAAAAACTAACTAAACATCTGTTAAGACCTCCAAAAATGAGACCAGATCTTACTGTTGACACCATTAGCTATATTTGAGTAATTGGAAGTCAACTTTCGGTTAACAGCGCAGACATGTATGCATACACATATGTATATACGATGTATACACTCACCTATGGGACATATTAATTTCTGCTCTTTAATAATTTTATTATTTTTTTTTTTAGAAAGTGCAGCAGGGACGAGCAAAAACCAGTTAACTTTTGCTTTCAACGTAAGATGAACAAGACAAATATGTTAAGGCGATCACTATTTCACGTTGCGCATATTCTTATAAATATGTATGTACAATACATAAGTAAATGTTTTAGGGTAGACAACTACTTGCCGCAAATGGTTTAAATTTTTTTCATATATTTTGTGGCCCCAATAGATGTCACCAACCATCACAATTCTATGTAAATATTTAAGAGAACTGTTGTTCAACCTAACTTTGTTGGTGTGAATTTTTTAGCGTCAATGTCTCGAGAATAAAAAAATATAAATTGATGCAAAACTATTGACATTCGAATCTGCATAACCAGAATGAAACCGAAATAATTTTCCACGAAAGACTCCTATTGCAAGTATTGTGATTAATGAATATGAAACTGAAATAAAAGAAAAATTATCACTTACAGTAAACGCTAATCTGCTTCGTCACAAAAGAGCCGTCGTGGTCTATTGGGTTGAGCAAGACTACTACGACAGAGCAGTATTCGATCCTTATTAAGACCAACATTAAACGTTTTCGTAGCATATTTCTTCCACGAAACTTTGTAGGTACCTCCATTAGTCCAATAACATCAAGACATACGCCACTAATAGCAGGAGAATTTCGACCGAGCATCTAACAGGGCTGTATACTAGTATGGTGGTAACTAAGCGAAGATACAAACTTCTGTTATTGAAATTATCTCCGTCGGAGGTTTTGCACCCTAATATACATATATACGAGTACATACATGTACATATATAGGTGTATGAAGCAAATTAACGCGTTCAAACATTAAAGCGCGATGATGTTTTAATAAGATTTCGTGTGATAAATGCAACTCATGCCGTGGCTGCCGCTACAGTTACTTAAGTTTATAGAGTGTCAACAAAATGCATCCTTCCAAGTGACAGCGCGCCGCTTCCTTTGAAAACTTGACTATAGGATGGCTCGGCTTGCATTGTGCCGTTGGTCAGAAATGCCGTGGAAGGTAACAATAACAATACAACGAATGCACCGATGGACCTGTCAAGATATGCAATTTGTTTTAGCACATCGTTATGGCCATCAAGCGCGGCTTTTCATCACCTGGTTGGCGAACCAATCAATTAACTCCCGAACGAAAAAGCGAACATAAAATGCATAACGGTGCTACATTCGGCAGCTCATAAATAAATTGATCGGCAGTGTGGCGTAGCTAATAATTATCACCTCATGATCGTCAACGCTTGTGTCCTCATTGTGTATAAAGCAGAACCTTCACAGTTACCCATTCCTTAACTCCACAAGGTCTCCTCTGAGCATTGCCGTGATTATGTTTTATTTATATTTAATATTTTTTTTTTACTTTTCCTTTTTCGCGTAATTGCGGCTTGGCCATAATGGTGTGCCATTTAACACCTTGTTGATGCGGCACCCAATTACAAGGCGCGAGCAGTGTGTAGTTACCCTGTGGAGACCTCAAAATCTCCTGCAATGACAATTTCACCTACAAATTATGTTTGCATAAACATCATACACAAACACACATGCATACGTTATATATTATACTATATATACATTCACATTACTTTAGGCACTTAGTTGGATTTCTGATTGCTCCTTTCGCTATCTTCTTGACTGGAGGTTACTAATTCATATCAATTCCATCTTAAAATGTTTCGCCGACTCACCATCTTATGATGCAATAATTGTGTAGTTTATTCTCTAAGTCGGTTACTGTCGAAATTTCAGTTCAATTTTCCAGTAATTTTATTTGGACAGCTTGAGGAAGAGATTGTATCCGCTGATTTTAGAAAAATGGAAAAAGTGCAATATCAGTCGTTGACTCGATATCGGAAGAGAAATCGTGTAGTGGAACTGCCAACGGTGATTTGTTACCTTCGGAAGATGTTTTATAGTATCCGCTTCTTCTACCTCCTGACAGATTCTACAATAGTCATTATATAGCGTTCCTGGTATGCGGGCATGTCTACCAATTATGCAGTGACCTATTAGCACTCCAACTAGAGTTGGTATTTCATCCCTTTAAATTTTAATTGTAGACATGTGCGCCCCGTATTCCATTCCCGCCACGTTTTCGTACTTCTTGAACAAGTCAGTGATTGATTCCACCAAGACTCAGCTACATTTAAACAGGTTTGTCGATTAAATATTCGCCAGTAGCCAGAGGCATATAAATTCCCTCTTTTCCAGAGTCTGACTGTAGGGTAGTGCCTGTTCTGGCTAGTTCAACTACTTAACAGGTACCAGGGATATTTATCGTCAAATAGGATGTTAGATCCACTAAGAGATCAAACCATTCTTTCACTAACTTTGACGAAACCCTAAGATACTTTAGTGATTTCAAAGCCGCCTGGCTATCTGTATATATAGTAAATATTATATTCCTTGTTGTAAGCACACTTCTTATGAATCGGTTTGTGCGCGCAATTTAAAATGAACCAGTCCGAGTCAAATGTGTAATATATATAAACATATGAACATACATATGTATATATTTCCAACTAATATGAACCAAAATCTGACAATTGAGGTATCGTTAACAATTCCAGTCACAGCTAAAAAAGGGCTGAAGTAATTTATAACTAGTTGATTTGACTGCAGATAATATGTCGACCACACTTCCTTACGGATCTTCGAAATGCAACGCCAATTATCATAGTATACTTTTAGGCATTCAAGAGAGCCCACAAGCCAGCGAGTGTATATTTAATATATTTTATTTTACGTTCTACACGAGCATCATTGTAAATATGTATGCTCTTTAAAATCTGTGGTAATAATGTAATTATCATATTAAGCTCTCCTTATTTCGCACCTCATCATAAGGTTACTAACATCTTAGCAGTTGTTTCCACTTGTGACTTCGGACAGCTCTTAATTCACGAAAATTTGTTTTTGTATTGTATTAGTATTTTACTTTTCTGACCAGTTAAACGACTTTCTTTTTTGGAAATTTTTTGTTTGACTTGTTGCTTTTCTCATGGTGGCTGTGTGAAATTTCCTAGCATCTGTGCTGTTATAAATAGTTATACATATATGTATGTACACTCAAATACACACATGCACACATGTTACGCTTGAAGACCTGTTTCCATACTAAAAATTTGTTGTTTGTCGCATTTATTTACATACAAAATTGTTATTTTTATTTTGAAAATTTCATTTCGCTGCAATTAAAAGTAAGCATAACCGCTTTTTAGAGGAACTTAACGTTTTGCAACTTTTAACATTTACAAAATGTATCTATGGTAATTTATTTTATTTTGTTCATTTTAATAGAAAGGAAATTTTAGACAGTAATCAAAAGCTTTATCAGAAAGATTCAAAACACATTGCTCCCCATCCAAAATAACATAACTTATAACACAACTAAAACCATAAGGTATGCATTAGTGCATGTGTTCAGACAGTATCGCTAACATTTGAAGACGATGTCTTTGACAAATATTATAAATCTTCTTTTTATACGATAATATCAATTGCGTTATTTTCCACTTATTTCACAGCATTCTGTCTATCCAATCAGATAAATTATTCAATTGATTATCTTTTGCAGAGCATTCAAAGAATTGTACGTTTTGATTAATGTGCGAAAATTCAAAGTCCTTGCTTTCTTTACCCAAAAACACTGGTTTTGAAGCATTATCCTCTCCTACAGACTGCAATTTTCGACTACGTGTTACCCGTACGATGTTCCTTGCGTAGAAAGTGATTTTAATTAGTGATTTTTGTTTACATTTTCACTTGAATTATTTAACTTACATTTCTTTTTCCAATACACTTTTTATTACTTGAGCGCCCTTTGCTGTGCTCAAATCTTGTTTATTACAAAGTACTAAGAAAGGACAAGACTGTGTTGCAGGATCGGCAAGTACGCTGTATAAAGCACTTTTATGTCAACGATATTAATAAGATAAATTTTGTTAAAATCTTTTGTAAACATTTTTATATTATTCAATATATACTTACTCCGCCACGTCGCGGACATCTTTTTGTACTGTGACAGAATCTACCACAAATATTAAGCCCTTAGCTGTACGTTTGTATTGATCAAAACACTTATCCCTCACTCTATAATGTCCAGGTATATCTACAAGACGGCCTGACATACGACCGGACCGGTACTCACCCACGTTTTCTGTGATGGAAGTGAAAGTATCTGGGAATTTTTTGTGCATCATTTGCATAAATATAGCACTCTTCCCGGATTCACTCAGACCGGTCAAAATGAAATCTCGTCGTCCAAGGGATCTTCTACGCAACAATAGTATTATTGCTACAAGGGGATTTTAAAAAGTATTTTATATTTAACGTGAAAATATATATATATGAGCACTAACCCATTACAATGAATCCCAGCACCGCAGCAACCAGTATAGTAGTCATATTCAACTCTGATACTTTGGATGTTGTATTCTCTCGTGCACTCTCTGGTATTTTATCCATTTTATATAAATTAATAATAAATGAAAAGTTTCTAATTTAAAAAATTTAATTGTGGCGCTTTGAAAAGACGAAATCACTTTGGTTAATAAGAATTCCAAACAAAAGTCACGTCAATTAGTTGACAGCTCACAGTCGACACGCATACACTAGGGTAGTAATTTTGTTGTTGAAATGAATGTATCGATAAAAATACTAAGTGATATGCGTCCTCTTAACAAATCAGACAAACTATCGATTCACGACAACAAAACTCACAATATTTAAAATTTTTATGTGTTATTATTTACTTTGCATTGTATTTAAAAGTTCTATTACAATATAGTATTATATATTACTAGTAAAAAAAACATTTTACATATTAAACAATTATATACTGGCGTAGTATTTTGTAGGAATAGGGTTAGACTTGATTTTAGATCAGAGAATGTATATTATGTGATGTTCTTATGATATACGCTCTCTGCTTAAATTATTGTTGGTCTACTGCCCGAGGGATGTCGCGTTTGCAACAATATTTCACACATATCTGAAGACTAACAGCTGTTTCAGTAGCTAAACAAAGATAAGCCGTAATATTAATTAATATTCTCAAGTTATAATTGGCATATGTAGTTGAAAAATGGCAAAACTTTTACACAGGGTAGAAACGACTTTGCGCTGCTTTTATGTTTTCAATTCGAGTTATTGTAAAAAAGAAGGCGATGAGTTCAAAAAAATACTATACTATAATCCTGAGGATATCGAACTGAACACAAAGATCAAGGATGTTGGTTTAAGCGAAGCTATTATACAGTTTACTGGGTATGCCATACCATTTTTATTGAAATGAAACTTAAGTGTTAATTTTTCACATCGTATTTAGCACCTTCGTTGGCGACGATGACTGTAAAGCGCTACATACACAGAAAACTACACAGTTATTTTATCAACCTGAAAGAGGTTACTGGATTGTACTGGTTCTAAATGTGCCAAAAGAAGTTAAATGCAAGGATAGTGTTGAGGTACCGGAATATCGTGGCGCCGAAGTACAAGATCGAATATATAGAGCCGTATTGCGTCAATGTTACAATATGTTCCGACTGAGTTGGGGTACTTTCCGTTCGAATTCGTGTGAAAGCGATGAAGAGAATGGGCGTGAGCAATTAAAAGAAAAACTTTCTACATTTTTCAATAATGTAAGTATAACTTATATTTGCTTCGGTATGAGTAAACATATTGTTTTAGTATTTGAAAACTCTGAGGTTTCCCGTTGGAGACGTGCTTAGCTTTATGCACTCCATACAATATTTGCCTCTAGAGCAAGCGTTATTCCTTCGAGCCCATAATTTTATAAACATGATTCGTGCAACGTTTCCTGCCATAAGAGAAACCGTTTTACTGTATGACGAACAAATAATAAGGTCAGTTTCAGTCTACAAAACTATCTTTAGTTGTAATTTGAATTTAAAAAACATAAATATTCATGCAATTTTTTTACAGCGGTGGACAAATCGATTCGATTGAATTGTGCAGTTTGCATCAGTACCTTTTAACTTCATTCATCCAAAAATCCGAGCATGCCGTAGGAAGTTCTCAAAGTGAGAGTCCACTAGTAGAAAAGTTTCAAAATGGAGTTTATGTCACTAGTTTGAGTAGTGAAGAACACTCAACCGACCTACCTAAAATATACCTCAAAATAAGAAAAGAGCTCGATTGTTATTACCTAGTAATATTTCGGGTTTTAAAAGCAACCATATGTTTACTTATAAGTGGTAGGTTTTGTTGAAAAATAATATTCGCCCTCAAATTAATCACTTGTACTTTATAGTGGTAGAAGATCCCCCAAGCAAGGAGTTTTACGAGGAACTTCGTACATATATGGAGCCGCAGTTGTCCAGTATCGCAAAGGATATAGAAGAAAATATCGGTAAACAACAAGGTCTTCTTAAAGCAAACACTTCTTCATTGGTTTCTGCTTTGGCTTCGGCTGACGATAATGTGAACCCCAAATACATACTTATCAATGAGCAAAGCTTAAAGCATCTTACCAACATTCCCACAGAATATCGTAGAACAAATAAACCGACGCAATATATTCCTGCTAATGTCACCAATCTTATAGCTGATCTCATGCCCCCTGATGAAGGCAATGATTTAGAGGACTCTCACTCGGAATTAAAACATGTGCTAATTAAAACTACAAATGATTTTTGGATTGTAAACTTATGTTGGAATTGGCGGCGGGGCTATGTGATAATACGCAACAGCAAAGCAACTTTGTTGGATATAACACAAGAAGCCAGGAATGTGTTTGATAAACAATTCACAGATGATGTATTTTTTGACAAATAAAAAGTATAATTAAATAAATGAAAGGCGTTTTCCAATTAAAACGGCGAACTTCCTCATGGTATGCATTCAATTGCGCCATAGATCGGTTACGGTGACAGAGCACGCAGCATGATGTAGTAGCGTCTCAAGTTAGTATTGATGCCACACCAGATGTCTCATTTTCTGAGAATACCACGTTGCTACCATTGTTCGTAAGACCGTAAACTGTACCTCCACGCGGAACATTTTTTAACTTTACTATGTATATGCGATGATTGCTCATGGAAATGTTGTAACTGTGGTCATCATATACAATTGAGATGCGTTCACAGCTACTGTTGGGCATGAAGTTATCGTCAACACTGTAAATGTAAAATAATACAGGATGTAGCAATAGTGTAATCACATAGGTATGTTGTCATGTATAAGTATGTTTGCTGTGCTTCTAGATCATAAACTTATTAATTAATTTTGAAGTAATATGTTTAGGGCCGATTATAAGAGTTATTTGAATAAGGAGGATTAGAACGATAATCATAGCAATAAACGCGATGAACCGTGTGGATGTTATAGAAGTCGGATACTTTATAGGATAACATTAATCATAAAAACTACACCTTTACAACTTTACAAACCTTTCCGCTAAGTGTAGAAGTTCCATGAATATGTTAGCACTTCTTTCATCGTTTTCTAAATCTCCACCGGAACCAATAACTGCTCCATCGTCTTGCAATAATAAATAGCCAATTTGATTGCTCAATTTTTCCATATTACTAATTAAAGCCATTTCAAAAGTGAATATTGTGCTAGTAAATTAAGTTTTCTATAACTTATAGATAAGGGGAGAATATTTAAATTGTTCCAGATAGAAATGTCTTTTGTTTTTCACTTAATATTATCTAAATGTCAATATAGTTTTAGTGATAACAAATGGCTTTAGGCGTTTTCGACTTTTAAAATGTCAACTGTGACACATGAGCCGTGCCTACAAATCTGTGTAAGATATAAGAAAAACTCTCAAATAATTTGTCGGTTTTTATTATAAAATTGTTTACTACCACCCACCGGTCACTCTATGTCTAAATTATTATACGTAATTATGATATCCCACCCAATAAATGTTTAGTTTTCCTTCGACTAAAAATCGATATTTGCTTCTTGCACATCATTAACGTAAATGACTGAAGTCAATGTTTTGTTAAATGCGTATTGGAAGAAGTAAGCCAGAGATAAGAGTAAACTGTTTACATATTTTGCACAAAGAAATTATTTTAAATTATTATTGCCCCTTCTTACATTTCACTACCTCAGGATTTGTATTATGTAATGTACGGGCTTATAATATTTTCTTTTGTAAAGTAAAAATCTACACGATCTTATTTCGACGGAAGGAATCCTTTTCGTCCTGGAATATCCAAGAAATCCCAGTTTATAAAATATACGGCGTTTGGAAAGTTGCAAGAATGTTTATATTTTCTTTATATATTTATTGTGAATGTCGTGTATAATGTAGGACAAAAACGCGAATGAAGAACGCAAAACAATAACGAATAAATGATGTGTAAAAATGGTGATAAGAAAAAAACAAACTAGATTTGAAGCAATTATTCATAAGCAAATTATAATGTCAAAAGTTGTGAGTGAATATTCATTAAAATTCTTTGATTATGATACCACAGCTCAAAATTCATGAAAAAAGTTAATGTGACCAAATTACTTATGGTACAAAATCGTGTAGATAAATTTATCTTGCAGTGACATAAATTTATAATTAACATTCCATAAAAATATAATAATTGCCTTATATTATTATTGCCCGGTTTAGTTTTTTTCATTTACGAAATCTTAATTTTTTGCAACAAATCTAATTATTTTCCAACACTGGAGAATATCTAAAAAAACAAAGCAGAAAATGTCAAACGACGTTCTCAACGAATATCGAATTTATTCGTTGCCATTTTGTAAAGTGCTCTTAAAATATACGAAAGTTGGTGTATTGGGTGTATTGTGCGCTTTGAACGAATTATTAAAAAAAGGCTATCCAGTTTGAAACTAAAGGATATTGTGCAAAACGCGACTAAAACTTTATTCGTGTAAGTTAGTTTGAAATTTCATAAGTTTTTATGAAGTTTATAGTAAGATTAGGTAGTATTTTGTGAAGAAAATTTGTGGGTCAGCAAAGCAGGCGCCACACCCATTATGGGAAAAATACATTTTGTAGCAAATCTGATCGATATTTAGAAAAGAAAATATTTCAATAAATATAACAATAGCTAGTTATATTCAAATTTGATTGTGTTTTGTAGTTTAATATTTGGTAAGTCAACGAAAATTTCTGTATCCAAAATTATTAAATGCAAAGAGTTACAAAAAGAAAAGTAGGGAGAAATCGTTCATTGAAAGCATTGCCGATGTGAGCGACGTCATCGTGCTGCTTGCTTCGTGATGTGCAGAGCAGACGGCAAATTTGTTTTTGGAAAGTGTTTTGGGAGTTGCGTTAGTGTGTTGTGTATGGTGAAAATTAAACAATTACTATAAATTGGTGTTGTGAAAAGAAGAATTTTCTCAATAATGCGAGCATATGCTACACTAAATATCATGTAAAAAACGAATGAGTATAATTCAAAATTTAATTTGGACTGTGCCGCTTGCTTACGAATCACAATATACAATATACAGTTGAATAAAGGGTGTGACCAAACGATGAAATTGAAAGACTTATTTATAAATTTGCATTTAGATATAACAAAATGGAACTGTTGCATATTTTTAGGAGAACTACATATTAGTCGAGTTAATCTTTGATTTTCGAATAGCTACTGAAGGTAGCTGTTTTTTTCTTTTTTTTTTGGAAATGCTAATTAGGGATAAAAAACATGTAAAAATTTTTAAAATCATATTTCTTTTGTCGCCTAACTTTGTGTTTATTAAACTATTAATTAACAAAAAACATATATTTAATATGTTAAAAAATAGGTTTCTTAGGTATTTGTGTTGTCTTACAATCTCATTCATTAAAATAAATTGTAGATAAGAGTCCTCTTAAAAAGCCTAAAATAGTATTACGTCAATACCTAATGAAATCAACATCATAAAGTTGAGTTGTCAAATCGTACATTTAGTCTGCTCATCCTTCATAACTTAACGATGACTCAAAGAGCATGCGCTACTTATCTTTTAATTAGTTTGTCTTTCATTTGATATGTATTTCCCTATATACTATTGCCTTCTTCCATATTTTTGCTTATTATTTACCTTCTCAACTATAGGTATACCGGTAATAAAGCTGGATATAAAACACTCCGATATGTCGAATTATGTTTGCTACGCTCAAAACATTTATACAAAGTCAGTTTTAAAACCAAATATTTGTGTTTTTTCTGCATTACGTCATTTCGCTATTTTTGCTCAATTCTGAGTCAATTGGCTTTGTAGAACTTGTGTGAGTGCTTCTTGTTTTGTTGTTGACCGTAGTTGAGTGCTGAGTATATCCACAACACATCATATTTATAGTCTGGTCAAATATGAGAATGTATAAATTTCCATTTGAGGTTGCATATTCACTTTTTTTTTTAATTTTTGGGTCACTAATTAAGAGATATATGTACATACATACATATGATGTTTCTGTATATGTAATTGCAACTAAACTATATATAATAGATTGGAAAGATACATTTACTATTCTATTACTCCACAGTTTATCTACTTGTGGTACGTGGTGTATTCAAAGAATTGTTCTATACGATGGCATATATTTACATAAGTATGTATATTAACTACAAGAGCTGCTCCCTTTCAAATTAAATACCCATACCTGTTTGTACTTGTAATATATGTAGCTCAATATTTTGAGAAAAGAAGAAGTAATATTTGAATATAGGAAAGTAATTTTGTTGTTTTGAAAGGAATAGATGCTTGTCTACAAACGTTGAAAATGTATAATAAGTGACTTTGAAATAGAATAAGACCTTAAATATATTTAATGACTGTTAAGAGGGTAGTTCTCCTAGGTAATATTTAAATTAAAGGTATTTATCTATATTTAATAAAGATCTAAAATTACGGTGCCATTTCTCCAAAATAATAACTAACTCTTTCGTACTTTCAATGCCTAACTTTTAAAAACAAATTATTAGCTGTAGACTTGTTGTAGATAATATTACAAACCTATTTATTAGTAAATAGTACCGATATTGCAAAAACATGTTTACTATATATTACAATAATAAACGTGTGCATGCAATTTAGATCTTTCCAATAAGTCTGACGACAAGCTCATACCACTTCCATCCTGAAATATCGTCCTCTTTTTCTCTGACATATTCCATTTCAGATTATCAAATTAAATATTACGAAATATTTAACACAATAAAAAGAGGCATAATGAGCAGTGTTTAGAGATTCAACGATTATCTAAGCTAAATACATTAGAAGTTAGAAAACAAAAACGTTTAGCAATGACTACGTCGGAAATAAAATTGAAACAGTTGTTATGTGCTAATGTGGAATTGCCAACACAAACAACTAAAGATGACATCATTTCTATGGACCATTTTCGACAATGGTTTCTTCAGCAATTCAAGGAGACAAACTCGCTTACTTGTGACAGCTTGCACAATTTTGCAATATATTTCTTGAATACTATGCGTCAACAAACTGAAAAATATTTGCGCACAAACGAAATAGAGCAAACTTGCCAAACGCCTGTAAAAACAAGTAAATTGATAACTAATAATAGCGATATCGATGGATATGAAAAAAAGATTGCTTTCAATACACCCAAACGTGTGTCACTATACCCACAGAATTCGGCGCCAACCACACCAAATTTTGCCTCAACACCGGAGCAAGTGAATAAAAGTAAAGGTTACTTTGAATGCAGCCTACTTACGGACACCTCAAGCAATTATCGAAATAATGGTAAAGACATCTCGTCTACGGTTTCTACGCCTGCTCATTCGATGGAACGAAGCTTAACAAGTACTTATAAAAGTGACGCATCTACGCCTATGCGTCGCAATCAGAACAGCAATCGCCGTTCGGGAAATAGCTCATTGCTGCCAGTAACGCCTCATAGCACTGAAAAGTCAGTACGCAGCAACAGCGCTACCTCCAGCTTCTGCCTTGGTGACTTTATGGTACTCCAACAAAACAACAACCGTTCGAACCGAAAGAAAGCCACATCTACACAAATTCAAAACACTGCCACATCGTCATGTAATGAAACTCCAACTAATAGTAAACCCAAAAAGCGCGTAGTTCCAACCACTATAAGTAATCGTTCAGTTGTAGGTGCTGCGGGCGAGCTAAAAGCTTTTGGCTGCAACAGTTCATTCAGCAATGATAACAATATACTTAATATATCTAATGCTGAAATTGAGGATAAAAATAAATGCAGTATTATGGCTGCTAGGAAATCGCTGAAACTGAATGCTGTTGTAATAAGTAAAGAAATGGAAATCACATCGATTGGTGAGGAAGAGAAAAATTTACGTGAAATGGTTAAGCGGAAGCTAAGGGACGTCACATTAAATGTGGAAGCGGAAACAACGAAAGCTACACTTAAAGCTCAACCGCCTATAGTAGAACTAGAAAAAATCAAAAATCACGCTTATATACAACGTTTGGCTGACATATATGTAGTTTTAATGGATTTAAATTTTGTAACCAACATACTAAGTGAAATGGCGTTTATGGTTAATTTGTTAAACACACAGGAGACCACGCTAGACGACCTTGAAGTTTATACTAGCGAAGGCACAAATATAAAATCCACCTCAATTGAAGAAGAATCGATAGGCATACAAATGCTGAGTAATATAACAAATTGCATTTATTTCGCTCTCTGTGTAATTAGACGTCAGCGACACTTGTTTTCACATCTCGATATTAAAAGTTTGGGTGTAGTTCTGCATAACGAACGCATTCACTGTCTTGATACGGATTTGAAATTGTACTTGGAATCTATTTATCACCTTAAACAAAATTTGCACCAAGATAAGTCGCAAGCATTCGAAACTTCCACTACAATCGAACGCTCGTTTAAGAGCGTTTACTATCAAGAAGATAAAGATTCAAGACAGCATTTCACCTCCAATAACGAATTTGGCGCCTTCAAAACTCAACGTGACCTTTTTTACAAAGTACTTAAACTGTGGGAAACTCATCATCTTAATCCCAATTGGAATTACACACAGGAGTTGGCACCAAGAATACGCGAAATTTTCAAACAGTCGGAAAATTCAATCAATATGGCGCATTTTGCCAAATTGTTTGTCTCACAACTATTGATATCAGCCAGTGATGCAACTTCACCCGAAGACATTGGTTTAGATGTTGATGCCGAAAAGTTCAGTAAACTAGCGCAACGTTTAGTCGCACCCAGTAATTTCAGCGTCGATTATCAATTTCCACGTAATCAAGCTTTCTTTCGTGATTTCATTGCCGAAGCTAGATCTATACCATTTACTGAACAATTAAAAATGGCGCTATATTTTCAACTAATTACGCTAAATAATTCTACATTTGAACAAACGAATTTATTGACTGACAACAAAGATGCGGATGAGCTCGAAACGGATAATGACAAAGGGGAGTGTGGTGAATTTATAGTGCGTGCTGAAACACTAGCGTCCATGATCATATTAGCGAAATTTCTCGGCTTTGTAACCGCATATCCCTATAGTCAGCACTTACATACTGCAACCATATCAGGGAGCATTGAAAAGAAGCAGTTATTATTACGCGGCTTATTTAAACCGCACTTCAATGTATCACACCATTTGTTAGAGGCAATCAAATATAACAAAATGCTTATAACTTTACCATGGTTGGTACAATATCTTGCAATGCTGGATAATGTTACGCTACAATTGTCCGACTTTGCCGAAACTACCCAGCTGCTATTTGCCTTATACACCACAATCGGCTGTAATTCAACACCCAGATCTTTGACCGCAACATCGATATTCATTCTACGTTGCTGTATGGGTTGGCTTTTTGATACCAAACCATTCATAGCGGAAAATTATTTTAGATATAGAACGACGCAAACAACTACAAATATTGGCACGAGAACGCACGATGAAACACACGCGGAACATGTCGAACCAGAAAAATTAATTGTGGGTATTTTAGGTGCCACGCATGATAGCAGCAATGTTGCTAGTAGCAAACATGTTTCCGTTCCAAATGATAACAACATATGTAAGGAAATTACACTTAATCCCTTACTTGAATCTCTACTAACCGTTGCCTGTCCATTTTTGGCAGAATTTCGTGTAGCCATAATGCCAAGTAAATATGCAACAACAAAATTGGCATCACGCACAGGTAGATATCGCCATATAACGACACGCATTGCCGAGCCACAATCCTTAGCTGTTAATTCGCCATCACACATTGCCTGTAACACAGACACGAATGTCATCAATTCACAACGAGTGCAACAAAATAAACTTATTGAAGCATTTCTGCATTCACAGAACCCCTCCATGCGCCGTCTTATAGAATTTGTCACTGAAAGAGTGTATAAGTCGGTTGTTAAGGACGGACAACACAAATATATACTGCCTACAAAAGCTACAGCTGATAAGCGTGTAAATGAGATCACTTCTTCTAATATAGATGAGGTGTATAAAATAGTATCTAACAACTACACTAGTGCCTACGATGAAGTGCATCTACTTTGGGAATCAAATATACCAAAACTGTTAGACGAACGCATTGCAATTGCTCTAGCTGCGCTGCTACCAACGGAAACAACGCCTATAGTACAAAAAACCTACTCACAATTGATAAGACAAAATGCTATGAAACGCGTAAAACAGTGGTTTCTCGATAATGTACAACCAACTAGCTTTTATTGTGGTGATTTAAATGAAATCACCCAAAAAATATGCAAAGCAAATAAAAAGAAACAACAATCGTCATCAACGTCTGAATTGAAAATAGTCAGTTTCAAGCCAAGCGTCTCTGATTTACTTGACGAACTACAATACTGGCTTCATTGCACCTCCTTACGCCCAGAGTTACTTATAGCAGGATCTGAAGAAATTGTAGCATTTTTGCAAAGAATACCCAAAGCATTTGTAAATACATTGCCAACAATTTTTTATCGTCTTATCGGCGCAGGTGTTATACAAATTATTCAACAATTAATAATTCATAAGCCTTCATGTGTAACAATCGAATTAATGGAATCAGCTTGTACAATTCTGTTGCATCCAAATTTTATTGCGCTCACAAATACCACAGAACGTAGTAAAAATAATAATAACCAAAGTAACGCACAATCTGTCAATAATGTCAGTGACGACGAAAGCACTAGTACTAGTTCGACAGATATGAATAGGACGCCTAATATTTATGATGCACTGATCACGGTGGCATTTATCGAAGCTCTAGGAGATAATAGTGATTTATTTGGAAAACTAAAAGACTTGCTAGTTTATATGATAACACAACAAGTACTTACCATAGACAAAGTCAATGCGTTGTTTATACCGATTTTCAAAGAGAATTGGCCCATAAACGTGCTGAATGAAATCTCGAAAACACTACAACGAATTGCTGATGATACCGCCAAAATAGGAAGAACGAAACGTCCTGATATCGCTGACGACGGCGAGAGTAGTGAAGACGAAGCCAAATCCCATTTATTTATGGAAGTATTGGCCGATCTCTCAAGAGACGTTGATAATTTAGATTTTTATTAATACAACTAAAATACTGCTTGCCTCAATAAGTTTTAATAGACTAAAGTGTTGCTTTGTGTGATTTTAATTTATGACATAATAAATTACAATTCTATGTTTATTAAGCTAAGCGTTGTCGTGTTTTGTTTTTAAAACAATGTAGGTTATTTATAAGTTAAATCCAATGATATTTCACAATTAGAGCTAATGATTTTCTTGCTGTAAGTAATTTAAAAATATTTGAAGAAATCGCCAAATTGACACATTCATTTTCATTCGCTAATTTTAAATTTTTAAGCAATAATCACAGAACTATTTTATAGTCTACATAAAAGTATGTTATGTATTTTCTAAATAAAGACATTCAAACATCTACTTGATTGTGAGATTTTTGTACATTTACCCGACTTTTAAAAATTGTTTTCATTATTATCGCATATATCACTCCAAAATCCTATCAGTAGATAGGTCTTGGTCAATAATAAGTTTACATATATAATATTTCCTAGCGTTGCCCCTCCACAATTTTTTCAAGAAAATAAGAACAGAGTTGATTTATCAGTTATGGATTATTTAAAAACTCCAATTCTGTGAAATCCTAATTTTATAAAAAAAAATTATTACCTCATATTCTTTGTAGAGCACAGGGTTTAATATTGGATGTAAAATGACTTATCAAATGCTTAGTAAATGCTTTTAAGTGTTTTTATGCTGAGATAAGATATGAATGGCTTGTTGACGAATGAAGAAAAATATTCTATTGATTACAGGTTTTGCAAAAATTGTTGAAGAAGTGAAAGCATTGGTTCGAAAGTGTGTTCGTTTATATGCTTCTGTTTGATTATGTGAACAGGTGACATATTTTACGTAAAGTAAGTTCGTATCTTCAATAATCAAGGCGGAGTTCAGTATAAGGTGTTAGGGGAAGATCTGGACAAATTTCAGCCATTTTTAGACCAGACCAATTGCAATAGGTTACGAGGTGCTTTGTTGGTGTTTAACTGATTTACGATAATGATCAAAATGCTGATGATTTTGAAAACCCGTTATAAACGGACCGGATAATTGTTCCGCTTGTAGCAAAATTATCAGAATGTCTAGGTGCATACATATATACATGCTTGTATTGTATAAATGCCGTGTACAATTTAAATTGACTGCTTATCAAAAGTTTCAACACTCTCTTTTTTAATTTAACCCTTCAACAGACCATTACTAAAAATTAAAAAAAAATATTAAATGCGTTTTTTTTTTGTTGTATTCGGCGCCTAATTGATCCCAATTGGGATATGAAGATTAATTTTTTTTTTCAATATATTACCCTAAACAATTAAATCCACAACACAAACAATAAACGCAAGGTCATAAGAACTCTGAGAACAAATTTCATTTATTTCGTAATCGTATTTTGTATGAAAAATATCGCTTCAATAGTTAAAGGGTTAATTGTATTCATTTGATATCAAACCCATAGCGGCGTTGTGAGTTCGCAATAAGCGCAGCGACGAATTGCGAGCGTTTTAGTAGACTGTAGCGAGCGAAGCGACCAACATTTTACAATCAGTTGACATAATTGAAATTTTGAAGGTCTGACTCACTATACGTACTCGCATACAACCACACTCTGTCTACATACATACAGTTGATTATTATATAATAATGATTTTTGAATTAAACAAAACTATTATACTCTGTACCAACATGTTGCGAGAGTATAAAAAGAATGCTCAATAAAAACAAAGCTTATTAAAATGTTTATTTTTATTGTAGGTTTAGAAGGAAGAGGCTCTGAGACAAGTCAAGTGGTGGCTGGCAGCTCGTATTACAAAACGCACTAAGCAGTATTAATTTAATTAAAGGAAATAAGAGCGAACGACAACAAACTAAGGTAGCTATCATCAACCCGCTTAAGCGGATGAGCGGATGAGGTCATCAATCTACAACTCAATAAATAATTTAAAACTTTTTTATATCTTACTCTTAACATTACATATAAGCACAACAATTTTGTTTTTTTTTCTACAGAAATTTTACAAAATCGACAACTAAAAATATAAACGTAATACAAAGCAACGAACGAAACGAGCATACAAGCAAGATGGAGAATTTTACGCCTAAAGAGGTGAAAATTCTAGAAACCGTCGAAGATATTCAAGAGCGTCGAGAACAGGTTCTTTCGCGGTATAATGAATTTAAGATTGAGACCCGTCAAAAGCGTGAGAAGTTAGAGGATTCACGCCGCTTTCAATACTTTAAGCGTGATGCAGATGAATTGGAATCATGGATTCACGAAAAATTACAAGCTGCAAGTGAAGAAAGCTATCGTGACCCGACCAATTTGCAGGCGAAGATACAAAAACATCAAGCTTTCGAAGCGGAAGTGTCGGCTCATAGTAATGCCATTGTCTCGCTTGATAACACCGGTCAAGAGATGATCAATCAACAGCACTTTGCCTCCGAAACGATTTTGCGTCGCTTGGATGAACTGCATCGTTTGTGGGAATTACTTTTGAGTCGTTTAGCTGAGAAAGGTCAAAAATTGCAACAGGCACTTGTATTGGTACAGTTTTTGCGCCAATGTGAAGAAGTAATGTTCTGGATTAAAGATAAGGAGGCATTCGTTACAGCCGATGAATTCGGTCAAGATTTGGAGCACGTTGAGGTATTGCAGCGCAAATTCGATGAGTTCCAAAAAGATATGGCTTCACAAGAATATCGTGTCAATGAAGTAAATCAATTGGCTGATAAGTTAGTGCAGGATGGTCATCCGGAACGAGAAACCATTACTAAACGTAAGGAAGAGTTGAACGAGGCCTGGCAACGGCTTAAACAATTGGCAATTGTGCGTCAGGAGAAATTATTTGGTGCCCATGAAATTCAACGTTTCAATCGTGATGCCGATGAAACCGTAGCCTGGATCGCCGAAAAAGATGTGGTGTTGTCATCAGATGACTACGGACGTGACTTGGCCAGCGTACAGGCTTTGCAGCGTAAACATGAAGGCGTCGAACGTGATCTCGCTGCATTGGAGGATAAAGTATCCACTTTGGGAGCGGAAGCGTTGCGTCTATGTTCCATTCATGCCGATCATAGCGATCAAATACGCGAAAAGCAAGCAGAAATTGCCAACTACTGGCAGAGCTTGACGGCAAAGGCACGCGAACGCAAACAGAAATTGGATGAATCCTACTTTTTGCATCGTTTTCTAGCCGACTTCCGTGATTTGGTATCTTGGATTAACGGTATGAAAGCCATTATTTCCGCCGATGAATTGGCCAAGGATGTTGCCGGAGCAGAAGCTCTATTGGAACGTCATCAAGAGCATAAGGGTGAAATCGATGCACGTGAAGACAGTTTTAAATTAACTACCGAATCGGGACGTAAACTATTGGAACGTGAACATTATGCTGCTGCCGAAATACAAGAAAAATTAGCTGCACTTGAAAACGATAAAAGTTCATTATTGTCTTTATGGGAAGATCGTCGCATCTTATACGAGCAATGCATGGATTTGCAATTGTTCTATCGTGATACTGAACAAGCAGATACATGGATGGCCAAGCAAGAGGCTTTTCTAGCTAATGAAGATCTCGGTGATTCTTTGGACTCTGTGGAGGCATTGATTAAAAAGCACGAAGACTTTGAAAAGAGTCTCGCTGCACAAGAAGAAAAAATCAAAGCACTTGATATATTCGCTACTAAACTGATTGATGGACAACATTATGCGGCCGACGATGTAGCGCAGCGCCGTCAAATGCTGCTAGCACGCCGATCGGCATTGCAAGAGAAATCTGCACGGCGCCGACAATTGTTGGAAGATTCCAATCGTTATCAGCAGTTCGAACGGGACTGCGACGAAACCAAAGGTTGGATTAGCGAAAAACTAAAATTCGCCACTGACGACAGCTATCTGGATCCAACTAATTTGAATGGCAAAATGCAGAAACATCAAAACTTTGAACATGAACTTAACGCCAATAAATCACGAATTGAGGACATAACAACTGTGGGTACCGAACTCATCGAAAAGCAGCATTATGCCTCCGATCAAATCAATACACGCATGCAGGAAATTGTTGTATTGTGGGAAACACTGGTCCAAGCTTCGGATAAGAAGGGCTGTAAATTGCACGAGGCCTGCCAACAGCAGCAGTTCAATCGAACCATTGAAGACATCGAACTGTGGCTGAGTGAAATCGAGGGCCAATTGTTGTCCGAGGATCATGGCAAAGATTTGACATCAGTACAAAATTTACAGAAAAAGCACGCACTTCTTGAAGCAGATGTCATGGCTCATCAAGATCGTATTGAAAGTATTAAAGTAGCAGCTAATAAATTCATCGAGTCTGGTCATTTTGACGCCGACAATATCCGCAACAAGGAAGCTAACTTGTCCGAGCGTTACGCCGCACTAGCCGCACCAATGGGCGAACGCAAACAACATTTGCTCGACTCTTTGCAAGTACAGCAATTGTTCCGCGACCTGGAAGATGAAGCAGCTTGGATCCGTGAAAAGGAACCCATTGCAGCTTCCACCAATCGTGGCCGTGACTTGATTGGCGTGCAAAATCTTATTAAAAAACATCAGGCTGTCTTGGCTGAGATCAATAATCACGAACCTCGTTTACTTAATGTTATCAGCTCTGGAGAGAATATGTTAAAGGAACAGCCTTTTGCTAGTGAAGATATTCGTCAGCGCTTGGATGCTTTGCAAGAACAATGGAACAATCTTAAGGAAAGATCAAATCAACGTAAACAAGATCTTGAGGACTCATTGCAAGCACACCAATACTTTGCCGATGCTAACGAAGCCGAGTCATGGATGCGTGAAAAGGAACCTATAGCCACTAGTAATGATTATGGTAAAGACGAAGACTCCGCTGAAGCATTGCTGAAAAAGCACGAAGCATTAGTCTCTGATTTGGAAGCATTCGGCAATACAATACAAGGATTACAAGAGCAAGCTAGAAATTGTCGTCAGCAAGAAACGCCTGTTGTCGATATCACTGGCAAGGAGTGTGTTGTAGCTCTCTACGATTATACGGAAAAATCACCACGTGAGGTGTCAATGAAAAAAGGTGACGTGCTTACGCTACTCAACTCTAATAATAAAGATTGGTGGAAGGTAGAGGTGAACGATCGTCAGGGATTCGTGCCAGCTGCTTACATCAAAAAAATTGAAGCAGGTCTTAGTGCCAGTCAGCAAAATCTAGTGGATAATCACTCTATCGCTAAGCGACAGAATCAAATCAATTCCCAATACGATAATTTATTAGCTTTGGCACGTGAACGTCAAAATAAATTGAACGAAACCGTAAAGGCTTACGTTCTAGTACGAGAAGCTGCCGATTTGGCTAACTGGATCAAGGATAAAGAAAATCATGCACAAATCGCTGATGTTGTCGGTGAGGATCTCGAAGAAGTGGAAGTATTGCAAAAGAAATTCGACGATTTCAACGATGATCTAAAGGCTAACGAAGTACGATTGGCCAATATGAATGAAATCGCGGTACAATTGACTTCTCTCGGACAAACAGAGGCAGCCTTAAAAATTCAATCACAAATGCAAGACCTTAACGATAAATGGAATAATCTACAACAATTAACCGCCGAGAAGGCAAGCCAACTTGGCTCTGCTCATGAAGTGCAACGTTTCCATCGTGATATCGATGAAACTAAAGACTGGATTGCTGAAAAAGAGAATGCTCTCAACAATGATGATTTAGGTAAGGACTTACGCGGCGTACAAACATTGCAGCGTAAACACGAAGGCGTTGAACGTGATTTAGCAGCGTTACGTGACAAAATACGTCAATTAGACGAAACAGCAAATCGTCTAATGCAATCACATCCTGACACAGCTGAACAAACTTATGCCAAACAAAAGGAAATCAATGAGATGTGGGACCAAATCATTACAAAAGCCACTTTACGTAAAGAAAAGCTGTTGGATTCATACGATTTGCAGCGCTTCCTTAGCGACTATCGCGATCTGCTTGCTTGGATCAACTCAATGATGAGCCTAGTAACATCTGATGAGCTTGCCAACGATGTAACTGGTGCGGAAGCTCTTATCGAACGTCATCAGGTAAATTATCATTGATTTTTTGTTTACTATTTTTTGTTGTGTTTGCTTTTGCATTATTGCAAAATAAGTATGTCCCCATTTAAGAATTTGCAACAGTTTGATTGTTTACAGTTACATATATACAAGTAGATATATATATTTTATTTTCGTTATATCCGCAATGGTTTATGATTATGAACATTCACACTTGTATGCATATCTATATTTGAATTAAACACGTTTTTCTTTGTTTTGCTGTCGATTTTTCTATGAATTGTTTTCTACTTCGTTTGATCATTTACGTCATTGCCTACAAACAAACAAATTTGACTGGATCTTCTACCACCTCCACTACCTGCCACATTTACATAAAAACCAAAAAAAAATTGAATTCGATTATTGATGGTTAAATAAAAAATCGGCATGAATATATTGTCAAAAAAAAAAAAACTAAACCAATCATACACCGGCATTCCTAGGCTCGTCGCGCTGAAATCGAATCTATTATTGGACACAATAACGCTGAGGTAGTTGTTCATTACATTGCAAACTACTAAACAAATTTTGAATTGCTGCTTCAGCCAATTTTGTCAAATAATACATAAATGTTTTTTTCTAAATTTTAATCGTAACTACTTATTTAATACATACAAGTACATATGTACATACAACAATATGCGTTTTTACATATGAATACAATCGTTCAACGATTGGAAGTAGTGTGCTTATACGTGCTCATTTAGATGTATAGCATTTAATTTTTGTGTGTTATACTGTTACAAGTGTTAAAAGTGTTACTATTCTATTTTTCTTGCTCACATTAGACAATTAACAATTTAATAATTTGTACTATTAATTTGTTTTTTTCTATTTTTAACTAAAACAAAAACAAATTATTTAGACAACGGTCATGTATAACTCTTCTAAAGTTAATGCAATGAGGTAGAAACTCAAGTATTAAGAGAGTTATATCATTGTAACATTGTCGGCTATTTAAAATATAAGTGAGTTAATCAATATCCTAAAACGGACATAAAGTAGGTTATGTTGTTTTGCAGTGTCATAAAAACATTCGGTTCTAAATAAAACTGCATCAAAAACAGTTGAAACTTTAAAGAAATTTTCAGATTTATTCATCATTTATGGCAAACTAGAAAAAACTTCAAAACTATAATATCCTTCAGATCGATCAGTTTGTATGACAGCTATACGCTATACTGGTCCTCGCTCATATAGATATCTCGTCAAATAAAAAAGGTGCATATATAAGAAGATGATTTTGATCGTTCAGTTTATACGGCAGCTATATTATATGTTTTAGTGGTCCGATATCGGCGGTCCGACAAACGAGCAGCATCTTGGCGAGAAAACTGCAGTGTATATACAGACAGACGGAAATTACTATATAAATGAAATTTCTTAGTGCTTCGGACGTTTCTTTCTGGGTGTTACAAACTTCGTGGAAAACTTAATATATAAAAATATGGTTAAAAATAAAACTGCATCAAAAGCAATTGAAGAAAATTTCAGATAAAAACATCATTTACATCAAAAATTAGCAATCGTATCTGTTTGCTTAATATACACATATTCTGATATTTAGTATGTTTTTATGCATGTGAAAAAAAGCTCACTTTTTAGGAGAGTCAATATTCCACAATCATTATTACTAATATTCCAATTGAACATTAAAATACAAAGTGTTCATTGTTATATTAATCTATCAATCTATTTACATGAGCGTTCTTCATATTATTGACCGTAAATGCAACGAGCAATCCAGCTTAAATGTGATTTTTGTTTATTTAAAAGCTTACGGTAAAAAACTAATAATAACTGTTGGTAATATAGAAATAATAGTTACTGTTAGCAATATTAAAAGTTGTTGTATGATTTCAAATAATTTTTGTGCCGCAAGCGCATTATTGCTTATTAACTAAATCTCATTTCCGTGCGATTTTATGTTTTTTGTTTTAACCAAGTTTTGTGACTATACAACTTGTTTTTAACCTTTCAAATACTTGCGTTTGCATTATTTGATGCTCACTTACTGTCCATTTCAAATATTGCAGTAAATTTAAAACAAAATTAATTTTTCTTTTAACTTAGGAACATCGCACAGAAATCGACGCACGTGCTGGTACATTTGCCGCTTTCGAGCAGTTTGGCAGTGAATTGCTACAATCGAATCACTTTGCTTCACCCGAAATCAAGGAAAAAATTGAAGATCTGGCCAAGACCCGTGAGGAATTGGAGAAAGCATGGACGGCACGCCGGCTACAACTTGAGCAAAACTTGGACTTGCAATTGTATATGCGTGATTGTGAGTTGGCAGAGTCGTGGATGTCGGCACGGGAAGCTTTCCTTAATGCAGATGATGTTGACAATAAGGGCGATAATGTGGAAGCTTTAATTAAAAAGCACGAAGATTTTGATAAGGCCATTAATGGGCATGAAGAGAAGATAGCAGCTCTTCAAGTATTAGCCGATACATTAATTAATCAAAATCACTATGCATCTAATTTGATTGATGACAAGCGCAAGCAAGTGTTGGAGCGTTGGCGTCATCTTAAAGAGGGTTTGATTGAGAAACGTTCACGTTTGGGCGATGAACAGACATTGCAACAATTCTCTCGCGATGCTGATGAAATTGAAAATTGGATCGCTGAGAAATTACAGCTTGCCACCGAGGAGAGCTACAAAGATCCAGCTAATATTCAATCGAAACATCAAAAACATCAGGCGTTCGAAGCCGAATTGGCAGCAAATGCCGATCGTATTCAAAGTGTTTTGGCTATGGGTGAAAACCTGATTGACAAGAAACAATGCAGCGGCTCCGAAGATGCTGTTCAAAAACGTTTGACACAAATTGCCGATCAATGGGAATACCTTACACATAAGACAACGGAGAAATCGTTGAAATTGAAAGAAGCTAATAAACAGCGCACATATATTGCTGCTGTCAAGGATTTGGATTTCTGGTTGGGCGAGGTCGAAAGCTTGCTTACCACTGAGGATTCTGGTAAGGATTTGGCATCAGTCCAAAACCTCATGAAGAAACATCAGTTGGTAGAGGCGGATATCGTGGCACACGAAGACCGCATCAAGGACATGAACAACCAGGCCGATTCCTTGGTCGACAGCGGACAATTTGATAGTGCTGGTATTCAAGAAAAACGTCAAAGTATTAATGAGCGTTATGAACGCATCTGCAATTTGGCTGCACACCGTCAGGCACGTTTGAATGAGGCACTTACTTTACATCAATTCTTCCGCGACATTGCCGATGAGGAAAGTTGGATCAAAGAAAAGAAATTATTGGTTGGTTCAGATGATTATGGTCGCGATTTGACGGGTGTACAAAATCTAAAGAAGAAACATAAACGTCTTGAAGCCGAATTGGCATCACACGAGCCAGCCATACAGGCTGTACAAGAGGCGGGTGAGAAATTAATGGATGTTTCCAATTTGGGTGTACCCGAAATTGAACAACGTCTAAAGGCTTTAAATCAGGCTTGGGCTGAACTTAAAAATTTGGCTGCTACACGTGGACAAAAATTGGATGAATCCCTTATATACCAACAATTCTTAGCACAAGTTGAGGAAGAAGAGGCATGGATAACAGAAAAACAACAGTTACTCTCGGTCGACGACTACGGCGATTCGATGGCTGCTGTTCAAGGTCTTTTAAAGAAGCATGACGCATTTGAAACTGATTTTGCAGCCCATAAAGATCGCTGCTCATTGATTTGCGATCAAGGAAGTGAATTGGTGGAAGCTAAAAACCACCATGGTGACTCAATCGCGCAACGCTGTCAACAATTGCGCAATAAATTAGATAACTTAAATGCATTGGCTGCTCGACGCAAAGGCGCTCTCTTAGACAATTCAGCTTATCTACAATTCATGTGGAAAGCTGATGTAGTCGAAAGCTGGATCGCCGATAAAGAGAATTACGTGCGCTCCGACGAATATGGGCGTGATCTATCAACAGTTCAAACATTACTGACTAAGCAAGAGACATTTGATGCTGGTAAGTAAAAATTGCACATCATTCCTTTTTATGTTTTGTTTTTATTTTTATACCACAACGTTGTCGATATTTGCTTTTATATTCCAGGTCTCAATGCATTTGAACAAGAAGGTATACATAATATTTCCGCTCTCAAGGATCAACTCATTAATGCAAATCACGCTCAATCAGCCGCTATTGTGAAACGTCATGAAGATGTCATTTCACGTTGGAATAAACTTCGCGAAGCTTCGGAGACACGCAAACAACGCTTGTTGGCCATGCAAGATCAGTTCCGCCAAATCGAGGAACTCTACTTGACATTTGCGAAGAAAGCTTCGGCCTTCAATTCTTGGTTCGAAAATGCCGAAGAGGACCTAACTGATCCTGTTCGCTGCAATTCGATCGAAGAAATACGTGCTTTGCGTGATGCGCACGCACAATTCCAGGCTTCACTGTCGTCAGCCGAAGCTGACTTTAAAGCACTGGCAGCGCTTGATCAAAAGATCAAGAGCTTCAATGTTGGGCCTAACCCATACACTTGGTTCACCATGGAAGCTCTTGAAGAAACCTGGCGCAACTTGCAAAAGATCATAGAGGAGCGAGATGGCGAATTGGCTAAAGAGGCGAAGCGTCAAGAGGAAAACGATAAATTGCGAAAGGAATTTGCCAAACATGCTAATCTTTTCCACACGTGGCTAACCGAAACGAGGTAAGTATCATATAAAATTATTAGTGCCTAAGGAAATATGGATACAAGGTTTACTTCATTTATGACACAATGGAATTTATTTTTAATATCATATTTTTTTTTTTACAAATATTACTGAGACGAATTATACTCTTTTATATTTTGTTTTAGATATTATATGCTGGGTTATAATAGAGAAGGGTAAAAGTTTTTTACTTAACTATGATCAAGTGTTCGTTCTTCTAACCAATGTTACATTGCAAAACGTTGACGATTTATTGTCTGATATAATAATTGCAGCTGTGTGTGTTAAAGTGTGTGCTTAGCGAATAACTTTTTATTAACAGCATATAAATAGCTTCTGTCTGCTTAAATTATTCCTCATATGCGACGTTAAAATATTTTTAAAATATAAACATTACAAACGTAATAATTTTAATTTTTTGGTTATTTAAAGAACCATTAAATTTCATTGACCGCCGCCTATCCATTTATTTACTTTTTACTCCGGTTGTTCCACTCCACACTTAGGAATTATTATCACATGATAAAATAATAGAAAAATATCTGTAGTTTAGACGAAGAGTATAAAACATATATTTGATAATTTTATTTTTTTCTATTAGTGTTATATTCTAATTAGTCTACATATATAAATGAATATTTTTGAAAAAATGTTGGCAACAATAATCCGAACGCATAAATGCTTCTCTTTTTTAATTTCTTTAAAAATTCAAACAATAATGAGTTGATGTTGATTAGCTGCGCTTTTCAAATTACTAGTCTTTAATCTGGAACAGCGTTTAAAACAAAGTTGCAGGCAAATTTAACAAATAATAACAAACATTTAAAGGCTGATTAAAATATCATAGAAAATTAGTCAATTGCCATATTTCTTTGAATTAACATACTTTTACATACTTTTAATTTAGAACTAGTATGATGGAAGGCTCTGGTTCGTTGGAACAGCAATTGGAAGCCCTTCGCATCAAAGCCACCGAAGTACGTGCCCGTCGTGTTGACTTGAAGAAAATTGAAGAATTGGGCGCGCTACTAGAAGAGCATTTGATCTTGGACAACCGCTATACAGAACATTCAACAGTAGGACTGGCCCAACAATGGGATCAGCTAGATCAACTATCAATGCGCATGCAACATAACTTAGAACAACAAATACAGGCGCGCAATCATTCTGGTGTATCCGAAGATTCACTAAAAGAATTCTCAATGATGTTCAAGCACTTTGACAAAGACAAAAGTGGTAAACTTAATCACCAAGAATTCAAATCATGTCTGCGAGCTCTCGGCTACGATTTGCCCATGGTTGAGGAAGGTCAACCAGATCCAGAATTCGAAGCTATTCTTAATGTTGTAGATCCGAATCGTGATGGGCATGTTTCGTTGCAAGAATACATAGCTTTCATGATTTCAAAGGAAACAGAGAATGTCCAATCCTACGAAGAAATTGAAAATGCTTTCCGCGCTATCACTGCCTCCGACCGCCCCTACGTAACAAAGGAAGAACTTTACTGCGTAAGTGTATTTCTAAATGCAAAAATATCACCGCCAATAATGTATATTTGTATATGTTTAATTAATGCAAATTTCTCTCGTTTAGAACCTAACCAAGGACATGGCAGACTATTGTGTACAGCGTATGAAGCCTTATTCAGAACCCCGCTCTGGTCAACCTATAAAGGATGCACTCGATTATATCGAGTTTACGAGAACACTGTTTCAAAATTAAATCAAAAATAATATTAAAAATTTAAATACTTTTCTTAATATCAAAGTGAAATATTTCCTGCAATTACTTGGGTAGTTTAGAGTTAAGTATTATATATTCATTGCCTATTTGAGTTTCGCTTGCAACTAAGTAAAAAGTATTTGGCAGCAATAAATATCAATTGCAAGTCATAAAAGTATCTATGTATGCCTCCACATAAATAATATGTTTACATATTTATTAATCACTTCTACATAACGAGCATTCTTGTATGATGCGAGAAAATTATAATATTCGTATGCGTATGCATGCTTTCAGAAAAAATAGCTTACTGCAACTTATAAATTTGTCTAAATAGAGAGCAAGATAGCCTGAACTTCCATACATCCAGCGGTATATGGGTGGCTATATTAATTCAAAATGATTAAATATAACCTAATCGAAAACAAAGAGAGTTTTTCATAGATTTTATGACTGCATTTGCTACGAGGCTTAAAAGTAGAAAATAAACTATTAAATCTAAAATGCTATTGACTAAAATTCAATGACGATAATTCATAGAATTATATTTCCGTTTCTTTTGTATACAAATGCATTTATTTGACGCAAATTTAAAGTATTCAGATGCACTTGAAAATTTGCTAATATTTTATTAAATAAAAAATTATATATCTATATACTGCATGTCTAATAAAGATAATCGTATACTTATTAAATGACATTTAGAGTTTACACACATTTTTCGAATTTATTAAAACGATTCTATTGACCCTGGTTATAACTTTTTAAAGAGGTTACCGCTCGGGTATTAGTTACAAGTTTGTGTAAGTTCATCGTTGATCCGGCAGTCAATAAATTTAATAGATATACATATACATACTTTTGTATATTAAAAAACGAAAAAATTGATTTTAATGAGAGTTTATTGACATGTTTTGGGTACTTATGTACATTTATTTTATAACAAAAATTTTTGTATACTTTCTGAATATTCAGGTTTTTGAAGTTTTTCCTCTAATACTGGCCTTGTCAGCCATTCGAATTTTTTCGCAATCGCCGTATCGACATTACCGCCATGTAGGGATGCTCGGTAAAAGAAAACTTTGGCTCCGACACTACTTTTACGCATTTCTGTTGGATATTTATATTTGTAAAATCCACATGGTGCGTTTCCATAGAAAGTGACCTTCAATTGAGTACCACATTTTTCGCGTAACACTCGTTCCGCCGCCTGACGCATGGTCTCACCATCTAGTCGTGGACCTTGTGGTAACATTTTTACTGTTTGCTTGCTTAATGATTCCTCGATAACCAGATACAAAATTTCTTCTAAACATCGGTCTGTAGAATTCGTTTTATTAGTTGCATCGTCGGCAGTAGAACGTAAAGCAAATTGAAAACTTTTTAACTCTTCCGAGTAGGCATCTTTTAAATCTTGTGCTGTCTGCTTGGAAGCGCTGTCGTCAAGGTCCACTTCCATTTTTCCTTTTTTGATCAGTTCACTTTGTATTAAGTCTCGTTGATGTTTAAGTTCATGATCTGACTTTAAACTGTTCTCCAACTCTACGCGCCATAGATGCTCCTGGAATTCACGTTCAATAGCGTTGAAACTTTTTGATACAACGGGCAGACGTTCTACAAGGACAGATGCATACAAATCCCAGTTTTCAATTGATTTAGATTGCACAGACTTTGCCGACATTGGTCGCAGTATTTCGCTTACATTTCTTTTCGGAACAAACTTCACAAGATTCGTAACAATTTTTCGATACATTTTTATTTCAATAAATTATTTACTTTATTATGGAAACTGACATAACCCAATCAGGTCGCGATCCAAATACTTAACCTTTTTATGTGATAACTGAACAGCTGTTTTCAGCTGTCTAAGAGAATTGTGAATCGTTGATTTAATAATAGAAGAAGAATACAATTTCCCGGTTAATTTGTTATGAACAACAACGAGTTGTGTTTTTTGTATATTCCGCTGTAAACTGAAGTGTGAATTCTTCGAAAATTATCCATACATTAGTTTTTAAAACGTAACAATGTTATCTCGAAGTAATTCTGAGTATGAGGATCTATCCCGCAAATTTCGGCTTACCTCATTCGATTATCACAAACAATACTCACACTTTTATGCTCATCGATTAAGGGAAATGACATCTCTCCTTTTACCACTAGCGGAGAAACATTGGAGCAACAACTATGCTGTAAAGAAACTTTGTGATTTACGTGAGGAGCAAACAGAAACTTGTATTATTATAGGTACAATTTACAAACATCAAGCTCACAAACCAAGTATATTGCGTGAAATTTCTGAGGAGAATCAACTCGCTCCGCAGCCACCTCGTGAACATTATGCAGACCTTGAAGATAAGTTAATTCTTGAGGATGAACTTCAACGAGTGCGTTTGTATGGTAAAGTAGACGGTCGTTTTATGTCATCCGGTATAGTTTGTGCTGCTTTGGGAAGCATTGAGGAAGATGGCCGTTTCGATGTTGAAGAAATGCTGTACTATGAAGCGGGTCCTCAAAAGCCTTTGTCCAATAAAGGCTATAATCGAAAACTTGTTCTTTTATCTGGTATTAATTGTACAGGAGCGGATGACTATATCGACGAACTTAACTTATTTCAACATTGGTTATGTGGAAACGTGTTTGGAAAACAAAATACCAAAATAGTTCGCGTTATTGTGGCTGGAAATTCAGTTGGAAAAGCAACAGAAGAAAGTCAAACTGCATCTTTGCAACCTCGCAACAACGATAACAATGAAGCAGTAGAAGCAATACGTTCTGTTGACAGTTGGCTTGCTTGTTGGTCAAAAAGTGTATCAATTGACATAATGCCAGGAGGGCATGATCCAGCCAACTTCATGCTTCCTCAACAACCGTTCCATCAATTTATGTTCCCCAAGGCTTCTCAGAGTGCATCTTTTCGAAGTGTTCCTAACCCGTATGCTTTTTCATTAGATAATACTCAAATTGTGGGATGTTCCGGACAGAATATACATGACTTACTTAGATGTACAATGATAGAAAAGCCTTTAGAAGCGCTTCGAAGCACTTTAGTTTGGGGACATTTAGCACCAACAGCACCGGACACCCTTGCGTGTTATCCATATGTTGACACAGATCCTCTTATTTTGCACGAATGTCCTCACGTGTATTTCGCAGGAAATTGTGACGTATATGAAACTGACATACATAAAGGCTCACAGCAACAAACTACACGTATAATCTGTGTACCCAACTTTTCGAAAACACAAAGCATTGCTGTAGTCGACTTGGATACTCTGGATTGCAAAGAAATAAAATTTAAGACAGATAAATAATAAAGTGAATCAAGTTAACAACGTAATTTATTGATTGGCAAAATACGAAAATAATAAAACATTTATTATTTAATTTGGATTAATTGTTTTATTGTTGTAATAAATAAGTAACCTTAATGAACTACTGGACCCAATGGTTCCCCTCGTATGTTACCCAAGTCAAGCCGCGAATCAATTTGGTCATCTATAAGGCCAATCACGGCAATGTTATCACCACGAATAATATGTAGTCCCAAAACTATTTGTTCGATACCGGATGTAGTGGAGAAGACCCGCTCATGCGACTCGTCTAAGATGACATTTATAGTTTGATCGAACCCTTTTAGTGTGCCAATAAAGTTTCGACCATCAGCGGTAATTATGGACACCGTATGATTTATGTAGGCCTCCAATCCTGATGCCATTTTAAGATGTTAATTTCACTCGAATATTGTCAACAGCTTCGGCAAAGAAAAATATAAACAAGTTTTGACTTTGGATTCGTGCTTGTTCTTATCTTGTTCTTTGTAATAAGGTCACAATAACTCTATTCCCATGACGGGGGGTCTACATAACAGGAACTGGGCCCGATTTCATAACAACAGTATACAATTTTATAAATTTCGAAATTTCTTGATATTCGGTCGTTAAACATATATGTGCTATACGATACAATTGATTAAATTTGGTAAATGTATAGTTTAGGCCCCAAACGGAGGAGGCCCCGAAAATTAAAAATATTTTTAAATCATCATATATTGACACGAAGATTTCAAAGCCGTGGGCGAAAAGTCGATTTTTTTAATAACTGTATTTTTTTTTTAATTTTTAAAAAATGAGTTTTTACAAAAAATTCAAAAAATTACACCCTTTGCACATGTTCTTTCGCGTGGTAACTGCTTTCAGCACTGGCGACCTGCGGCCACGCTTCAAAGAAATGACTCTGGTTGGTCCACCACCGGGGTGTTCATAATTCATTCGCGTCGAGGTCCTTTCCGCACTGGAGGCCTTTGGCCGCACTTCAAAAAAATAACTCTGGTCGGTCCAACACCGGCGTGACCAGTGTTATTTTTTTTGAAGCGTGGCCGAAGGCCATTAGTGCAGAAATATATGTATTATAAGTAGCTGTATTTTTTTGTTATTGAACAAGTCAATATGCGTTATAAAGCTGTTTGTCTATGTTATATGCAATAAATATTTATTACAAATATAACTTTCCATTAATTGTTAAATAAGATTTGTTAGTTTCAAAAAGTTCAGAAAGTCCTTAGCGAGTCTGCATTGTATCCTAATGATATATACATAAGTACAGAAAATCAACGCAGCCAAAATATTCAAAATGTGCCTCCACAATAAAAGCCAGTCTTCTGTAGGAAGGAAAATATGCCAAAATCAAATTCACTGTAAGTTTGCTTTTAATAACTTTATATTGACTTGAGATTGCTAATTCATTCTCTGAATTTAAGACATTTATATTAGTAGTTGCTTTAAACAACCAAATAGTAAATAATATTTGAATAAATAAAATCAAAATTTTCAAATTATACAATAAAAAAACTTAAATTAGTATCGTGCAATCTTAAAAAAAATCTCAAGTTAAGTGTGGGTCCGACATTTTGATGCACTCACCAACTTGTTAATGTGTCTTAAAATATTAAATTACGTTATTATTTTATAAACATAGATTTTAAACTCGAGTCAGCTGATGAAGAAAGTTACATGGCCATAAAGCTTCAATGCGCTCTTTTAATATTTGAAATGGATAGGAGATATAAAGAAGAACATTTTGTGCAAGCGCTCCCATCGGCTCCGGATACTGATGTGTAAGCAAAGCTAAAAGTGCTGTGAAAGAACAAAGTCCTGCTGTAAATAAAATAAAGAATGGCAATTCCTTTTTGGGATAAACTGACACCTCGTGAAAGGCTGGCAGTAATTCGCGATCAGCACATTCTGTACATGTCGGATATGGATAGAATAGATGTCCCCGCTCTAACGGATATGGCAACATACGAAATGTACCTTCCCATGTGCAATGAAGTAAATTGATTGCTCCTTCCACATTTTTCCAATGTTTTAAATGGAAAAAAGAATAAGCAAGCGCCTCTGAGTCGCCACGTTTTAATATGTGTTCTGGTGGTAAAATAAGTGGTTTTGTTTCCAATAAATATTTCGGTACATGCGGATTAAATTCAACAGCTCGATGAATTGCTTCGACGGCGCTCATTTCAATGGTATTAAGACCGCGCTTTGACGCTATATCGGGCGAGAATTTATCTGCCACCGAACGAGCTTTTAATAACGCTGCCGTGTAGCAAATGGTCGCCGATTTAGGTAAAGAAATATCATCATATTTGGCCAAAACTGCCTGACAGTCGGCATATGCTTGCATCTCAAGCAGCGTCTCTATGAGATTTTCATGCACGTTTAGTACATTCATGATAGATGGAATTTCTTTGCTGAGATCACGAAATATTTTGGCGGCCTCTTTTAATTTTCCTAGCTTCCGTGCGCACATCGCCATTCGTCGTTTAATATAGATTAGTACATTTGTATCACGGCGATGTGCAGCTTCGGCTATAGGACCTTGATGCTGTGTAGCCTGTGATCTTCGGTAATTTATTTCTGCAACCTTAAGGGCTGTTTTTAATATCTTTTCCGCTTCCAAAATAGTTGTGGCTTCTTCTTCAGCTAAAAGTATGTAAGCGGGCGCGCATTCTGGATTAATTTCAAGCGCATTATGAGCGGCTTTTATCCGTTGAACTGGGTTACGTTCTCGCCAAGCTGTTTGCATTATTTCATATTCTTCTTTTCTCGCATCTCCTACTTTAAGGAATATTTTAATAATTAGTGTACATTAATATGATATTTGGACATGTAATTACCTTCGCATGTAAAGAATGTTTGATGGTCTTGTGCGCTCAGATTCATGTCATAATAAGTTAGAGGCTCTTTGTTAGTTGCCCAAAAAAAGCGTTGATATTCTGCTCCTCGGTATAAGTTCAAGGGATTTCGCCAGACTTTGCACTCTGGCATTTGCTGGCTTGAACCAGCCGTCTGATTATTAGAACTTCCTGCTGTTCCATTTGTACTACCATTATTTCCATTCCCATTTGCGTCAGCCTGTGCATCGCTACCATTTATCCATGGACTAATGTGGTTTATAGAGACTTGTTCTTTACAAAATAATATTCAATATTAATAAATTGAAGTTGTATAAAAATTATTGTTTTACCTATAAAAGATGTGCCATATTTACGAAAATACCACCACTCGAAAATTAAAATTAATCCGGAAATAAGACTCGATGTTCCGGTCAAAGCCACATAAAACTTCGGCGTTAGTGTGCTTAGGAACACCGAGGAGTCCCACATTCTTTTTTTTATGCAGTTTTTCCTTCTCCCACCGTTATTAGACTATTCGACAAATGTACACTTTCTTCTTTTGAACCAATGACAACAGAAATATTTAATTACATATACACCGCTTTTGATAATTATTTTTTAAATAAAACTTCACACTTTTATTCAAAATTTAATTATAAATTTTGGTTGTTTTATTTTTACGTTAGGACTTCTTTCTCCACTATGTCCAATAAGCAAAACCAAAATTTTTGGAAATATGTGAATATGTGAATATGTGATGTTTGCAAATGCAAATTTATTACAATTTTCTAGAGGATTTTAAGAGTTGTTGCAAATCTACTGCCAGAAAATCCCCACAATTTTTTATTTCTGAGAGTTTGGGGATATTCTGAAGGATTTAGTTTTCGAACTGGTTTAACAGAAAATTTAATAATTAACTGCTAGGAAAACATAAAAACTTTTTCGCAATTTTTTCTAATGTCAAACAATGATTACTAATTACTATTATTAATTTCTTTTTTAAAAAGTTAAGTTTATTGAAACCATCTTCTTAAATTATTCAACACAAGAAAAATATGATATGGCAACTCCACTTCATTGTACAATCTGGTCTTTAGAAATTGCCTTTAGGTGACGCGATTGTTTCTTACGCTTCTTTTCTACAGCTTTCGTGCACCATTTTCTATTCGATTGCGGTATGAATTGAGAAAAAATATTTTTCTGCGGGTTGTTCAGAGAAGTCATAATATTTTAATTTTTAGAGGTAAAAGTTGTGAAGCATATCATTAGTTCGCGTTAAAAGTACATGATTACAGTTAGCAAATTATCATGTGTGGAGAAATGTTGGTAAAAAGTGAAGAAAAGTGAAAGGAAACATAAGATTTTGTTGAAAAAGTTCACGTTTTAGCCGGTGTGGTTGGTATAAAAAGAGCGTACCGTTTCTAATATACATACATAAAATTTAATTGAATGCTGCTCATAACGGAGGTTGAAAATTTGTTAACAATTGTTAACGAAATTGAAATATAAATTTCCTTGAGGCTTTGGGTATTGAGCCAGTTTAAATTGTTCAGAAAAATTGAAATTAGTTAATATCGGCCATGGCTGACGGTGCTGTGCTAGATCTTTATGCTGAAGATTTGGATAAGGATTTTTCCGCGCAGAACCAGGTGAGTAAAATAGATGAGTTATACTTTACATTCGAGATTTAATTTTTATTTGTTTCAGGAGGAATTTGCAGCAGAAGGGGTCGATCTGTATGATGACATAGGTGGTCCCACAGAACCATCATCTGTTCCTCCCGGAGTGACAGTATCGGCAAATGCAGTTGAAAATGCTGCGCCAGTAGTTGGAGGCGATTCAGCCGCTAACGGTAGCGGTTCAAATGGTCTTTACCATCAAGGAGGTGGTAGTTTAACTCCTAATCATATGGGTCGCCGTTATCAGCTATATGTAGGCAATTTAACATGGGTATGTTTGCACATTCTACTTTCTTTTTAAAGCTATAATTATGCATATCCTAGAAGTTTTGCTATAACAAGCACAAGTACACTTATAATTGTCCTTGCCTTCAGTTTCATATAGTTTCTGTTAAAAATATTTAGTTTAACTTAAATAAAATATTAAAATTTTCGGTATTTTTACTTTTTTGTTTTAACAGTGGACAACCGACCAAGATATTGCTAATGTTATGAGAGAAATTGGAGTAACTGACTTTCAAGAGGTTAAATTTTTTGAAAATAGAGCTAACGGCCAATCAAAAGGATTCAGTGTTATATCACTTGGATCTGAAGCTAGTTTGCGGGTAGTTTTGGAACGTTTACCTAAAAAGGAGTTGCATGGCCAAGCACCTGTTGTAACCTATCCAACGAAACAGGCACTAAACCAGTTCGAGAGTTTACAGAAGACTCGGCCGGTGCCACCGTCGCAACAAAATGGCCCTCCTCGTGGGCCCGCGCCACCAAATATGGGGGTGGGTGGGCCAATGCCTCCACATCCTGGTGGACAAGGTGTGCCTCCTGGTCATCCTCCACGTATGATTAATCCCAATATGGCACCAGGTCAATATAGACCACAACATATGCAACAGGGTCCACCTGTTGGTCCAAATGCTGGTCCTCCACGCATGCAGGTATGTGCTCATTAATTATCTCTTAACTATTAGATATAAAAAAATTAAACCTCGTAAATATATTTTATTATTTTTAGTTGCATATATTGTTCATTATCCGAAATTTTTGCATCTAACCAATTAAGTTAGGCATGTTTATCTGAGTAGTTCTGAATGCTAATTCAAAAATAGTCTTTTAAGTATACGGTGTCCTTGCTTTAATCGGTTTTAATTTTTTAAGCGATCACTAGAGTAGTTCCGTGTATATCTTTATGACTCTTTGGCTGAGGAAATATATCAGGCTTAAGAAATTGTTTAAAAAAACGAAAGAAAATTGTTACTTATCAACATATGATATTGGTACATAAGATGAATTTTGTATTACTGTTTTTAAATTTTTACGTGCCATTTGATATTTTTTTTTATTTAGTAATTATTACAAATTTGGACAACATGCATGGCGTGGCTTTTCAGACTTCCAAAATATATAGGAATTCTTTTATATACATACACACATATGTACGTAATTCATCCAAAATTATATGAACTATTCAGAACACAGATTTTTATTTCATGTTAACCCAACGTAGTAAAATATATGTATGTACATATATACATATACATATATTATCCGTTTAGTATATTTTGTATAATATTAATGTTTCAATTGATACAATATTTAATTCCAATATGAAATCAGTGTCCTCATGCAATTTTGATATATTATTTTATTATATGTAAAAAATTCTAAGGTATGTATATATTATCAAAACTTTATATTTTATAGGTTGGAATTTTGTATATTAAACAAATTAATTTATCTAACTAATGTATTATATTTTAAGCATATAGCTTTGGTAATAAAAATATCAAATTTATCAACTGTGTGTATTCATTAGACTTTTGTAGATAAAAGAAAAAAAATGTTTTCTCTCTTACTGTAAAACTTTTTATATTAACCTATGTATATTTTTATATATACATATGTTTGATACTTTCATTGTAAGATTTGTTATTAGTAAAATAGTAAAGCAGTATATTGGCTCCTTATGATAATGAAGACTGTTATATTTATATTTTTAATTACATAAATATTGTATGTATATTTTGTTTTAAATAAGTTTCCATACAAATGCATGTTTTTTGGTAAAATAATGGGTTTCTTAATGAAAACAGAAAATAGTGAATATATTTAAAAGGCTTAACACTTCTATTTACTCTCTCAACTGTTAATTTCATTTAACTTCTTAAACTTAATTTTTTGGATTTAAGGGATTAAAATGCGATATAATATTGCTAAAAAAAAAACTACGTCTGTATCAAGTCCTATAAAGATACCTATTGTACATTTGTTATTATTGCTACTATTATTGTTTAATTCCATGTTTTTATTGGACCATTTCGATGTGATAAATCGTCTTCTTTCACTCATTTTTAAACAATGAAATTGCGCTAATGACAAAACATTTACAACAACAACTCAACTGTCACTCACATAAACTGTATTTGTACAACATTACAAGCAGGCGCCAATGCATCAAGGAGGTGGACATATGGGACCGCAACAGCCATTGCCCGGTCCACCGCCACGCTATCCGCCAAATCAAGGTCAGTGGACAGCTACAGGACAGCCTCGTCCAAATGGTCCAAGAGCGGGACCGCCAAATGGACCACCGCAGCGACCGCAAATGGTAAACAAAATAAAATTTGTAACATTGTTGTATAACAATAACGAATTTGCATATCTTAAAGTAGAAGCACAAAATTTCGAAATTATAAATACCCATAAGTTACTTTTATTATGGTTTTTACATGTTTACACTCGAAGATAAACTTTTTAAGTAGTTTGATAGTATCTAGCAACATTTGTAACTAAAAATACACACACTCTTTAGAAGAGCATTCAGATTATTCAGATAAATTCATTTATAAAATTCTAACAGCCTTTAAAAAAGCTGACCTTTGTGCGCCTGCCTTAACACTACTAAAAGCATTTTATATTAAATAATAAACATCTAGTACCTAGTCTAGTACACCTTTTATATAAATTGTACAATATATGGTATATATACTTACATATTTCATTTGTAATATTTAAATGTTATTTTTATTGCAGTTCCAGGGACCACCAGGAGGAATGCCCATCCGTGGCCCACGTCCAGATTGGAATAGGCCTCCAATGCATGGTGGTTTTCCACCTCAAGGTCCGCCTGGAGGACCTCCGCAGGGACCACCGCATATGCAAGGTCCGCCACGTGGTCCACCAGGTGGTCCTCCTCAAATGGGCCCTGGCGGTCCGCCAGGAGGTCCTCACGGTGGTCCCGGTGGGCCAGCACCGCACGTGAATCCGGCGTTCTTTGCCCAGCCAGGTGGTCCTCCTCAGCATCCAGGCGGACCGCCAATGAGTGGTCCACCACATGGCCCACCAGGACCACCACAACAAGGGATGGGTATGCCACCTCAACATGGTCCCCCACCACACTTTGCCCAACAAGGTGCACCACGGGGACCGTGGCCGGGCCCAGCTCCGGCGAAACCGCAAGGTCAATTCCCTGACCAAGCAATTGGTCCCCAGTTATCCGAAGTGGAATTCGAGGAAATCATGAGCAGAAACCGTACTGTGAGCAGTTCAGCTATAGCCAGGTGAGTTAACAGTAAATTTATTATGAAACTGAAAACCCGTCTTAAATTCGATTATTAATAAGGGAAATTAAAGGTTTTATCTTTTTTTCAAAGCCATAAAATATCTTATGTCAGTAAGGTTAAATTTTGTGATATAATATGCTTGATTTGTTGTTAAGATCCCAAAATAATAATAATATTTTATATAATTATTTTTGTATAGAGCCGTTTCAGATGCGGCTGCTGGGGAGTATTCCAGTGCGATTGAAACATTGGTCACGGCTATTTCACTCATAAAACAGTCGAAAGTGGCGCATGACGAGCGTTGTAAGATCTTGATCAGCTCCTTGCAAGACACATTGCATGGCATTGAAACGAAAAGTTATAATCGGCGGGAACGTTCACGATCTCGTGAGCGCACTCATCGACCAAGACAACGCAGGGAGCGTTCGTCGTCACGTTATAGAGAACGTTCACGTGAACGGGAACGTGAGCGCGACCGTGATCGTGAGGCTGGGTAAGTTAACATACAAACATCGAATCTTCTCTGTAGGTATTGGACTGTTTAAAAACAAAAAATATATTTCAGATATAGGGAGCGCTCCAGAAGCAGAGAACGCGAACGTCCCGTACCAGATCACTACCGTGATGATAGGTAACTTAGAAATTATTACTTAAATTGATTTTAAAACTTATATTTCTAAATGTTATAAACTAACTAAACTAACTAATATTCTTGTATCACTTGGTTCAAAAATAAAGTAGTTCCAGTCGTTCTGCTCGTCCACGAAAATCTCCAGAAGCAATTGCTGAAGTTGTCAGTGATGTACCATCAAAACGCAGCTATTATGAGGAACGTTATCGTTCATCAGATCGGGATCGTGATCGTGACAGGGAACGCGAGCGAGAACGTGACAGAGACCGGGATCGGGAAAGGGACCGTGATCGACGTGAGGAACATCGCTCGCGACACTAAGCAGAAAGTGAAGCACGTAGAAATTTAAACCAGCACATGCAACAAAGTAAATAGATCTATACAATAAGAAAAGAAGCTACGGTACTATTAAAGTGGTACATTGATTGTATTGTATGCAATGCTTAAACCATAGAAAAATAATCAACAATTATTCAACTTTTACGACAGGCCCCATAGCAAACGTATGTTTGCAAATTAACACTTTCAATTGATTATCATTATATAAAATAGATTTAAATGATCTAAACATGCCGAAATTTAATAATTTTTAAAGAAATCGCAAAATGCGATTTCACCATAGACGACTTCGATGGAAAACATAATTAATTCAATGGAATCGTCTTGATGAAGAATTATACATACATACATAGATGTAAACTCTTAAGTCGGAAATTATCAATTTAAAAATACAACACAGCACATCTTCAATCAAGATTTATGCAGTAGCAGGAAATGAAGTATTCAATAATGAAAATATGGAATTAATCAGTACTAATACGCCTGTGTGGAAAGATTAAGAAAAGTGAATAATTTATTTGAAGGATATCTAATTCCAGTTTGATTAAGTGAAATTGTAACAACTGACGGCGACTGCAGAACCGGTTTGAGTGCTTGCGGCATTAATCCTGCGCGTTCACATCCGAAGAAGATTGTATATTGATATTTCCATTTATTAATAAAAAAAAAATATTTTAAAATGTTAAATTGCAAACTATTGTATTGTCTTTTATGCTGATATACCTATAATTATATAAAAACTTTTATATATAAATATTTCTATATTTATATGCACCATTGTTTTGTGCGTGGCTATAACAATTGTTATTTATTATTTCATTGCTTTATTATATTTATTATTGTTGTTAACTCTCTTCTTATTACAACATTGTTTCCAATATTTATTTTCTACTGTATGTAATTTATTCATATACTAACCTAAAACATAGTAACAACTACTGTTTGCACAAACATTACTAACACAGAAAAACCTTCATAAATTCAACTCCCAACGGTATACTTAGTTTTTGACAATCTCAAAAGTACCTAGAATTGTAAGTTTAACATTTTCGGTATATGGTTTTATACTTATTACTCCTTTGTAACACCATTAGACTTAGACATAACGAAAACTTTGTTCAATATATATTTTTTTAATTACTTGTGTAAATTTCGAAATTGTTGCCCACTATACCTAGGGTTTTAATTTTTTTCCTTAATCACATTTTCATCTTATGTACACTTTTAAGGAAAGCAAAATATGTTTAATATTTGTATAATAATTATGGGCGAAATCAAACGAAATTAAATTTTTTTAATTGTGACAATCGTAAATTAATTTTTACGGGTTTGATCCTATTAAGTATGTTCAATATAGATGAAAGTGTAGATATACTAACGCCAAAAGCATAAATTAAGTGGCTAGTCTAATGTATTTGACACATTTTAATTTTACCTTTATTTCTCCAAACTGTCCATCGCCTTACACGATAGATACTTATTAAGAAATTTGTAAAAAATAGACAACAAAAATAACTATAATAACATTTAATTTGAAATGTATAAGTTTACCAGTTATTGAATGTTTTCGAAAAATTTGTTCTTAAAAAGTTATCCAGTATTCATTAATGGTACATATATTTTTGCGATACATATGTCTATGTATATTTTATTTATGATTGTAAATCATACAGATATTCAAATACTTAAATTTTTAATTTTGCTCAGAAAAATAGTATTCCATCTATCTTCATTTCCTAATCTTAAGATTAACACTGCAAGTGGTAGTGTAATGTTTTTTTTTTATTATTTATTATTATAATTTTTTTTTGTTTTTGCTAAAAATGAACTCATTATGCATACATATATATTATATTATTATATAATTTTTTATATACAAATTTCGTATAATGATATGCTTTGATTGCATTGATATTTTTCTTACATAAAGCTAAAGTCAATAATTTTTAATGATAACTATTTATTTCCAATATTATTTTTGTAATTTGAAGTTTTTCAAAATACATTGTATATACTAGTATAATCTGTGATATAATACGGTAAAAATGTACACCATCTGTGATGATGGCATTATTACTGTTGTAACTATAAAGTATTGATATGATTGATTAATAGCAGGTAAAAATACTCAGATATTCATATTGAATAAGTGGTGTATGTAAAGCTGTAGTTATCGGATGTTTTAGTTCTAATTTTTATAACGGTTACCAAAATTATAATTAAACAATTGTGAGTAGTTATATGGATACCTGCAAATTTGTTATCATCCGATAACTTAAGCATTTATATTGTTATTCTTTTTTCTATTCCTATTTTGCTCATATACAAGTACATTAATGTACGTTAATCCGAATTGAACTGTTATAAAATTTTGCATTGCCATTTTACATTTAAAGTGATATTTAAAATAATTATTACAGTTTTTCTGTATTTGAACTAATGTATTAAATAGATATTTAAATTATATCAACCATCAACTATTGTTATGAACAAAAAAAACTTTGTGGTACATATGTGCACTCTCTAACAAGAAAATACGCTCCGTGATCTAAAAACTCAACCACTAAGTTAGTAAGTTAATAATTGCTGTCAGGTTCATTGTTAATAGATGCAAACTATACATTTTTTTTATTAAATAATACGATAAAGGAAAGTTGAAGATGAATTTTTGTGCAAGGGCAAGCGGAGTAATCGCTGGTAAGTGTAAACCGATTTCTTGTTGGAGAGGAAAAGTATATGGAAAAATAGTTGATGCAAAATATGAATTATGTAAATGGAAAATATTTATATTAATTGAAATGAGACTTTACCATACGCAGGTTTCATGCACTCTATTTCTCATGAAGGATGTTAAAGAGATTTTTTTTTTTATTATTGTTTTGTTTAAACTTTACGTATATTAGATTTATTAATAATAGCATAGCAGTTATTTGTTAAATGTCAACATATTTACAAATAGTTAATTAAGGAATATATTAATGACATGCTCATTAATACTAAGTTCATTGGAGCTAAACCATAAACCACCAATGGTCGTGTGTCTTCTAATATAAATCACATTCGAACATACGTAATGTATACATAAATAGGGTGATTCTTAAATACACTGTTTATTTGTATTCTAAACAAATTGTTCGATAACCTTCTGTAAAGTGGCGTAAAACTCTACATGAAAGTCCTTCAAATGTCTTAAGTTGGCCACATTCTATAAGCACTAGCAAAAATTGTTTAAATAAAGATATTCAAGCAAGCATTAAGATGACTTCAATCGACACACAATTTTCATTTTGCAATTGAAATAAAAAAATTGTAAACCCTTCTTCTAAATATAGTTTTGTGTGTTCTAAAGCTACAACACATTCATTGTACAGTTTTTTTTTTATAAAAATGTGTATTTTACTTGAAACAAAATAAATTAAATCCTACAATAATAATGCGTATATTATATAGGGTAAAACGCATTATGTATGATACCAGTAACTGAACAATAATACGAGTAAGTAAAAGCGTAAGCGTCAACGCAATCATTTTAATTAATTTTTCTTTTGTATACATATATTACTATTGATGGTACTACTTTTAACGCATTTATTATAATAATTGAAATAAATAAAATGAATGAAAGGCAGCCGAAATATCGATTTGATAGACATCAACATTTACCGTCGGGGTATTTAGCTGTATTCAAAATATATTTAATTTTACATTAATAGTATAAACTAAATTTTGATTTTTTTATACATATATATATTTGTATAATGACAATATCTGATATCTTCTAGTGGGATAATACTCATCACAATTATTTGATTCATATGTTAATAAAAATATTTTCGAAGTGCCTGGCATCACCAGCCTGTGGTGGAAAATGTACAAAGCGATTACAATAAAAAGCAAGTAAAGACTTTCGGAGATGATCAGAAATTTATTGACAAGAAACGCGAAAACGTCTAGAAGCAACGAGTCGTAATTTAATAGTGAAAACTTGTGATTACTTTGAAACTGAAAATTTATAAACGCAAAATACAAAGAGAGTTTTTTGTCAAAATAATTGAAAAGAATCAAGACCTAAAAAAATAATAAATTTGTAGTTATAGCAAGAACAATAATTCCACGGAGGTAAAGCCCACGAATCCTCAATAGAAATTTCGCAATACGTTACGCCACTTTGCCTTGAAATGGCGTCTTCGACTGCAACATATGCAAATTTTCAGGACAGAGTCCAGGGTTTTATCAATGGATTGGGTGATAAATAGTGAGTATCTGTAAAATTTGGTGTTACGAAAAACATATCTTCGTTTGTTCTGATTAGGTCGAAGTACAGGTGAATTATATACATATGTAGGTATGCATGTGTACATATACTGATAAATTTGTGTTTTGCTTTTTACTTAGAGTGACCACTTTTTGTACTCACGTATTTTTAAGAATTTGATTTTAGTTAAAACAAATGTACAAATTTAAACAGAATATAGATATACATATATACACTTTTATACGAGTTGGTTGTAATAACTGCATTGGACCACGTCATTTTCATTAGCATACATATGTGTATGCATAATAAATAAGTATGAAGAGCTGTCAGCATACCACCTGTTTATTTATCTCTTAACCCCTCTTAAAGGAATGACACCTTATTTTATTGCAGTGAACCGTATGTGCGGACTCATTTGGCCAAAGTGTACATGGTACTTGGAGCCGCAACGGCTAGTACTGCCGTAGGAGCAATGTTACAGTTATGGGGTCTCATAAATCTTGGTTTGATAGCAGCACTGGCCTCCTTGGGGCTTGTGTTGGGTCTACATTTTTATAGAGATAATGGAAAAAACTACTATACACGCTTTAGCATGTTGATGGCGTTCGGTTTTTGCTCAGGACAGACTTTGGGACCGTTGATGCAATATATAATAAGTATCAATCCGTCGATAATAATAACTGCGCTAACGGGCACTGTGGTAACCTTCGTTTCACTTTCATTGGGTGCTTTGCTAGCAGAACGTGGAAAGTATCTTTTCCTGGGTGGACTGCTTGTCAGTGTAATCAATACTATGGCAATATTAAGCCTCTTCAATATGTTTTTCCAATCATATTTTGTTCAATTGGTAAGTAAAATAGTTAAGGTTAAGAGATCTTTTTAAAATAATTTTGTAAATCACGTTTGTTTTTTGTAATTACAGGCTCAACTTTATGTCGGTGTATTTGTAATGGCTGCCTTTGTGGTCTTCGATACACAAAATATAGTGGAAAAATGTCGGGCAGGAAATCGAGATGTTGTTCAACACGCATTGGATTTGTTCTTTGATGTTTTAAGCATGTTTAGACGTTTATTAATTATTCTAACGCAAAAGGTAAACCATTATTTACACAAATGTTGAATGTGTTTGTAGAGACTGTGGGTGTTTGTTGTTACTTAAAATTTGATGCTTATATAGGGTTTGGCTATTTTACATTTTTAAATTGTTAATTTTCGTCTGTGTTCGGATGTGAACATTAGCCAAATGTACCAATTAGATAGATCTTTAACAGTAGTAGCAGATTCTGTAATCAAAATTCATTTGCGTGTACAAAATTTCGGTTATGAAATATGTTTTCTAATAATAAAAACTAAAAATATTGCAGCTTAAGCATCATTTGCTCTCATAAGTTTTCGATAGCCGTGCTAGTTACTGAAGTTTTCTAGCCAAACGAAATATGCAAATCCAATGATGAGAAATTTATTTCAAAAGTTAATTGCATCACCCTACGGTATTCAAACAGAATTTAATCTTTATTAAGAAAACATATAGTTTTTAATGTATGTTATTAATTTATTTTATTTATTTTTTACAGGAGGAACGTAAACGTGAGGAACGTCGTAAACAGAACTAACTAAAAATACCTTCGCGGAATGGCAAACACTAATATTTTATATGTTAAATATCTTTTCATGAATAACTTATACCCAAAATTCAGCATTAATATTACATTTCAAATCAAATAATCATTACACTAGTTTGTTTATCCCATGTTTCGTAAATATATTGATCGGTATTTATAATTGTCCTGGATTAAGGTTTTAGGACGAAATGAACCTTTTAACAGAAAGAACAACATTTTAGGTGTAAACAATAAAAATTTAATATAAATAAAATGGGTATACTGGTATTTTCTGTATAAATAAGTTGATAGCAAAAACTATAATATTTTTCGTAGAAAATTATTGTTTAAAAGTTAATAGCATGTAAAATTGTGTAAATTTCTCAATGTAGTTAATATTTGATCAAAAGCAGTTGTAAACAATTATGGAATGGCTAATTTCGGCTGTAACCGAACATTTTATACTCTTGCAACTTGAAAGGATCAAATGACTTCAAATGCTGGCAAACATAAATTACAATCAAATTTGTATCTTCTTGACTTATATTGAAGGTCATTAACTTAGACTTAATTTTAGCGAAAATTATATTAAAAATATCTTCAAATGACATATATGTATGTGATGTCAACTCGACTGTCGGGCTAAATTTAATATATTATATATTGAGTATCAAAATAAAAAAGTATAAATTCCATTAAAATATCACACATTTTGGCCAACCGGAACGGTTTAAAGTCAGGTGGAAAGACGTAAATCATTATATGGGGTATATGCAAAGACCCATTAATTTGGACAGTCAGCCCTATATTGCAAAATTCTGATATTAGCTATATAGGGACTATAGGGCCTAATTTTATTCATTTTAGGCACAAAGATACACTTATTAGAAAAATACGCACCCTCAATTTTTTTGAGATAACTCACATATTGGGCGATGTATGCGGTATAAAGCCTCCCGAAAAATCGAAAAATTTTATATTAGGTATATAGGGGCTAAGGGAAGTATTAACCCGATTCAACCCATTTTTGACATTCAGACACTATTATAAGGGAAGGATTCTAGGCGGTGTTGTACTCCGATGTTACTCATTTTCGCACTGTATCATTGGAATGTTATGTACCAAATTTGGTTGAAATTGATCGAGCAGGTCCCGAGATATGTAATTTCAACTAAAAGTGGGCAGCGCCAAGCCCACCGTTCAATTTTACCACTGCCTCCTCCAAGGCCTTGTGCCATGTGCCATATGTGGATGTAAAATTTAAAGTCTGACACATTATAATTATTGATTTATCGCGATTTATCAATTATATATATATATATATAACTCTATATCTAACTCGATTAGTTTTAGGTGATACATACAACCGTTAGGTGAACAAAACTATTGTGCTCTGTAGCAACATATTGCAAGAGTATAAAAATTTTAGAACTAAAAATAACTTATTAGATAAAATATATTGTAAAAGTACTCCTTTAGTTCTAATTTTTTAGATTTGTTTTATTTTATTTTTGTTTGTAAGATCTTCATAAGATTTTCTTGCTATCTCTAACGCTTGTAACAACTTCAGAAATATATCACGTGCTCCATCAAAATCAAGCACCGCCACACAGCCAACCGGAGCCTTCTTAAACAAGGTATATGCCAATTGACGACGCCTTAGTGAGAAGAGATATGGAACATTCTGCTGTTGGCATTGCTTCTTAATATTGCAAATCTTCTCATCCAGTCCGTCTATAATTGAAATAAGATTAATTTATTTGAACAAATTGTAGGCAATATTTGCATAGTTTCTACCTTCGCCATCACATGTTTCACAGTCTGGTGCAATGATTATCAATTTTACTTTGTTTACAAGTAAAAAATTATTGGCTTCACGAAGTCCTACTACAAAACGTCGATGAGCATGAGCCTTTATTGCGTTTTGAGCTACTGCACGTTTTTGAAAGCGATCAAGTTCGCGGAGTAGTTGCTCAGTAAGTTCTGACAAAAGAGAAGTTGTGCAATTGTCACAATAACTGAAAATATAAATTATTGGATATTTTATTATATATATAAAGCCTTGATTTAGAAAAGCCCTTACTTTAACTAATATTAAAGTAATTTCATATATGAAGCTTGGTAAGTTTGTAATGGTTTTATATATACCTTCTGAATCGCCTCGAGTGGACGGTTTTAACACATTCTTGCGTAGGCCTAAATTCGTCACTAACTGGCTCTTTTTCCTTCTCTTTAGAATCAATAGAAAGAGATTCAATTAGATGCACTGTTTCCTCTAATATTTTTGTTGTTAACTGGTTTTTTGGTTGATTTTGTATTTTCTGCTGCCTGTAGCTCAATATAGCTTTTTTTAACTTGGTGTATTTTTTTCTTTTACCACCTTCTCTAGTCTTTCCCCGTTTCTTCCAGGTTTTATGTGCACGATTTCCAAATTTGCAGACCGTTCGGTACTTTAACTTTGTTTCCTTTCTCCTTTCTTTAGAAGTTTTAGTAAGAAAATGCAGCAAATTAAAGGTTGCACTGCCGCTGTTCTTCACAGTACTTTTTTTTCGAAACTTTGCATTTTTTAATTTACCGAAGGGATCATCATTTTTAGTACCTTGGTTTTGCTTTATATTTTCGAAAGTTTTTCTGTCAATAACATTTAGTTTGTCGGAAGTACCTATATAATGAGCGGCCATGTCACCAAAATTATCTATATATATATGTTTATAACTTTTTCTTACTAAAACAAACTATTAATTAAATTTTTTTGTTTACAAGGAAATCTACAAAAGAAATTTAAAAAAACAGACTTTGATTCTCACAGCTGTATTGTTTACCAGGTGTTCTCACTGTCAATAATCGATGCTATTGTTTTTGTAGATTGAACGGAAGCAAGGATACAACAAAAAAACGTTGTTGGTAATATACAAGGCAAACGGCCGGCCGGTCATAAACTTCGCCGCACCGGTATGGTCGACTGGATGTAGTGCAAGGCAGACGAAGGAGCTTCAGACATACCAGAACACTGCACTCTGGACTATCACGGGATGCCTCTTGGTGTCTTCACCACCAATCAGTTTCTGCTGGGATATTTTCACAGAAACTCCCCCTGTAGTCGTCTGCTTGAAGCTCCCTAGGAACATCAAGAGGTTTTTTCCTGACTAAGTCGATGACATTGAACAGTACACTGACTATGACATGCACTGACCGCCATTCACAATGGAGCCATTGACACCGTGCACCGGCCCGACTTCGGTCGCAACAAACTTAGACATTAGATTAGATTAGATTAACACCTTTCTCCCAATGGTCCGATCCCGTCGAAACAGCTCGGCCAAGGACTGTCAACTCGGCAGAGTTCTTCCGCTACAACAACAACAACCGGAAAGTATGGATGTGTTTGTGAAATCGTTTGCGAACAATTTTTCGAAACTAGTTTGTTTTGAAAATTTTGGTTTCAAGTCCGAGTACAGTATTTGTACTTGAAATACATTTATTGCAGCCAAAAATGCTGTTAAGATAAGGCCGATGTACTCATATGTTAATTTATGCTATTTATAAAAATTTTATGAAAATTGAACTTTAAAAAATTTCATTGCCAAATACAATTTCGTCCGCTTAACATATGAGCGTTTAGATTATACCTATTTACTAATTCTTACTTTAAAGGGTTATAAGCGAGTTTTCGCATGACCTCAGTTATATTGAAGGATTAACAAGCGTTATAGATTTGTAAAAATTCGAAGTTAAATAAATAATTTAAAAATAAGTCGTGTTTAATACAAAGTAAAAGAACTGTACATTCATGTGTATAAAATATGATATTTACGAATATATACTCTCCTTAATAGTTCTACAGACCTGAGATCAAATAAAAAAGTTTTATTTTTAATATAGAGGGAATATAGCTTTTAATTGCCAGTTTACATCAGTCCATTCAATAAATTGTTCTGCATCAATGGGATTTCCATCCATTAATCGTTTTTCCATGTTGTCTAATTTTTGGTAGTCGGCTATACTTTTTATGTACTGCAAACATTTTCGCATTGGAGGTGAATGTAGTTTTTGGCGTTTGCAATAGCTTAGTAAAGCTTTCAATTGATCCAATGGTTCCATTTGAGCCAATATAAAGCTAAATATATTCCGTACATCCAGCTTTAAATGCATTGGAAATACTCGAGAATCCGCTGAACGTCCACGAGGAAACACAATCAATGTGGGCGTTTTATCAATTTTAAACTCCCAACGTAACTCATCTAACTGCGTATTGATGCGTACTATTTGTACACCTGACGAATCGTCAAGACGAGCTGATAATTGTATAAGTGCCTGTGATACAAGTGCCGAGAATGTACATAGCGGCGAATAAAGCAGTACAATTGTGGTTAAATTTGACTGCTCTATTCTTTTCATGAGAATTTCACTGTTAACGTTTTCAATAAAAATCTTGCTTTGAGGTATTTCCGGTTTTATTTTAGAGTAACTAGTTGTTTTATACGCTGTAAGGCTGTTGTTATAATAACCCCGCACAAAGTGTTCCAACCTGTCGTATGCAAATAAATCTTGCGACAAAAAAATATTTTCTTTCAAGCGATCAGCTATTACCATTGTTACTAAGTTATTTACATTTGGTTCTTTAATTCCAAGTGTTTGAAAAAAATCCATGTGCTTAACTTCATCCAAAATAACAACTGATAATGATTGGTTTTGGCTCGACCTGAATTCGGCCCAATTTGTTTCAACAAACTTTTTTAAATATTTTGCGGCCGCTATTTTTCTTCTAGGCGAATTAAATTTGTTGCTTCGTATACATTTTGCAAGTTCCATAATATTGTATTTCAATCCATTTTCATTGTCACAGTTATCACTCAATTGGCACATCAATCGCTTATGGTGGGCATTTAAGCCGTAGTAATAATGTAAATTCCAAAGGTTAACAAATTCTTTTGCGTAACAGGTTTGTGGGCTTGATTGTTTAATTTTGTCCATCGCATATTTTAAATAACTAAGCTCTTCAAAAACCAGCAGATTACGTGACAAAGAGTTTATAGAACATGCGTCCTTAATGGACATTTCCGGATTTGTTAAGTTAAACATATATTTATAGAAATAGTCATTAGCAATTACAGTCAATACGGGTGACAAGCGTAATTGATTTGCAAGATTTTTTGGTGAGTTATAACCGTACATAGAATTTATTGACAGCACAATCTTAGATTTTAACCACGAAACGATATTGCTAACGTTCCAATTGTTTGGCAACAGCTCTATACCTTTATTAGTGATAAGTAAAATTTGTGATTGTGTTTGGTTAGTATTATTCAATTTGTCAATAATAATATCCATTGATTTTCCAAATGTTGTGGCAAATCGAATATTTGACTCTGGATCAGTTTCAAGCCATTTGACGCTTGCACTTACAAATTTTCGAAACTCAGGTTGGGAAAGATGAGGAAAAACTCCCAATACTACAGCATCCCTTTCCATTCTTATTTCTTTTAACTCACTCCTCGAATGTAATCTTTCCACAGGTAGAAACAGGTTGTCAATAAAGATATGAAGAGCTGTTGAACTCCAATCCCCGTTATATTGTAAACTAATTCGTTGACCATATTGTACTAATAAAGTTGGCCATTTGTTTGGTGTTCCCGAGCCAAGTGCAGAAGTGTGCGTTTTGCTGCAATTGCATGCAAGATGATAGCAATCGATGGTAGCGAAATAAATGTTTTCCCGGTAATAATGTGCAATGTGTTCGTATACCTTTCGGGCTATTCGACTATCATCGCTCCACGATACATGATAAAAGAGAAATGATAACTCATATTGTTCGGCTTGTTGGCGTATTTCATTAACAGCTTTCCCTGGACATTCGATAGGCGACGCAGTTACGATTGAAATATACAGTAATCTGACAAATATAAATAACACGTAAGAAAATATTTTTCCCCAGATTAACATCTTTTCTAATTGGATACAAACAGCTGTAATTGATTATGGTATGAATAACGAGGCAAACATAATGGAAATTAGTTAAATAGGGCTGCCAACTTGCACCAATATTAATGCAGAATGAAAAAGACAACATACACATATGTAAGTAGAACGCCATGTATCTGTAAAATCTACGAGATCACTTTTGGCGGTAAGAACTAAGGGTTTTTTTTGCTGCAAATAAAATTTCTCAAACAAAATAAGTTAAAATATCAATAGATTTTACTACTGTGTATTTGAAAACTTGAAAATTTTAACACTAATAATAGTACGCAAATATAAATAAAATAAACATAAGTTATCCATGACATTACATAAATTTTACGATTTTTTTATCTTTAAAGTACATGAGTAATAGTAGTCCCCTTTAGTACAATCAAGAATTTGAAATACGTTGTAGGTTTAAGTTGAGGTACTAAGTGCTGTAGTTAAGTTCAGTATACTCATTAATGCTCCGACAAGTATTTTTTCTGAAGCATATAGTATACCGCCCACTGTTGCTGTTATGGGCTGAAAATATAAAATGTGTTTTTGTAGTAACTGCAATAGAGTTTATAAATTGTTGCTAATGAGGAAATACATACACCGAGCAGATATAAAGTAATCACGATTACGCGTTGCAGAATCACGATCACAATAGATATTCCTGTCAGCATTCCTAGCAGTGTAATTAAGGTCAGAACCTCAACTAAGCGTACAGCTACGGCCATTTTGCTTTTTTTAAAACCAAAAAATTATGTTTTTTCAATATTTCCAATTTTTCGTTTGATATACAATTTTTATAGTTTCTCTGACTTTTTTATTATTCATTATTTTTAATAATTTTCTTTCACAGCAACTTTGATCTTGCTATATTGTAGGATTTTTCGCTTCATTTTGTGTCTAATGCTTTCAAGTATGATTCCATTTAATCGAAAATATCAAATGCAAATTCAAGAAGTTTAGCTAAAACCATTACCTAAAATATAAAATAATACAACTGTTTTGAGAAACCATTAAATTTTAATAAATGTGTGTTGATACTCACCAATGTATCTGCAATAATACTGAACGATTTCATCATAATTGTAGTGATTTCTTCGGGATCATAGAACTGTAATATTCGAAATACAACCTTCCAAAGAAAACAGTAATTGGATGAAAATGTTTGCATTACATACATACAAATACACATGTGAATTACAATTAAATATTATAAACTTACAATTGCAGAAGCTATAATAAATAATGGCCAAATGACCGCCATTACTAAGCGAACTGCCCATATTATTGTATACCATGTTATAAGGAATAATCCAATGTAGGCAATGATCGTACCGTAGTCGTTAGGCAAATTCATGTTTTTTGTTAACCATTCATAAAGTACAGTATGCAGAGGTAAGTCCTAAATAAATAATTTAAGAAGTAATTTCCTTTGTTTTTTAATTTCATTTATTATACTCACCGTCCAATTGCCAGTTTCTGTTGATTGGAAAGGGGAATATGACATTCTTTTTTTTTAGAAATTTTGATAAATTAAAAATTGAATGAAAAATGTTTGTCATCAAAGATTTCTGGGCTAAATTGTTTCATATAGATTTTCTACAATGAAAGCATTAAAATACCCCGATGTATAGTATTTGGGTAGATATGTACATATGTATGTACTCTTTTATGATACCGCCCATTGAGTACGACTACAGAATTATTTAATATTGTGATAATATAAACTATATGTATGTATCATATGCATAAGTTGTACTACGCATACACAATCACTGTAACTATATTCATTGACTATATTGTTTGCGGGATTTAAAAGTTATATTGCGAATAGATTTTCGATATTTTTTTGTTGCGTGAACTTTCGAAATACGTGTGCCCAAACTATTGGGTGCACAAGTATGCACCACAATATTTCTTTACAATAAAAATATATATTTGTATGGAAATTATTTTTGCTTATATATATTTCTTTCGCTTATCCGATATGTTATCTACTTGTGTATTTAGTAATGGTCTTTCTTAGTAAATGAGAGCGTATTTTTAACAGTAAAATAAAGTTTTAAGGCTAAAGCAAAATAATCATACGTTTTGTTTTTGTTTACGACTCTGATAATGTAATGAATATACTTGACATAAACACATTTGACATTTGTTTATATTAAAACATAAACATTTAAAAAACAAAACATATGTTACATAGAGCTACCAAGTTCTTTTAATTCTCATTATTTTTGAAAGTCTTCATGTACCCTTGTTTAATACTCGAACTTCTAACTAGCTAATAAAACATCTTCACTTATTTATTTATTTAGAAATAATTTAATATATATGTCTCTAAAATTAATGTACAATTTTAATTCTTTCATTATTAGAGTGCTAAATCTTAACAAACAAAAATATTAAGAAAAAGGCGAATTTTAATTTTTATGTTTGAATGGCAAATGCCTTTATTTTCACACTCATTAAATTGAAATTACATACAGTTTAGTTATTTTATCAGCAAAGTTATTTATCATTTCGGTGTGGTAGTTTCTCTACTATACGTAGGTTTTTAGTTCACATTTCGCATATATAAACATACATATGTACATATATGTATATTGAATGCATATTATGTATTTGTTGAATTCTGTTCTGATTGATTTCTATATATATATATATATATATATATATATGATGGATATTTTGTAATTATAACTCCTATACTCGTATTTTACATTTACATTATTATTTGTATGAATATACATATTTAGGTTTATGTATATATACCATAAATTTAGCTTAAATTTAAACTTAAAAATTTCGAATACCTTTATAACGTGATTTGTTTTATATTGTTATATTTTTTGCTTTCCTCGTTATTATTATTATTTTGTATCGGTTTTTCCAACGATTAAAACTAAAGTTTTTATTCGTAAGTTATTTAAAATATATTGACTTATTGGACATAATAAACTGGTTAGTTAATCCGAAATTAAAAAAATATAACATATATCATAAAAATTAAAGTCTACGCAAATATACCCAGGGATGTTCAAAATCAGGATTGGACAGTTGAAAATTGGACTGCGTTGCGTCGACTTTAAACATAGTGAAATCCAATACTAATAGGTCGTAAACACACATATATGCACATATGAAATGTATCAAATATATATGTATGCAAAAAAATCACGTGAAAAAAACCTATTAAAGGGTCTTTAAAGCTCCTAGTCGTAATGACCCCTGTAAAGTATTATTAATTAAATCACACAGAACAGACAATCCAAAACGTTTTCATATCGAATTGCTCAAGTTTCTTGATAAATAACTTATTGTACTCATTTGCTTGTCGCATTTTTTGATTATTAAATGCATTACAAACTTAATTAATGGGATTTTGCTGTTTTTTATTGAGCCATCATCACTTGTTGAATTGTATTTATTTATTGATTGATAGACGTTCGACACTTGCCAGTAATTCATCCGCTGTCTGAGAAACAACCTGATCCTGGTCGTCACTGGTACTCAAGTTCTGCAGACGTTGTTCAAGTGCAGATAGATCTTCTAGCTCACGTTGTTGTTTTACCATATAGCGTAAAATAAGCGTTGTCAGCATACACATATCTTCTAAAATTTTCGCTGACTCGGGAGTGGGACGGTCGTAGCGTGTGCGTAATAGGCGTAATTTGGCCTCGGCCAGTTCAAGAGGAGTCTTACCACTGCGATCATACATATGGACACTTGCTCCACCTTGTAGAAGTACGCGTACCACAACATTAAAGTTATTAGAACTGGCTGAAATTACGGCAAGATGAAGTGGAGTATTGCCAAGAGAATCCACAACATTAGGATTGGCGCCGAAATTAAGCAACTGTTGGACGATTTGTATGTAACCTCGACAAGCGGCCAAATGCAGTGGACTACGTTTATATTCATCAGCCGCATTAGGATCCGCTCCAGATTCTAATACGCGTGTTAACAATTCGATATTGCAGGTGGTAGCGGCGGTGCGCAATTTGCGACCATTTGACTCAGCCAAAATATTGTTATAGTTTGAACGTAAGCGTTGCTTGCTACGCGTGCGGAGGCGCATCTTAAATTGAGACAGATGACTTCCTGACGGCAGGTTACTCGGATGGAGTAAATAATCAGAATTGAGGGGTAATGGCGGCAAATGTGGTAGCGCAAAATGTTCGCCGCGATTCAGTTGGAATGCATTCGGACTGAAATTTGGCCACTCATGCGTGTTGGGTGAGGACGTTGGAGTGGGCGGCATTATGGCCGGTGGTGGTGTAATATCTATGATTTTTGTCATGCCACTTCCAATACCTACTGATAATCCGACTCCAATATTAACACTAACATTACTGACTCCATCGTTGCTATCATTGCTCGTCTCTACGCCGGAATCATTCGCGGCCATTGCTTATGTGTGTGTGTAATTTGAGCTTTGCGCTCTGTTAATATAAATATTGCTTTAGCTGGCGTTAAACTATGTATTTAATAACAGTTAAATATTAATATTATTTTCTTCTTAATTTTTTGTTGTAAAATTTTTCAATATTTCACACGCTTTCTTAAATAAACAATATTTTTTCACGCATTGGAAAATTTTTTGTTTTGTGTATTTTGTGTTTTTTTCTCTTCTTCGCCTATTTTTAATAACACTCGACTGCTGCTGTCATATTTTATAGTTGCCAGCTTGTATTCTTTTGAATTTCACCATAACTGTATACAATTTAAGATCGTAAATTGATTTTAAAAATTACGATCAAAATTACTGGAAAAAAATAATATCCGTATAAAAAGCACGAGTGACGTATTTTTTATTGCCCTAAGTACCCTTTTTTTTTAGTTGAATATATTCTATTTTTAAGATTAGACTAGTACAACGTTCGTTTCCCGATCCCAAATAGGTAAATTACTGCTTCAAATTGTTTTTCTAATGCTCGACATTTATTTTTATTCACAATATATTATATATATGTATATAAATAAAAAAAAAATTTTAGTTACATGCACACACTACACTAATAGTAAAAACCTAAACGATAGCATAAAAATTTATCATGTAATCTGCTAAAAGTAATAAAACATAATACTGTTGAAACTTTTTTCTTATAACAATGTACATTTGTACGACTAACACTAATAAGAAGAAAAAGTTTATATAATATATCTTCCCTTGCTTGCTAGTTTTACATTCATTTATGGCAAGTTATTAAAAATATATGTGTTCACTTTCTAATTGCTTTTACATTTTTAAGTTAAGACTTATTATATATAATGGAGTATGATCGATTAAAATTCATAATATTTAAGTACAATTGTGGTATATACAAACTTATATCAATTTGCATTGCCAATATTTTGCCAATTTCAGTCTATTGTAAACGATACTGCAAGGTGCACTCTACTCACAGCTTAACTAATTAATCGAATGCTACTTTCCTAGTAAACGAAGTAAGTGATGAAATCTCACTGGGATTAGAATCAGAAGGCAAATGGCTGAATTCAATTTCTTCATTTGCGGCTGCAGCAACAATATTTTCATTTGATTGTGTAGTTTCATCAGAGCTATGGGATGGCCATTGTTTGTGGCTTGGGGCATACAGAATAAGTAGTGCGAATATGTAGATGTTCCACATACCATAGACACCAGTCAAGAATGCAGATGTTAATTGTATTTCCATATCTTCGTCCCACTTCCATTGGCCTTCCGCAACTTGTCCCATAATGAATCCGGCAACAGTCAATCCAGCACATAATAGTGTAGCAAGCATCAGAAATTTGAACCGATATATAAGACCTACAAATTTATTTATAATGTTAATTAACTTGTAGCAAATATTTACTCAACCTAGGCTGTCTTCTTTATATGTGCAAAACTAATACACTCTAATTTCATGTAAAAATACTAACCTTCATAGTGTAGTCGGCGAGCATTAGACATAGACGGCAATGATGTGCGCTTTGCTCCGATATTTTTAAAAACTTTCCAAACCATGTAGCATAGGAAAAGGAAGTAAATTCCAGCTGATATTCCAGCCAAAATAATAAAACTCATTGCCACTCTGGCACCAATAGGCGTAGTCCAAATAGAATAGAATGGGTTTCGCATCTGCACACCACGCTCACATATATCAAATATGAAGAGCGACAAACATCCAACTACAACTGCTGACAAATGTTTCCAATAGCGAGAACGTATCGTTGATTTATACGGCGACTCCTGAATTAGCATGTGTTCTCCAGCAAAAACAAGCCAGAACGAAAGCAACATTGCATAAAATACTCCTTGTCGAATATCACTTAATAGCAGCATATAGGGCATCTCAATGAATAGAGATAGATATTCTAGTGGAAAATTAAGAAATGTTAAAGCTGCACCAAGATATATCAGCATATATTCCAATAAAGCTGGTGAACGTTGTAGGATATGTACTCGTTGCCAAAACCAAATCATTATTACCACCACAAAGGGGAAGAGTACAGTTTTAAGGGACAACCACACTTTTGTGAAACCACCATTTTGATGAATTACAGTAAGTGTTAGATCGTGCATATGACCCAAATTGAGATTCATTTTCATATCGGTGTCAATGGGAAAACGTAAGTTAAGCAAATAGAAGTCGTGATGTAGATCGCCCAGTTCAAACAGAGGTACCATATCACAAGAAAATAATGATTCCTCTTGACTCGCCGTCTTCAAGCTGCAATCGAGGTAACGTTTTTCAAGAGAATGTGCATACAGTTTCCAATCACTTTTACGATCACCCTTGTTTCTACAATTATATAAAAAAATTTATTATGCATCACATATTGAATGTTGTGATTATAATAATCATGATTTGCACGTACCTGTAAGCTAAACGCGTATCAATAGTTAATTGCAGATCTTTAGGCGGCTCTACCAGTGACATGTCAGAATCGTATGCAATATCAACCTGCAACACGCCAATTAAATTTTGTTGCCATCGAGAGTAGTCAAATTCTTCACCACGCGGCAATGGCATTTGGAAGATATATACTATCTCATTTGCCATTTTTGTGTCGTGTCGTTCAATATCTTCTTGTGAAACGGAAGCGCATTTTCCCTCACCTCGTAAATGCAGCCAAAATGTTGTGTCATTCTGACGCTGTGGTGTATCTTTACAGACCATACCAAGAATTACCTGATGGCCGGCTGGTAGTGGCGCCAGTAGACCACCCAAGAGAAAGCAGGCGATTTGGCTCAATAGTAATATAGCAACTAATATAGCTAATTTACGTCCGCTAAGATTCTCGAGGATTGTACCTGACATTTTTGGTATATATTAGCACCAGACTTTATTTAAAAATGCGGCTAAATAAAGAATCGATATAAATATCAAAATTGTTGTATACCAGAAAAAAAAACTAAAATAAAGCGTCGCCGATAACAAAAGCGACTGCGTAAGAAGAAGATTGCCCAGGCTGCCAAGTTTGTTAAAAAAGTTAATGCAAAAATCTATATTAGAGCTGGAGAACAAAAATCTTATATTATATGAAGCAATTTAGCTTAAAATAAAGTACACATTTATTTGTAATTAAGAATGTATGATATAAAACCAATACAGTTTATATGTGTACATAAAAGTAAGTATATGTATATTTTGATCTGGCAACTCCATAAACCGTTGGTTAAATGTGTAATGCTGCGCTAAAACTTAATAATGATACTAAATCAATATAAAATGTGTTTAAATTATAAAAAACGAGTTTAAGTGTATTATTGATATTAAAATGTAATGGATTTTAAGGCAAAGGAATAATAACACTTTTGTATTGAAACCCGTTGTAAATGCTTAATTTTGAGTTAGGGCGCCATCTGTAAGCTGGTAGTTGCACTAAAATTCTAGAACTACATTCCAAACAGTGTCCACATGTGTGACATGCTACAATAAGATTTTGACAGTTGACATGCACATCGACGTGTCAAAAAAGTAAAAGTTATAATAAACTCATTTAGCCTGTATTGTGTTTTAAAATAAATAAATATTTATAAATATTTGTAAAACTGAAAAGTTGCTAGTGCGCACGGGCTAGAACGGCAGAGAAATGGTTTTGGCAGATTTAGGCCGGAAAATTACCTCGGCGATCCAGTCGTTGAGTAAAGCCACAGTAATTAATGAGGAAGCTCTGAATTCAATGCTGAAAGAAATATGCGCAGCTTTGCTGGAGGCTGATGTGAATATACGTTTGGTTAAGCAATTGCGCGAGAATGTAAGGGCTGTCATTGATTTCGACGAAATGGCTGGCGGCTTAAATAAGCGTCGTATGATACAGTCTGCTGTCTTCAAGGAATTGATAAAATTGGTAGATCCTGGTGTGAAGCCATATCAGCCAGTAAAGGGTCGGCCCAATGTTATTATGTTCGTCGGTCTACAGGGTTCCGGTAAAACTACAACATGTACTAAGCTAGCCTATCACTACCAAAAGCGAAATTGGAAATCTTGCCTTGTATGCGCTGATACCTTCCGTGCAGGTGCATATGATCAGATCAAACAGAATGCAACAAAAGCCCGTATACCGTTTTATGGTAGCTATACCGAAATAGATCCTGTTATGATTGCACAAGAAGGTGTGGATATGTTTAAACGCGAAGGATTCGAAATCATTATAGTGGACACATCCGGGCGCCACAAACAAGAAGAATCTTTATTCGAAGAAATGTTGGCCGTCTCTCGAGTAGTTTCGCCCGACAATATCATATTCGTAATGGATGCTACCATTGGTCAGGCTTGTGAGTCCCAAGCTAAAGCGTTCAAGGAAAAAGTGAATATTGGTTCAGTTATCATTACTAAGCTTGACGGTCACGCAAAAGGTGGTGGCGCACTATCTGCAGTTGCATCAACTAACTCTCCAATTATTTTTATCGGTACCGGAGAACATATTGACGATTTGGAGCCATTTAAAACGAAACCTTTTATAAGCAAACTTCTTGGTATGGGTGATATCGAAGGCCTGATTGATAAGGTAATTATTCAGAAAATGATTTTATGTTATACAAGTTTTCGATATAATTTGAAAATAAAACTAGTTTTGCACGAGATTTATTTTATATTTAAATTATACGTAATTAAATATATGCAAATATTATGTTACATGTATACAAAATATATTTTTCTTTTTAAGGTGAATGAACTGAATCTGGATGGCAACGATGAATTACTCGAAAAAATAAAACACGGCCAATTTACCATACGCGATATGTACGAACAATTTCAAAATATTATGAAAATGGGTCCATTCTCCCAAATAATGGGCATGATTCCGGGCTTTTCTCAAGACTTTATGACTAAAGGTGGTGAACAGGAGTCAATGGCAAGAATAAAACGTATGATGACCATGATGGATAGTATGTCCGATGGTGAACTCGATAATCGTGATGGTGTTAAGTTATTTACAAAACAACCCACGCGTTACGTACGCGTGGCTCAAGGTGCTGGTGTACTCGAAAAAGAAGTACGCGATCTAATTTCACACTATACGAAATTCGCCGCCGTGGTGAAAAAAATGGGTGGCGTTAAGGGCCTTTTCAAACAAGGAGACATGACAAAGAATGTCAATCCCAGTCAAATGGCAAAATTGAATCAACAAATGGCAAAAATGATTGACCCGCGAATGCTGCATCAAATGGGCGGAGTTGGAGGTCTGCAGAATATGATGCGACAATTACAACAAGGTGCTGCTGGTGGTCTCGGTGGCTTAGGAAATCTAATGGGTGGCTTTGGTGGCAAATGAAATACGCCAGTAATAAGATATTGTTTAGACTCTAGTAAAAATATTTGTTAAGAAATCGTGTTGTCACGCAAAGAAAGAGCCGTGGATGTAGTGCCCATTTGCATTAAGCACAGCTGCTTTTCTCGTTGCGCCAATAAAGAGTTTTTCCATTGTTTTCTTATTTAACACTTTTTGATTGTATATTATGTAAATTTTATGTTAATTAAATTGGATCAAATGAAAAATACCACGTACATAGATATACATAAAAACAATGCGGCGTAAAATTAAGTATATTTACGGCGTAATTTTGTATTAAAGCACATTAAATAATTAAATAAAACGTCGCGAAATAATTGACTTTTAACAGCAAAGGGTGAAATTGAAACAAGTTTAATATTATAGAATAAGATTCTGTTCTGTGTAATTTAGTCCTTATAGACGAAGAAGTAATTCTTTTATCAAATACCAATATAGGCTAAGTTATAATACATATTTTTTGAATCGAAAAGGTTGCATGAATAATAAAAAAAATTTCAAGTAAACGATTTGTTTTGATTAGGGAATATATAGATAATGCCATCATTAGCAAGTGAAAGAGCAGTTTTAAACTTTTTTCATCAAATAAATATTTTTATTTATTTATATCTAATTTACTCTAAATTATATAATTTATTTAAACTAAAAGTTACAATATTTTGGTCGGTAAAAAACTCCTCAGTTGATTTGCATCATCTTATAGCGATTAAACAATATGACATTTACATATAAATAGTAAGATTAAATACCTCCAACATATTTGAGACAATAAGGAACAGTTATAAAACCACAGTTATTAAACCGATTGACGTTAATATATGAGGACTATGAGACTAGGTTTGAACTGATTTTCTCAACTTTCAGCTTTAAGTCACTTTGTACTCAGCAAAACAATCCGACTTTATTTCTTTATCTTTAACAGATTTAAATGTATTGACCGATATACATATATATGTATGTATGGGAAATAAAGTTGAAAAGAGGGACGTTATTCTTCTTGGGTTAGAAAATATATCTAATAAATATTGAAGAATGCTTCAGAACTGACAGTCCTTGGCGACATAAAAATACAAATCCATTTTAGTTACCTTCTCGATGGTCGTGAGAAGGGCAATCCTTATTTCGGCGTTCACAAATAATATGGATCGATTTCGAAACTATTTGCGTTACGTTTAGTTTTGATATATTATATTTGTCAATGTTTGAGTTAGAAAATTTTCAAAATGACTTATTACGTGGTTGTAGTACCAACTGTACGTAACAGGTACAAAATTGTTCTTTTAGTTTGTGACATATGTATGTAATAATTGGGATTATGATGCTGCCTGAAAGATGGCAAAAGGTCATTGATCCAAAAACGTCAATGAATCCGCAATTACTTACTTGCCAAACCAATATTTAAAATTGCTTCAAAACGGAGCCAAATTCAAATAAGTATCATGGTAACTACCCCACGGTAGCTATATACTAGGTATGTTGTATGAAGCATTGCAACATTGAAGTAACAGTAAATTACGTACATATGTATATATACGAGTATATATATAAATATTAACTATATACATATACACGCCACTTTCACGATGACAATAACACTAAAAAGTGTCATTAGCTGTCAAACTTTGGCACTCGTAAAACCGTCAAACAAGCCAAACGAACAGGAGTGCAGAAAATTCAGTAAAAGTATTTGGAAAAACGCTTTCATTGTGGCAGAGGATGCGAAAACAAACAAACCTCAAATAGACATCATTGTAAGCTTTTACATCTCCATACATATATATTTGTATATGTAAATATTTATTTATATACCATATACCCTTTTTATACACCCACATACACGAGGTATTCATATCAAATGGAAGTAGCAGTGCGATGGCATATAAATGGTGAACAGGACACCGATGTGTGGGTGTATGTATGCATGTGTGTAATATACAGAATCTTTCATCTTTGAGTGTGTGTATCACAATACAAATTTAAGGAGCACACCTTGTGTGAGATGCTACTTTTGGTTTGTGTCAATTCCTTTAAATTATTAAGGGTATATATATAATATAGGTATACATTTTTTAAGAATATATAGAAAATTTTTTGCAGAAAAAACTAAACTTTTTGAAGAAAAAAAAAACAATACGCGATCTCTGACGACGGTAAAAAAGCTGCTCTACTGCTACAGTGATTCCGGCCTTCTTCATGGATGAAACTTTAAAAAAATAACTTCTCTACTAGAAGATATTGTCCGTATGGCGGCGTTTTGAAAAAGGTTGAATTTTGCCAAAATTTTTTTCGTTTTTAGCCTGCTTTAATTCCATTTTTGATCAGATCAAAATACTGTTTGGTCATTGTATGAAAAACTACAGTTTGGTTGAAAACTTTCTGCGCTCGAAATGCAAAAATATTGTTTTTGGTACGAAATATATTTTTTTATGCAATATAATATCCTGCAATAATTTTATGCCATCCCTATGACTCCGGAAGCTCTGCAAAATACCCGTCTACGGCTGTAATATTTTCTCCTTCGACGAAAAACGCTTTACACGAAGGAATTATTTCAGGTTTCTGAAGAGATAGTAGTCGCTGGGAGCCAAATCTAGTGAATACGGTGGATGTTCAAGCGATTCGTACTTTAATTCGTTGAATTTAGTCATAGTTAAAACACCTTTGTGAGCTGGTGCATTGTCTTGTTGAAAAGTGATTTTTTTTGTGCTGAAAACCAGGTCTTTTCTCATGAAGCTTTTCATCCAGCTGATCCAAAAGGCTGCAATAATATTCGGAGTTGATTGTTTTACCTTTCTGCAGATAATCAATCAACAAAACTGCTTTTGCATCCCAAAAACCTGATGCCATAACCTTCTTTGCTGATTGTTGTGACTTCACCAGTTTTGGAGCTGAACAACCAGCTTTAGTCCACTGTAAACGTTCTTGTTTCAATAAGTCTCATCCATAGTTATAAAACGATGCAAGAAATCGGTTTTATTCTGCTTAAAACACGCCAAATTATGCTGAGAAATTTGTTTTCGATCCAGTTTTTGTTAAATTGTCAACGTGTATGGCACTAACTTTCCAAACAGCTCTTTTATATGTAATTCTCCATGTAAAATATGAACCACTCGTTCGTTTGAGATGCATATGGCATTACTTGGCAAACTTGGATCTTCACTAACAATATTATGAACTTGCTCAATGATTTCTGGGTTGGTTGCGGTTTTTGGTCGTCCTTCGCGTGGATCGCAGAAACTTTTCAACAAACCTGTATATACTGAATATGCAGAAAATGTGATACTATTTTATAGTGATCGGAACATTTGTTTTCGAACAATCACTCCAGTTAGCTTGAAAAATATAGTTTTGAGAAAAAGATAAACTCAGATTGAACTGAGCGGCTAAACTTTAGAAGGCTGTAACTCAAAAACTATCTGAGATTTATTTTAGTAAGCTATTTGTAAGGTAATAACACCTCGAAATTTATTTATATTACTATAAATTTCACACTGTGTGTGCTCCTTCAACAACTTAAGTACTGTTAAGGTTTGTCATTATCTGCCAAGGGCCTGCTGTAATTTCGTCGAATTGTACGATTTCACCTAACGAATTATGCTTGCGCGATTCACTATAGGACTTGTTTTCTTCCGTAATAAATACTAGGACGTGAAGAACAATTAATTGTTTTGGAAAGGGAAACTTGAATAGGGTGATTGGAAGTGCACTAAAATCACCTAACTGACAAGCCATTTTAAGTCTCTTATGTATTATATTTTGTAGACTTAGTCTATTATATAATATAATACTATATATCAGGTATAGATTAGATGGACTTAGTAATCTGAATCTCGCGTTGTACCATTTGATCATACGATCAAATATGACCCAGACTGACAAAAAAAAACTACATTTTCAAGTTTTTTAATACACGTCTATATTATTGCCTTCAAAATATGCTTCTGATACACTTGTTATAAGCCTCTGCTGGAATGGCCTGCCCTTCAAAGTTTTCAGCGAATTTTGGATTTTTTCGGTTTCGGCACATTTAGTGAATGGCGCCACTAGATTGTTGGACAGTTTTGACGTCATATTTATAAAGCTTTCTCGTCAGCAGTAGTAATGCGTTTGTTGCATGTAGCATCCTCAGCAGCGTTGTCAGGCATCTCTTTTGCGATTTCTGCTCATTGTCACTTTTGCAAAAGATTCCGGTTGATGCAATATTCGTATACTTATTTAGCGAAATAAAAAATACTAATATCAGTTCTTCCTCTCACTTTTCATCCAATATTAATTATACATAGTTACTTACCGATGAGAACTATTATGAACTATTTAACCTTGCTTTCCTTTACCACCTAACCCCTTTTTCTTACTTCAAAGATGATAAATTCCACCAACACATATGAAAATATTTCGGTTTCAATTATGTTGTTGTATATTGTATTTTAGTTAGATTTCAATAGCACAAACGAATATACTGAATATCTTTGAACGAATGTGTATACATATATATATAGCCTTGTTCACCTACCTGTGATTTTCATAAATAATTGTTGAAGAACTCAGAACATATAAAAATGAGCCAATGGTTGCCGAGAAATTACAATAAAATCTCTATGTGCGCCATTTTTGGTCATTATGGGATGCCTGTTAGTATATTTGGTTGAGTTAGCTAAGCTGAGGAGATTTTCCTTAATTTTTGAATATGTTTAAGTATGTATATCAGAAATGTTGTCTAACTGCTAGAGCATATTTCCGTTGTTTAAATAGTTGTCTCATACATTCATTTTTCTAAAGTGAAAGCGAAATTAAGAGGCTAGGTCAGTTTAGAATTTTCATAAAATCGATTATTTTATCTTTGGCTAAAAGCACACTTAAGGGTCCTAAAACATTATTCACTTAGTGGAATAGAGAAAAAGAAATGTTTTCCTCTTCAATCTACTGTAGAGTCGAAGCGTAAAAGTTTAATGCGTAAAAATGTAAACGGTTTTTCTTCTCAAAACAGCATCTTTCAAATCGGGAGACGATGGTATTCGAAAAATATCGAACGTATATATTTGAAATTAACTATAGCTTTCTTTCATTTCAAATAACTATTACAAAGCCTGTAAAAAGAAATTCGATACGTGTTTCCTTATTCCCAGTATAAGCTATTCTCGTCGATGGGTCTGGTTTCAGGTCTTTAGCCTGGCCTAACCCCTTCAAAAAATTTATTTTCGCCCCTGGTTTTTGGTCAAATTAGCTCCTTACTTGACAAAGCAACAAAACTAACACTTTTTATATAGTCAAAATTAGTGCATAGCAGAGATTCTGTGGCAGCTCTTCCTAACCAATATAACTTATTCATATTAGGAAGCATACTAGATACAAAAAAAAATCAAATGTTGTGTTTCTTGTTTTTTTTTTTTAATTTAATTTAATCGCTAAAAATTAAAAACAATCGTAAAATTAAAACGCACTTACATTACTTTGCTTGCATTTAACATTAATTTAAAGTTTTAGCTTAAAGATGCTAGCGCTTTCCTAAAAATTAATAAGCTTAATTTTAACTCCAGCCAAGCAATTAAACATTTCAATTACAAATCAATTATCTACTTAAAAATAAATCAAAGGAAATATAAAAATAATAATAATAATAATAATAATAACAAAACACAATTAAAGTTGAAAATAACTAAATTTATACTTATAAAATACATACAAATGTTTAATAAATTAAAGCGAAAAAAATACAAAAAACAAATAGCGTGATGTTAATTCTCGTTAAGCTCAAAACGTAGTTGTAGAAAATGTACATGGTAGATAGAGGAGACAAAGAAGAACAAAGAATTTTGACTTTTAGGTTTATGAGTTCTTTTTATTTGGATTTGTTTTAATGTTTGTAAGCATTTTTAGCATAAATCTTTCAATTGCAAATTAGAAGGTAAATCAAATGCTCAAGCAACAATGCGTGCGCGCAGCTTACACGCTTTTTATTTGTTTTTGTTTTTCTTTTTCCTTTTTCGCTTTCGCTTTTGTTTTTGTTTTTGTTTCAGTTTTTATTTTCACTTTTTCATTTTTGTTTTACTTTTTACTTTTTACGCCTATGTTATCCATTTACAGAGATTTTTTTATGTACTACTTATGTGTATGTATGTATATACTACGGTCACTCTTCACATATCATTTACCTTGCATGCATTTTCATCTGTTTAACAAACTTGAAATGTTCACAAATTCAATGTTTTCATTTTTACTTAAGTAAATATATTATTTATGCGCATGTATGCAGAAATCCGCTGCTTCTCATTGTAATAAACCGATTTGTTGTTGGTATTACCTACATACAAATGATGGTTAACTTTTTTTCAAGTTACCGTTAACGCAACTGTCCACTTTAATGCTACTGTAAAATAATTAATTTCTTTTTGAGAAAAAAAAAAAGAAAAAAAAAATTATATGCCACACTCGCAAAAATGCATTTCAGTTACTTTCGCCAATGGAATTTAGGCTTTCGGTTCTAGATTTAAAAATTAGCAACTAATTAAAGCTCTATAAATTTGTTTTAATAAGTTTGGAGAATAGAAAGCGAAAAGTTTTCAAAAATTTATATGTCGCTCTAATGGTAATCGCAATATGCATTTCTCGCAGGATTTTTTCTATAAAAAAATGTATACCACATACGAAAATATTATAGCGTATGAACAAGTTTTGCCCCATCGACCTCCTTGGAACGCGCACAAAAGTAAATTAGGCTTCGTTTGAGCCCAATGTGTCGATATAGCAAGCTAAAAAAAAAATAATAAAAAAAAAACAAGAAAAAAATAAATAAAAAAAAGTTTTTTTTTAATTATTTGAAAAATAAATATTATAAATCAATGAAAATATACAAAATTAAATTAGTATTTTGAATGGCAAATTAATAATAAAAATTAATTTGAAAAAATTTTAAAAATTGCAATTTTAACAATTATTTCTTAAATTATTATTAAAAATCAACTATGACTATTTGACAAATAAAAAAAAATAAATTTGACAAATAAATAGTAGCAATTAATAAAAAATATATATAAAAAATTGCAATTTTTATTATAATTTGAAAAAGTTTGACAAAAGATATTAAAAATTATTAAAAAAAATCATATGTGACGAAAAAACTAAACTCTAATATGAGTAATAAAATTGTTCATTGAAAAAAAAATCTATTAAAAATGTGTGTAAATAAATTTTTAAAAGTTTTAAGCTACAGCTTGAGCAGTAAGTTGAACTCGACCATTACCGCCATTAATATTTCATGGATTGCACTCCGCTTTTAAACTTTCAATCACAATGAATTTTGCGATAAGCTTAATTTATAAACCAATGCAAATACCATTAATTTTCTCTTAAAACGTATAAGTTATCCGTCATAATTGCATTTCGCTTTTGTTAAATATAGAATGCATAGCTTTGAAGAAAGATAAACGGACACACCAAAAGCAATTATATATAGTTGATTGATGATAAGTGTATATTTTTATACGAAATGTTGTCGATTTTAACGTTTGTAAGCAAATCTGCGCTCGACACATGCACCTTTATATAAACGCGTGTGGGCGTGTGGGCGTTGAAATTATTATATTTTTTTAAATTTGATTTTATCAATTAAAGAATGCCAGTTGCTTGCTTGCTTGCTTCTATCTACCTTTTTGCTACTTTCTACATGCTACATACTACAGTTTCTTAATTTACTTCGTTTCCACGCATTTACTTTTCAATTTCTACTGTTTTCTCATTTTTTCTCTGATGGTCGCACGTTTGTATATAAGTATGTTCCTAACGGTACGCCATTTTACTTGCTCTATTTTCATTTACCAACTATGCTACTGGTACCACTTCTTACAAGTATTAACGTATGTTTTTTTTTTTTTTTGGTTTTTTTATTATTATTTTGCTCTTGTTCTTCTTCTACGTTAATGCTTATAATCGAGTTTTGACTTATTTGTATACTTAGTGGCTACGTTTCTTTCATTCATTTCTATTTACTACTAATATTTCTTAAACTAAGGATTTTTCATCATTTTTCTGCTGACGCTATTTGTTTTGTTGTTGTTGTTGATTTTTGCATATTTTTGTTTGTTCTGTCTTCTTAATTATACTAAACGTTTTTAGTTTTTCTCGTCGTTTTCAACTTGTGTTTGTCAAAAAATACTTTTGTTTTCATCTGCAATTTATTTTGTAAATTTTTTTCTTTTCCTTTTCCTTTTGTTTTTATTTTTATTTGCGGTTCGCGTTTTCGCACAAATTTTCCTAACAAATATGTGTGTTAGACTGCAGAAACTCTGTTACAAATAAATTAATTTTAATTTTACTTAAATTACTAGCTTTAAACACGTTTATCTTTTTCTACAAGAACAACACTAGTGTTTTAAAATACAATAACAAAAAGTTAAGAAATCGAAGAGTCAAGCACGTTTACATTTCAGAAAGTGTCTTGCAACTTGCCTTATAAGCACTAAAATTACAAAATACAAAACAAAAACAAATGTGTAAAATCAGGTTACAAAAAAAATTGCACATTAATGGAACTGTTTTGAAATTTGCATTTGTATTTGTGATTTGCATTTTATTCGACTTAACGTGTGGGTCAGTCGCAGCAAGCTTTAAGGGATTCAAGGAATTTTTACTCTGTTGTAAAGTGTGCCTTTTTGGGAAATTTTTTATTATTTAATTTTAATTTTGACATAACATTTCACTCACAATAGTTTTCATATTGTAGCTTTCATCGAGCTCACGGTGCTTTAATTCGCAAACTAAACTTTCACGAGTTTTCTAATTTGCTAACTTTAATGAAGCAAATCAATCTTGTATGTGTTTTTCACCCAGGCTTGCTTTCATATTGAAGCTTTCATAAAGTGTTTTGATTCGTCAACCAAAATTCTATATATTTTCGAATTTGCGAGCTTTCATACTGAAACTTTCTTAAAGCTTTCGGTACTTTTATTCGTATTAGGCTGCAACGCTATTGCATTCTAATGAGAAAAAATTCCTGTGTGGAATGTTAGCATGAAAGCTTAATGGGTGAGTTGAAACACTAAGGTTTTTAGCTAAGCTAAAATGTTTTGAAAACATTTCACTGTTTGAATATTATATAACCGGAAAAGGGTAACAAAATAATTTTTCCCACTGCGCTTTCTAAGCATAGAAATATATAAGGGATTTTGGATATTAAAAAATATATATGTATATGTAGGTAAACATATAGTGCTTTTACTGTTTCATTTTGTTTTCATTAAGAACAAATAGGCATTAAAAAACGCTCAGCCCATACATACGACTTTTTGTAGCAAACATATAACGTTTTTTTTTTTTGGCGAAAAGGTTGAGTATTGGGTATTTATGATCCTTAAAGTCTTTATGTATATGTGCCTAAAAATACATAAATTTTTGTACATATGTACGTATGTATATAATTAGATAATATGTATATATATTAAAAATATCATTCTTTATTGTATATGAATTCTTTGCTATAATGGTTATTTTGAATTCAATATATATAAAAGGAAGACATTTGTTGCACCGGTAGTGCAGTTAGAGGATCATAAATTTTGGTTATTGTTTTGTAATCTAAATATAGATTAGAAATTTTTCATGCCAAACAAAAGGGTTACAAGTAATGCATTGTGGAATGTAGTGATTTGTTTTATGCACGCTATTTAAAAATTCTATATATTTTTTATAAACTTTTCTTGCCAGTTTAAATTATCAGTATGTTAACATAATTTTTAAAATTTCCATACCCTTTTTTATATTTTGGAAGTGCTTTGTTGTGAAAAGTTGTTAAAGGCTCTTTAGAAATTCGGAAAGAAATAAATAGTTTTGTTACAAAATAATTGCGTTCAGTTGGATGAAATCAGTTGGTTATATGTAAGAAGCTTTGCTTTAACATTTTAAACCGGTAATTATGCGTGTTGGTTATTGGAAGTATTTGCCTGCAGCGCTTGGTTTTGCAAAATTAATTTTATTTTAATTTTGTTTGATAATGAAATCACAAATACAAACAATCTCACACAGCAGAATGCACTTTCATATTAAAATTCATTAATTTTTCTGTTTTCTTTAACACAAAGAATTCAAATACAACAAAACACAAAACGTAAAATTAAACACTTTTTAAATTAATTTTTGCTTTCTTTTGCATTTTGTAGGTAACTATTGTTGTTGTAAGCATTTTTTTAAACTTTTTTTTGTTAAATAACTTATTACTTTCAGTTAACGCATTACATTCGCTATAATCACTTAAATAATTAATGTGTGTCGGTTTTGTGTTGTGTTGTTGGTTGATTTTTCAGTTTCCTTCTTATTAATACAAGTCAGTTTTTACTTTTGTTTATTTAGTTTCTTTGTTTCAATTTTCATATAAAACTACTTTCTTCTTGTTTATTTGTTATCATTTATTAATTTACTTAAATTTTATCGCACGCTTATTAGCATTTTTTATTAATAAATTTACTGGTTTACTACTTTTTCAATTTGTTTGGATTTTCATGTTTCTTGTTCAAATACAATATTCTCATTCATTTTAAAATTAATACTAATTTCCCACTGCTTTTTTTCTTTTAAAAAACTACAATTTTTTTTTAAATACAATTAGCTCTTTTCGAATTACTTTCTGTGTTTGTTTTATATTTAATTGTTTTTTTAGTTTTCTTATTCCAAACTAGTCTTTTGTGTATACTAAACACTATTTCACCCACTCGAAAATAAAATAAAAACACTCTAAGGTGTAATGAAAATAATAAAAAAAAAATTAAATTAAAATAAAAAATAAAATTTTTTTTAAATAAAAATAAAAAGTATATCTTGTTAACACTAGTAACAGCTCAATGCAATTGATATCTTCAGTGGTTTGAATTAAATATTTATTTAAATGTGTAGCGGAGAACTTTTTTCGTCAACTGTTGTTGGTACAGTAAATATTTTTATGATATTGGATAAAATGATGGAAAATAATGATTATTAAAGTTATATTATTTAAACTATATGCCAACGTTTATTTTCTTTTATAAAGCTGCGGCTGGTAGCTTTTCACTCTATTTGTTTGACTATTTGAGAACTTTCAAATTTCGAAGTCAACTTTCAAAAGTTTTACAAGAGCAAAAAACAAAATAAATAGAAATAATAATAATAAGTAAAATACCAATATTTTATACTAAAAAGTGAAAAAGAAAAGAAAACACAAATATTTTTTATTTAAATAAAAATAATGAGATATTTTGCTTTTGTTTTTACTTTCGCATTTTTATTTTTATTATTTACTTTCCATCTATTTTTTTTTTTAATTGAAGTATGTGCTTAAATTATATGTTTTATTATAAAGAATAGAGGTAAACTTTATTATTTTTAGTGAGACCAGCTACAGCTCGTATGCAAAAAATATTAGTTTCTAAAACAATGCTTTAATAAGAATTATTTTAATATTCATATCCCAAATGAGTAGTTCCACATAAATACATATTTGATGTCAATTGCATGAGTGTTTGCCTGTCAAGTGTTTTTTCGCTAATAAAATAGCAACTACCATAAACACAACAAAATATATTTTTCAAAAAAATATTGTTCTAAAAAATATTAAAAAAAAAAAATTATTTTTCAGAAAAGTTATTTTAAAAAAAATATTTTGTATTCAAAAATATTTTTATTAAATAATTACTTTCAAAACAAAAAATGTAAAAAAAAATTGTTTTCAAAATATTTATTAATTTTAGATTGTTTAAAAAATTGTTTTGAGATTGTTAAAAAAATTTTTTTTCTATAAAAACAAATGCTCGCAAACAAAAGCCAAAACAAAAATTATTTCGGTTTGTTTGTCCCATTTTGTTTCGATTATACAATTTAGTTTTCATGAATTTCAGTAGTTTTCAACTAGAAAAAAACCAAAATGCCATCTAATAGTATTACTAAATTTTTCTAATGGATTTCGGCTTGCTTGAAAAAACATTTGAAATTTAATTTGAAAATGTTCAAAATTTATTATATTTTGTAATTATTATTTCATATATAAAAATTTACAGTTTAATTTCATTAATTATAATTAAAAATGATTTGGTACAATGCTGGATTTTTCAAAAAAGATTATAAAAAAAAAAAACGTAAAAAAACAATTAACTAAAGAAATTCAAAACAATTTTTTTTTTAATAATATTATTTTAAATTTATTATTAAATAATTTAATTTAATTTAATTTTTGCGTTTTTGCTTTTCAAAATCCAATTAGAAAAGTGTAGCTCTACTTTTAGTGCGCAAAATTACTGAAAACTCGTGTTTGCTCGCAAAGCTCGCCTCAAATTACATTTTTAATATTATTGTTGTGTTTATTTTTACTTCTTACACGTAATACGTTTTCTACAACTACTATTTTTTATTATTTATTTATTTTTTTTGTATTAGTTTTTAGTTTTTATTTTGTTTTGAATGCGTCATTAATTCAGTTTAAATTTTTTCAGTTACTCACTAAAAACGGTAAAGTCTTAATAATACTTAAGAATAAAAGGGGAGCGGAGGAAAAAACGCGAATGCTTAACAAAGAGAGTTTGCTTAAAGCTAGAGCAAAGTAACTGAAGAGTGCTAAAAATAGAAACAATTTATTTCTCTCTCATTCTTACATATATGCATGTATATGTAATTTATTACAGACTAATGCTACAGCAATTATCTTACACACATAAATCTAGTCTATGCACTTATTCCCCTTTTTTAACTACTAAAACTACATTTTCAGTTAACACCGCATTTAAGCCATTTTACTTTCATTTATCTGCCATGTTTTAATCCAGCACTAGTTTTCTAATGTGTTACCATGTTATTTCTTTTATTTATTTTTTTATTTAATTTTTTTTCTTTTTTGGCTATGCACTACTTATTTTTGCTTTTCTGCATTGTATGTAAAAAATTCTACAATTTCATTTTTCCACTTTTTTAAACATCTTTATTGTTTTTTGTTTTATGTTTTTTCTTTCTTAGCAAAAACTGCTTTATTCGCTACAAAATTGAGTCCTTAAGCAACACATACATTCAACGCGCATGCGCCACCTGCTGCTTATATGTTGTATGCGCTTTGCTTTTACAACATTTTCAAGGATAGTAAGTCAATACTAACAGTTTATCTTCGTGTTTTTGGACTCTTTCTAAATCGCGCTCGCACTCGCGCTCTCTCTAGCTTTCGCTCTCGCTCACATTTTCTATGCATACCCACTAACTGCGTTTTCATATATAATAAACTCTAATTTTCAAATTAATAAATAAAGTTATTAATTTTTATTTTTAATTTCACATTTTTGTTTTCTTAAATGCAATTTCGCCGTTATTACCCCGCCCTTGACTTGACTTAAATTAATATTAACGTTAGTGTACGCCATTTTTGTTTTGTTTCCCTAAAAAATGAACGCTCAAAACAGCCATGTCGGTATACCTGACCGCACTTGCGCTAACGCGTTCTTTTCATTTGCGTTTTGTATGCATTTACGTAACGTAACGTATCGCCTGCAAATGTTGCAAACAATTGTGTTTGCCAATATTTTTTGTTTGCCTTTGCTTCAACAATTCTTCATTATCAACCGCTGGTCAACTTATTCATTTATATAAAGTTTTTTATGTGTTTTATTTCGGTTTTTGAATTTATGTTTGTTTTTGTTTGCAAAAGAAATCATTTTATACAAATGTATTTAACAAATTTTCATACACATTAAATGTGTGTTTACTTGTGTGTATGTATGTGTATTTATGCAGTTGGAGACGGAACGTACAATGTATTTATGTTTTTTTGTATTAGTATGTATGTTATAGTGTGGCTTGCATTCTTTACGCTTGCTTGTCCGGCAATTTGGTACTTTGTATGTACACCTTGCCACCTATTTATGTAAATACTCGTCGCTTTGCTTCTGCATTTCGCAGTTTCATTACAAACTATTATGTATATATGTATGTGTTTACATTTTCTTCTTCAAAAAGTAACAAATAAAAATATAACGGTTAAATGTCATTTATAAAATGAAAAACTCAAAGAAATTCAACAATCTTGTGTAAAATTTCCAGTAAACTTGCTTTGCTGCTTTTTCAGCTACTTCCTCTTTTACAACAACATCAACGTATGCTTCGCTTTCATTTCAACATCTTCTTTGTTACTTCTTTCAAACGGTCATTCTTGTTTTCTACTTTAAGTATTAAATAAATAAATTGGTTTCACCAATCCCCCACTACACCGTTAGCTTATCAACTTTTTCTGCTTCTACATATGCTTTCTCTACTATGTTACTTATGCGCTCATTACATATCATCGTTTCGTTAGCTCATTCAAAATGTAAATACTTTAATGTACTCTATTACATAAATACATTCAAAATTCCTTGCATGTTTTTAGCGGGTATTCAATTATTTTTTCATATTTCTTTTTTGTTTTCATTTTATGGTTTTTAGTTAATTTCCACCGGCCAGCACATCGTGTTATTTGACTAACGCTTCTTTGTTTATTTAAATATTCAAAAATACAATCATATTGCCTGCTCATAAGATTCTCGTCTCGCCTACTAGCCACTGCTTGGTCGTGTGCCGCCATTTTGTGTATAGTTTGTTACTCTATTAATTATTATTATTATTTACCCGCTTCTTCAAGCCTTTGTTGCTGTTGCTAGTTATACGCTTGTTCATTACAAATGTCGCTTTGCTTTTCACTTACATTTCTTTTAGCGTTTCTTATTACAAATTACAAATGTACATATGTAAGTATATATGTAACGCTTTTAGCAATTGTTTTCCATCGCTTCGGTTCTTGTTTTTTTTTCAGCGTTTTATTTCGCGTTTTTCTTCAATTTCTATAAGTAAGTATGTATGTATGTGTATGTTTAACTTAGTCTTTACATTTCTCTTCATTTTATTTATTCAACTTTTTTTAAAATGTTGCCATACTTGCATTCATTATTCTTGCAAACAAATATAAAAGATTATTTTTATCCTTTGTTTACTTCTGTTACATTTTCAAGTTGTTTTGGTTGCCTTCTCTTACATTTGCTTTGTTGCAGAAAACTGCATTAAATATTTGTAAATCATTTGCTTTCACTATTTTCGTAGTGGCAACCTGTAGTTCATTATTTATTTGTATTTTCATTTTTATTTTATTATTTGGTTTATGTTCTATTTGCTTTTATTGTTGTTGGTTGTCGCCGATTTCCTTGTTGCAGTTACTGTTGTGGTTGTTGTTGTTTAAGTTGTTGCAATATTTGTATTGTTTTGTGTTCTTTCGTTTTGTCCTTCCACTTGTGGCTTCTATTTGTTGTTGTTGTTATTATTATCGTCTATTCTACTGTTGCATATTATTATGTTGTTGTTCGCGTTTATCCGATTCCACTTCCAACTCCCATTAGAGTGTCAATCGCGGCATCATAATATTACATCTGCAAGTGAAAAATTGGCACATTAAACACCGTTAAGTTACTGTTAATTTATTAAATACAAATAAAATATAGTAATAAATCGTTGCGTATTGAAAAAAGCCAAGCGAAAGTCAAAGAGAAAAGTTTGGTCATATATACATATATTAGTGTGTTCGTTATTTCCCAAGATATTTTTCTGCCAAACGTCCTCTGTACCTCAGTTTTTACTTTGGTAACAAGAACCCAACGTAAATGAGCTCTTGAATTTCACTTTAAACCGCGCCTAAAATATATTTCCTTTCCATGTATTTTACATGGCATTTTTTCTATATTTTGCTTTGAGCAAGTAAATCGACAATTTTGGTAAAGTGATATTTTAATACAAAATGTTTCTGTCTACAAGAAAGATTCAGTGATTTTTTATGCAAAATAGTTTCTTTAAAAGTTTTACGCTGTTAAAGTAATGTATTAAATGTGTTGGGGATTCATACAAGAGCCTTATAAACTCTGTGAAAGAATCTGTGTTATTATGCGGTTGAGGACGGAATAAAAAATTCGATTTGTAAAATAGCGGACATCCTAATGTCTATATACTTAAACAATTTTCACAACAACATTAATAGTTCAACATTTTAAACCAAAATGATTAGATTATATATATATTAGTATTTTTAAAATTTTTTTCTTAACTTTGAAATGATTCAATTATTCGAAAACTTTATTTTTACAAAATTTTTAAAAACCACTATTAAGAAACTTATAAAAATTAGAATAGTTTTTTACATATTATTTTTTGAAATATATGACAACCGCGGGGAACTATTGCTTTCGGATTAAAATCGTTGGTCACCATGGCGTATACGTAACATATGTTTGTTACTGGGCGTATAAGTAATACTTGTATTATTACTATTAGGCTTCGGAATACAATTTGTGTAATTTTTTTTTTCAAAATTGGAAACATTTTAAGGTAATGATTTATATAACGGATCATGAAATTATCGATATGTTTTATATTAGGTAAAGTAAAAAGTTCGTTCGGTTTTTTATTGAATTTTCAAAAGATGATAACTTTGTGTACATTTGTCCGATTTAAGTCAAATCAGCGCCGTTTTTTTCGCCAACCTCATTATACGCCTCTCGTAGAAGGCTGCGTCCCTATTGGCAAAAAACTCGGAGAGCTAATTTTCACAGGCCTCTCTTGAGGCCAACTTCTCACCATTAAGCGCGTTCGCCATGGACAGGAAAATATGGTAATCACTTGGTGCCAGGTCCGGACTATAGGGTGGGTGCATTAGGACCTCCCATCCGAGCTCCCGAATTTTCTCTTTGCTGGTGTCCATCTTTGACGAGCGCTCACAACGTACTGAGTCAATCAATCGAAAAACTGTCAAGGACAAACTTTTAGCGCGAATAAACACGTTTTCAGCGCCGTATAGTATGACATGATGCGACACGTAACACTAGTACTATGGACAATAACGCCATCTCCTTAATAAAAACGGAACGAACTTTTTACTAAATAAGTATAAATATAAAAATGGATGCTTTTATACTCGGACTAGGATATATTAAGTTTGCCACGAAATTTTTAGCACCCAGCAAGAAACGTGGACCCTATAAACTATACATATACTTGTAAATCATCAGCATGACGAGCTGAGTCGATTAAGCTATGTCTGTCTGTCTGTCTATGTATATAAAGATATCGCTGAAGTTTGGCACACGGGTGAGGAAAGCCCAGAAGCTGCTAATTTTTGGAACTGCTGATATCGGATCACTATAGTATATAGCTGCCATACAAACTTATCGGTAAAAATTAAGTTTTTGTATGGAAAACTTTTTTATTTAAACGTTTAATATTTTTTATTGATTTTGAATGAAAATATGGCTACAACATAATCACCATCTAAATTAATGTAATTGTTGTAACTGCCACTTTTTTATTCCGAAAAAAAAAAGAAATAGACGTTGAGGGTGTTTATGAAAAAGTGTTGCTGCCTCTTGTGCTCTTCCTGAACGGAGTTCATCATTTGACCGTTGAATATCCCCATCAGAAAACAATGTTTTATCAAAACACGAAAGCCACTTTTTTCCATTGTAAGCAGTGATAGCGCCACTTTAAACCCAATAGCTTGAGAACGATGGGATGAAATGCCATACAACTTTGACAGTATTCTACTCAAGGTTAAACGCCCTTTAGTAGTGCTTCTTTAAAAATTGTCTATACTTTTTTTCTAGTGACAAATATGTCGCAGTTTCTAAATTTCTCTACATAGACTTTATTCCAGTATTTAATCCTTGCTATATTTCCTACTCGCTTCATCATATAACGTGGTATTATCATTAAGATTTGATTTTGAAAAACTTTTTTGGATTAAAATACACTTTAGAGCCTTAAACAGTATTTGATTGATAGGCAGCGAAAATTCTCTGTCCAATTTGTCCAACACGCCGTATGTGTTAAGACTGCTTTAGTTAAACGAGTTTTTTTTTAAACTGCATTTTTCAAATCGAATGAAATTGGTATTTGGAGACTATCCACGTATCCAAGTGATATTTCAACTGTAGATTCACAGTAATATTATCTAATACATGTTGTACAATTTTTTGTTATTATTACAGCTGTTCTTTATAAACTATTTACAGCTAGTTTTTTAGGTAAACAAGTTTAATATTTTCTACAAGTTCGCCATTTTGTGAGAAATGTATGAAAAGCAAAAAACATCCCTGTACGGAGTACGTACTAGCAAGTCTCTTGTGGATTAAGATCTTTTTGTTTTATTTAGCCTCAGATAGCATGACTTTCTAGAATCACTGTTGTCAGTAGATACTCGCTTGAAAAAGGTAAGTCAGTTGATTCAATCAAGACTCAATTTAGTTTTTTTCATTGAATCAAACGCGTAAATAAAGTCTAAAAGAGAGGGAATGGATATCTTTTCCCAGAATAAATTGTCAAATTTTTGGGACTCTTTCTTCTTCAATATATCGCCCAATCATTTTATGAGACTTCAAGTATAATATATCCTCGTATTCTAGCAAAATAACGTGAAGTAAAAGAAGGTTTTTTATATTTAAAAATTGAAGAATTTTCGTAGATTTAATTTCTAACATATAAATTAATATGAAGTACAATAAATACTTACATATACCTATAATAAATAGTTTGCACAAAATTAAAACAAAAAATGAATATGTATATAGCACTAAAATTATGATGGCATAAACCACGCGCTACGCACGTCTTAATAGTGAAGGCATGTACGCATATCATACGCAAAGCACATATATAGGTCTAATAGTACAATATTTACAAAGCACTAATATTATATAAACGTATGTGCAGCATATTCATATATGAAACGGCAAATAAGATGAACGCCCACGCCACCAAGGACACACTGGTAACCGACGTTAGCGTTGTTTTGTGTGATGCTGCCGTAATGGTGACGTGCCGAAAAGGTGTGAAGGACACGCAGGATAATATGCATAATGATAGTAATGACCGTCAAACACTAACGTGCAGCATAACCTCCGCAAAACTTAACAAACAAGCAAAGTAAAAATACAACAACAGCAAAAAAAAATACCAATGACGATGCGATCTTTATAAACTGAGCTGAGGCAGATGATGGAATGCTCGAAATGAATCAGTGGCGTAGACGAATAAAATATGATGTATGAATAGAAAAATGAGTGCTCGGCTGATGATTGAGGGCGTATAAATGCATATGTATGTGTATGTATGAATGTATGTGAATATGAAGCTATGCACAAGCATTTCTGAGCAGATAAGCACAAACAGACAAGCAAAGAAGGCAAGCACAAGCAGGCGGCAGGCAGCAATAAAGCACAGCACAGCTCATAGAAAAAAATAGATGACGACAAAGAGCATATGGTAAAGAGTAAATGAAATAAAAGTATGTGGTGAGGAAATAACGGGCGTGTGTGTATGTGTATGCATTTTTGAAGGTACTGTTTGCATTGTAAGACAGGTGAGAAAAATGACTATATTTATAATGTACGGCAAATATGCTTTTGAAATAAAATAATAATAATCATAAAAAATCGCTAAGAATATGTGTCAGAAAATAATTACACAAAAATTAGCGCGCTACGTGTTTGTGAAATAAGACAAAGCAACAATGTATGTGTGTGTGGGTGAGTGCAAGTGCAAGAATGGTTCCTTTAATAAAGCTGGTTTTTGAATTAACGTTGGCAAAACTGCAAAGCTTTTATGAAAATGATATAATATAAAAGTTGAAATGAAATGAAAAACGAAAAAAATAAGAACATATAATAATTCGTTAAGCATTGTACTAAAAACGCCATAAATATACATATGTGTATATATATACGAGGGTAATCCAATAATTATTTATCATACTAAAGAAAAACATTTCTTAACATAGTCTTCTTTTAATTCAGCGATTGTCGAACTTCTTTATACTGGCCAAAAAAATCATTTCTGCGGGTCTGCAAAGTGGGCCTTCGTGGCGGCCTCTTCATTCTACTCAAATTTCTGCCCAGAAAATAATTTTTACGTTTGGAAATCAAAAGAAGTTGTACCAAACTAGAGCATATGGTGAACGGGGCAGCAGTTCGTAGCCTAGTTCTACCAATTTGGTTATGGTGACAGCGGAGGTGTGAGCCGGTGGAAAAGTCAATTTTTATTCGTCAAATAGGGCCTTTTTTGGACATTTTACCTTCTCCGAAACACATTGTGAACCTCAGAAAATGGTGGCCATTCTCTTTTCGGTGGATATTACAGTTTTCGCCTTCTTCGGAGCAGGTTTGCCGGGTAAAGTCTACTGTTTCGAATTTCCGTAGACATCTGGTGTATACCAGTGGATCCATGTTTCGTCGGCGTTTACAAAACGACTCGACCAGGCGGCTCTCTTTAACATGCGCTTAAAACAAAACTAAGAGTTCGCTTCGGCAAAAACTAGACGAGATTAAATCTCTAGCGAGAGTGGCACTATCGAAGGGTTAGACTAAGTCATTGTCAGATCGCTCTCGTATATATATACATATGTATCTCATGTGGTGTTGATGATTTTTTCGTAATATTATAAGCAACGCAATTCAGCAATAGGTTAGGATGACAAGTAACAGGAAATGGGAAGGTGAAAGTACGCTATCAGCTAGCTGACATGCAACAAATCACAATACACTATACAGTTTTTAGCCAATTAAAATTGCTATTTTTTCGTCTCACGCAAAAAGCTTACTAAAGTAACGTCAGCAATGCAAATTGTTCAAGTAAACTAAAAAAAAAAAAAAAATTAAAAAGATTCAACTAACTTTTTGTTCGTGAAAGTGCAAAGTATGTGTTAAACGCGTTTTAATTGTACAAACTATGAATTTAGTAACTAATTTTAACTATAAAACTATTGGCAAATAAAAGAATAAATAATAAAAAATTAAAAAATATTAATACGGTAAATTTAGAATTTTTTTCATTTTAGGCACTTTTAAAAATGTGCACGTAATTTTTTTTTGTTTTTGTTTGGTTTGTAAGTCACACGCACTCACCTCGCGATGACCTATTTGGGAGCGGCTGGATGTGGATACTGTGTATATGCCTCATCGGGTGATGCAGCTGTGCTAGCCTGTTCGGAATCTGTCATTGGCATTGTTGGAATAATTGTTGGTTGTGCATAATATGGATAAGTTGGACTAATATACTGTAATGATGGAGAGAAATTCTATAAAAAAATCAAATAAAGAAAGAAAAACAAATTTCATATTTAACGGTTAATATTCACTTATTTATGGCCAGAACGATGATGATGATCATGATCATGATGATGATGATGATAAAGATGTATAGAAATTTTTGATTTAGAATTTCATTTTCAATTATTTTATATACAAAATTTGTGTACGGAAATGGATAGAGGACATGGTGGATGATGCAATTTTTGCTATTTCAGGTGTATATATTCTAAATTCAGTATTATATGTAATAAAAAAATTTTCTTGTTTTTAAAAAATGAAAAAAAAAATAAATAAATAAGAAACTTTCATTTTCGGCAAAAGTTTTACCCAAAAATTGTAAAAAAAGAAACACAAAAAATATATATGTAAAACTTGAAATAAAATCTCATAAAAAAAATTGTGCTGTTATATGAAATTGTGTTGTTGTAATTGAATTTGAACCAAACGTGTAATTACACACACATACAATAGAATGGTTGGTAAACATTGTGACACAACAAAAAATTAATTTGTGCTTCGCAAAAAATTTGATTGTGATAATGCTCAGCAATTGCTGTAATGCCATAAGTCACTTGTGCTCAGTGGATGAATGTGGATTTTTAATCGCTTTTATAATAAGTCAATACATGTATGCGAGTGTCTGACTGAACGGGTCTTAACGGACATATTACAAAAATGAGTGCAGTTTCTGTAAAATGTTAGTCAACTTAAAATTTCTACTCACTTATTATTAAAATTTTTGTTTATACTTACGGAATTGCCAATTTGCAGTGTGGCTAATTGTGGCACCATTGGTCCATATGGCACAGACGGATCACCACTGACCATCATCGAGATACCGCGTGGTTGCACCTGATTTACAGCGTCTGGTTTGTAAGATGCGACACCCAATTGTGGGGCAGCAGCCATTTGTATGTACTATGTGAGAGAAGATATTACAATATATTAGAGATTTTGAATGATTACAAGTAAATTACTTTATTATATTGAAAAATTAATTTGCGTCGTAGCTATAGTATCCTTTACAAATAAACAAGCTTCGATACAACTTGATTTTGATCGATCAGTTTGGTTTACAGGCTCAGGCTCGTCACTATCAAACTGAGCGACGATAGTACTCGGAGACTACAAGTACTGCAAGTATTCGCCTAAAAACTCTACTAAACTAGTTATGAGTTTTTCAGTCAAAAATTTAACCTTTAATTTATATGTCTCTCATTTTGAGACATACTTTACTAGCAATTCTAATGTGGATCAATATCGCGTTATTTTTTTTCGCTAGCACGAGTGCCTAGTATCAACTACGCTCATCGGGTTCTCTGGAGGAAGAGCGATTTCGAAGATCGACCCAGTAGCCTATGTTATGTCGCGAGTGTTCATATACAATTTAATTTTTAAATTCGAAAACATGTTTAATAAACTATTTAACACTACTTTCGCAAGTCTCTCTTGCTGTTTGTCTTGGTTTGGAATGCTATTCTTAAAATAACTGTGGACATTCATCATTTTACAGTATATTTATCGAAGGGGTTAACTATTAAGAGGCGCCGAAAATCATTCAGAAAACGAAAATAAACAACTTCATGAACATATGTTCTATTATTGTTGTTGTAGCGGCAGAAAACATTCCTATAGTAATTTCTTAAAATGGTGCTGAGTTGATAGTCCTTGGCTGGGTAAAAATTAGATTCCGTTCCGGTTATTTAGATCCGACTGTCGTGGGAACGGTGAATGTAGATGCAGAATGTCAAAGGAAATTGAAAGATGCTGTTAAGCAGGACAATACTGTATATATAATATATCTTCCTTAGTTATGTAATGTCATCAAAGCGTAGCTTTGTACCGTATCAATTGAACTGAACAAAACGCAATGAAAGTGCTGAGGAAGAAAAGTAAGTCTAATTTACTAATCTGTGTATTTCCAAGATGACTTGGACGAGTGTATATAAGATTATAAGTCGCACAGAGTAAATCATGTCTTTATTAATGCTTCAAATTGTTTGGATATGCGTTTGGACTGGACGTCTCTGGGTACTTAAAACAGGTCCGAAAGCTTTGTGTAGTTTGTTTACTTAAAATTAGATTTTATATTTTTTAAGTCATTAGTTTAAGAAGTATTATAGCGTTTCCCTAACTTAAGACATGAGTTTTAAAAGAAATGTGTATTTCAGAACACACCCGGTCTGTATTCTTTAAATTTATACATTTACACCGTTCCACACACGATTCCACTCCGACCACAGCGGAAGAATTGAAATCGTATACTGATTCGATGAGGTAAAATTTTTTTTTGATATTTTACTTACTTGATCCTCAACTTGTGGTATTTGTTGTGTCATCATATAACCGGGTATCCATTGTGATCCAGTTGTCATTGGATAGCTACTAACCGGTGGTGCACTAAAACGTGAATACGGCACGCCGATTGGTGTGCCAACATTAACACTAACACCATTCTGTTGCATAGTCGGATCATAAGTGACCGGCATCCCTTCGGTGGGATCACGCCACGTTCGCGCATTTGGATCAGGATTCTTATAGAGATTCTTCTTTTTTGGACCACCATCGGCGAATTTAACCAAAAGTGGATCTTTGGCACCCTGTATTGTATTACCATTGAATATCTGTATGATTTGCTCACACTTCTCGCGACTCTCCATGCGTGCAAAACCAACACCTAAGGAAAATTACGAGATTATTTGGTGTGAAATTAATTTTGGATGATGCTACAGTTTAGATTCTGTCAAGAGAGTTTACCTTTTGAGTTCATCTGCTGATCGCGCAATATGCGAGTGGACACAACTTGTCCATATTTTGAAAGCATATTCTCCAAGTCCGTCTCTTTGAAATGTGGTGGCAAATTTGCAATGTACAAATTTGTTGGATCCTGTTCTTGTTGCTGTTTCGTGAATTTCCATCATAATTGTAAGGATCGCGTGTTGAAAATTATGTGCGTGCGTGTGTATTTGTGGGTGTGTTCGTATAAAAATGATGAAATGTGATGAGTATACGAATATTTCGTTGAATTTGTTTAATTTTTTAATTAAATTTTTGTTTTTTTTTTTTGCGTTTACAGTGCCACACAAAAGTAAAACGTACAAAGCATATCGAGCGTAATGTATGTGTGTTTGTATATTGCAAGTGTGGTTATATTTTTTCATGTTGATAATGGCATATATTAGTTCAGTGTTGTTTTTGTTGTTTCAAAAAAAGTGTAGTGTTTTGATGCGAGTTTTTGGTGCATTTTTGTGTTGTTGTTGTGGATTGTTGAAGTTGTTATTATTTTCGAACGCCGGCAGTTTTCGTAAATTTTTTGGTTTAGACGTTGCATTACACGAGCATTAGATGAAGAAATATTTGGAAATAGAACAGTTTTTGGTTAGTTAAATTTCATTTTTGGGCTCATATTTTTGGAAAAGCGTGTAAATGTAAGTATGTATGTGTATGTATGTATGTAAGTATGTGTGATATTGTATTCAATTTGTATGCATGTAAATACCTAGTTATATATATGTTTGTATGTATGTATATGCTTATGTATCTGTATATGTGTGTTAAATATGCCAGTGTAATGCTGGTCTTCAATGTGAGTTCATTTTGTTAGTGTACGTAAATGACATTACTTATATAACCTATTCAAATACTTAAAGAGTAGTCTATTTAGTAATTATTTATGTACATATTTTATATCAAAAGTGTGTGTTTGTGTTTCCCTTTTAATTAAATTAATAAAAAAAATAATTTCAATAATTTACTTCATTTAATATTATTGCAAAAATCGATGAGTTCATTACAAGACTCTCAGATTTTTCGATTTCTACTATTAGGTAAAGTTGTTTTCTCGAAAACTAATGGTTTCCATAAAATTGCGCTTTCATTGATATTATCGATCGATTTTTTCAAACTTGTCACTCGAGAATGCAATTTAACAACATTTCTCCGCAACTATTTAAGAACTCTGCTAACATCGGAGGAGTTACATATTTATCGGTTGATTTAGTGGACTAATAAGCCAGTAGGTTAAAATGGCTGTCTTCGATTCGCCAAACATTAGAGAGTAGTAAATCGAACCAACTAAAACAGTTCTTCAAACAAACTGTAGCACTTGCGTTGAAACCCTGTGCTATCATATACGCTGTCGCATGTTTCTTCTTTCTTGGATGAATAATGTCTTCTTTTCGCCATAAGAAACCACTTAGCTTCAAGGCTTACGTTTTCCTATAAAACTATACTCTATTTCAAGTTTTAGGTTTTAAATAAAAAAAAATTTATGTATATTCATTTTTGACAAAAATTGTCATAAAAGCCATTCGCAATAGTAAAACTGGTCTAAATGTGTAAAACAGAACTTGCTAGCATTGATGATAGTGGTTATACGAATTTAATGAGTATATTGCGTATCGCAATAAACGCCTTTTACTTCGTAGTTGAGATATGGCAAATTGAAGACAGCTAGAGTAAAAGACCTTTCATAATACTTTATGAAACGTTCAGTTTGTAGAAATCTTAGTTACGTTCATCATATAATAGTATTTGGAACACATTCTCTTTAAGATGTCTACTAAGAACTGCGTTGCTAATAATTGTAAGAGCAACTAAAATAACGCTAATATTTTTGACTTGATTTGAGGTTACTTATGATTACGTGTTTAAATATTATTTACCACGACCATGATAGGTTAAAGCAAATTTGTTTTTAGAATAAGTTGACCCGAACGATTTTGAAAAACGTAAATCGAATGCAGAAGAGAAGTTTGAGATATGTTTGGATACTTATGCATATTTTCAAAGAAGTTTTAAGCTTTTTACTACTTACTACTTTTTTAAGTTAACTCTTTGGGGTTAGGGCAGATCGTTTTATGCAAAAAATTTAAATATTTTAACTTTCATGAGTTAATATACACACACTTTTGATATATCCTCACATAATCTTAATCAATGTTAGTTACACAATATTTAATATTATAAAAGCTTATGGTTTGTTCATTTGAGTTGAATTTAGACCAAATACTTGAAGCTTTTGTGCATACATATGAAAATAACATATCCAGCAACTAAGTGGATTTGATAAATTAGAGAGTCATGGAAAATATCACATCTCAACCAATTAAAGCTGAACATTAGCAAAGATAATATTCCAGCGTCTCATCATTCTTTATTAATTTAATATCACAATATTATTTGAATTCTTATTGTAGACATTAAAGATCTAACAATGATTTTGTGCCATACGAGTATGTATGTATATCGAGAACTGTGAACCATTAATAAGCTTGATATTATTTTGAAGAGGAAAGTCTTATTTTTAGTTGTAAATATGGCTCTAGTACTATACTGTGTATATAATGTATATATAACAGTATCAGCAAATTTTTCTAAAAGGTTGTACTTTCAGAACCACGAAAACAGGGTGTGTATGTAGAGTTTTGTCCGCCAGTGTACATACATACTAAATATCAAACTATTTATCACAACTCCTTTATAAGTCTTATTGTTTTTATAACTACTTTTTGAATGCACTTTTTTCCAAATATTTTTATCGCATTTTCTATAGACAAACCATAAGCTTAAAATATTTGATTTATAATCTTAGTTTCTTAGTAGTTTTTAGTGACAAATATAATAGGAATTAATATACGTAAATATGTATATAATTATGTCTACGAGTTGATAATACAAGTATAATACTTTTAATAAATTTTAATAGTTTTGGGTTTATAAGGCCGGCGCAGTAGTAGCTTTTACTATTTGAAATGATTTTTATTCTCTGGACTAATCGGAAAAATATATTCTAATTATAAAAAGGGGTTATTTACGCAATTACTAAACGTTAAATAATTGTCGCTTAAATCTTACTATTACGTATGTAATTCACATTATTAAAAAATGGTCTAGTATGGTTGGTTTAATGGTTTAAAAAAAGAAGTCTATTTGTACAACTTAGTACTAGAAACTATTAAATGTTAATTACATTATGTATCAATTATACTTTTTTTCCGTGGCATGTTAAATTATGAATAAGTAGTCGAAAGATTCAAGTGTTTTTTTAGAGTTGTTGACTTCATAAACAGGCGCAATAGCTTGTCCCGTATACAATTTTGTGTGAAAAGAGCTTTAGATTCTTGCTGCTGTTCTGTAGTCTTTCCCTCGATTAATAATGTCTACTCGTATTTGAGGGTTAGAAGATTATTTCTCTAATTATGTAGTCTCTTCTGAGATTAAATATTACTATTTGAGAGTTAAAAGATAAATTCTTCAATTCCGTAGTCTCTGCTAATATTAAACATTATTAGTGAGAACATTATGTTTTTTGAGTTAAAAAATTATTATTTGAAGCTTAGAGGATTATTTTTTCAATTCTGTACTCTCTATTATGTTTTTGGTCTAATTATTATACATTCTGTTTATGAAGTTTTACACTTTCCAAATTGAAATTTAGGTATGTCAGTATTAGTCGCAATTAAATAAATCATTAGAACGTTACTAATTTTTTTTTGCAAAATATTTAAGTACTCATTAAAATTATAACTAACTATGTAAACTCTATTTAATTCTATACAAAAAAGAGATGAATGTGTAAATGGTTTCTTTGTATAGGTAGTATTTTGGTCGTGTTGAGATAACTACGTTCCAATATGTTCCGTTTCGCTAATTTTATGTTTATTTGTTGTCATATTTTTAAGGTAAATGTTATTGTGATTGTATGTAAAAGATGATGTATGATTCCCCGCTTCAATACTCTTGTCTTTTCTTTACAATAGTTTAGGAAGTTTATTTACACAGTTGGTTTTGCAGATGTTTGTAAAAAATATTATTATTTTTTATTTTCTATAGCAATAAAAACAACAATAAGTCTTTCCCTAACTTCATATAATTAATTATAATAATTTTGCCCTAAATCATGAATAACTTCTCGTCATTCAGAGACATTGAGAGTCAAATGTGAGTAACGCACATCAACTTGAAGATCTGATTCCAGTTAGATTTAAAATATCCGTTTTTTTATTTATGCCCTATGAACTTATTTTGCACTTTAACATAGAAACTTTTATATTTATAATATTTATTCTTTATTATTTGCTTTAAAATCATAAAGCAGTTGAGAATTATTAGAAAATATGAACCTAACAAAATCAACTCTGTGTGGTTATCGCCCTATCATGCTCAATTTAATGTCGTGTGTGCTGTAGGATGAATAACTGAAAATTCTATTTTAATTTATTCCTAAAAAAACTACTCATAGTATACTAAATACTCTCTCTTTAAAGTCAACGCTTTCACTAAAATTACATTTAAAATAAATACTAGTTTTTTAACTGATTTTCTAGAAATTTACGCTAAAAACTTTTGTACCATAAATTTATATAAAAATACATAAATAATTAACTTACTAAGTACTTATATATAATTCAAACATTAGTTGGTTCGTTTTAGGTTTCAATTAACAATGGTACTCAGTTACCTACATTCCGGAGCACAAACTTCTAAATTAGTTTTGTTTCTTTACTGCTAAAGGAATCATTAGAGAAAGTTAATACTGCAGTTTTATATTTTTTATACAAATTTTTATAATTATAATATTGAAAGAGTGTGACTTGCTTCGGAAGATCAAATACGAAGTTAAGATATTGAGAGAGAGGGAGTGAAAGAGTGTTAGATTAGCAGAAATATTAACTGATTTTAGTTAACACTAAATTCCGGTAATTTTTTACTAGATCGCATACTAAAAAATAAACACAAATGTAATGGTGGTAGTTTAAGGATTAAAACTTTGTAGATTTTAATATGTCTTATAAATTATTAACTGCTGCATATCACAAATATTACATATTAGATATGAGCTCTGCAAGCTTTCATTTTGATGTATGATATGCTTTCCGCCATAAGTTAATGAAAGCTTTTAATGTATTTTTAATAAAATCATTTAAAAAGGTGGTTTATCCCTTGCAGTATAATATTTGGTATAAAAATAAAGAAAGCTTTTGTGAAAGCTTATAACTTATTTTAAAAAAAATCATTAAAAAAAGAAAGTTTATTCTTTGAAGTACATTATTTCTTTCATGAATGTAATGAAAGCTTTGGGTGAAAGCTTTCACTTTATTTGTTATGAAGTCATTAAATACGAAAGCTTATTATTTGAAGTATATTATTTTGTACATAGCTAATGAAAGCTTTGGTGAAAGCTTTATTTCTTGCATTAATTATTACCCGACAATTTTCTACGATTTTACGGGTTTTCGCAAAATTCTGCCTCTCTCTGTCCCTCTATTATTGTATTGAATCTTCTAAAGCTTACTCAAACTACAGCTACATACATACATTCATAAGCTCGAATATAATTTTCATAACATGGATACGCTATTTATGTACGAGTATATAGGTATATATAAAATTTAAATTTTACGCTAATTAACAGCTGTAACGAAAAACATGAGAACTATTTATACAAAAAATAAAAATAGAGTAACATAGTAACATACATACAAGTATAATATACATGTACGAATAATGTCTATTTGAAAATTTCACTAATGATTCAACTACATTTGTTTCAAGTATGTTTTTGGTTTCTATTACTAATATTTAAGGTCATAGGATTTTGGGAGCACTACAAATATGAACTAAGAAAATATATTTAAAAAATTAAAGAGAAAAATTGAAAATTAAAATGAAATTGAAACTAATTTTAAATGGAAATATATGGAAAAACTACCTAATGTATTTATTTGCTACGAACATGTAACCATTTAGCTTAAGTTACCTCGCTTGAGCACGTTAATATGCGAAAACGGAAATGCTTTGTAGAATTTCTTCGTAAAAAATAAAAGGTTTATATTGAATGTTATTAAAAATTTCTAAGAATTCATACCTCTACAATACCGTTAATTGTATTATATCTATTTTCGGACAGCTGGCTAATAGTGTGCTGAATTGTTTTCTAAATTCAATATAATTTAACCGTTTTCTTTTTAACGAATCAGGGAACAGGGGACGTGGACATGCTTCGTTTCATAGAAAATTTGCTGGAAATGTAATTATAATGCTGTTTAGCAACTACCATGGCAATTGGTTAAGTTACTAACGTATGCACATCGATACGTTGCAACAATGTGGAGAAGACCTCACACACACAGACAATCCAATTTGAAGGACTGAGTGTTGCAGTGCAACAACGAATAAAGCCATTTTCCTTTTATGATCCATCATTGTGGGCGCATAAAAACGCTATTAAAATTAAAGACGCTGAAGAGAACGTTACGCCAAGGAAGCGGTGACAATCAATTTTTGGGGTGGAAGTTCCTTGAACTCATTACTTATTACATATGTTTGAGTGAATATGTGTGTGGTGTGCTTGAAGAAAGCTCACAGGCGACCAACAGGATGTGGAGCTCGCTTTTGTTCTTGTTTTGTATGTGTGTGTGTGTATGAGTATTTCTCGTAGCAATTAAGTGGCTTTGTGCAAAACGCTGCGATACAATGTAGTCAATCTATAAATGTGTTTGCTGGCTTATTTGTTGTTGGCACTGAAGGAGATAATTAGAGCAATGAACGGTATAGTCTTTATATGGGCGTTAATATAATGTCGGACTTATGCTTATGGCAAGCGGAGGTCATAAATTGAATGCACTGCGGATTTTTTATGAAGAATTACATTAATTATACAAAGAAATTGAAATTTTGGAAGGCAGTACCTTTCAAGCGTTAAACGATACATTATATTTATATGGATAATTGTTGTTGTTTTTATGGTATGCAATTTTTAATTTAAATAGAACCCTACTGGAATGACATTTTCAGTCCACATATGACTATCTTGTTATAGTTGTAGGGGCAAAAAAGATATCCCAAATAATAACGGATAGTGGTGCAGAGTCATTGGCTCGTTCCAGTGAAGGAGATCCGATTGTCGCGGAAACGGATACGAGTGCATTACAAATATTGCTGTGGCAGACCCGATAATAAGGTCTTTCAAAAAAAATTATTGTTGCTACTTTACTCTTGGATTCGCAAAATTATGCCCTTAGCGATTTTTTGCCTGTTAAACTTTCTGCTAATAAAATAAATGTAGTTTTGCCTACGAATTAACAATTCACTTCAGAGCGGCGGTCACAATAGTGGAACTTTTTTGTTAGATGCACAAATTTGTATGTATTTAGTCAATATTTAAATTTTTACTCTTGACTTAGTGGAGAACAAAGGAAAACTTGGGCACTGGACCATAATGATCTAGTTGTATAGTACATTAATCTAAGTTTTGTGACAGGATACACAAATTTCTCTGTATTTGTAAATATTGAACTTTTTAATGAATACTTAATGGAGCACAGCAGAAATTGTGGGAACTGGATCCCGATTAACTAGTTGTGCACCAGTCTAAATACATGCCGACAGACTTTACAGCTTCAGCTGAGAACGATAAATAGCAGCAAATCAGCTTTATCGTAGCCGTTTGAAGTCCGAAGGTCTAGAAATCATTTGTGTTAGTCATCTTAGAAGTTAAAGTACTGCGAAAAAAACATAAATCACACAAATCAAAGTACTAAAAAAACTTCACAGATTAGATGAAAATAAACGAAAAATACCTAAAAATTAGATTTATAAATAAATAACTTTTCCAAAAAAAATTAAGACTTATTGCTGTTTTTTCTCATTAAAAAATATCGACGAATATCGCACAAAAAAAAAACACAAAAACGTATCTATTAATAACGAAACCCAAAGAAGGAAATATAAGTTTATATAAAAGAGAAATAAAATATAGACCAACTATATAGAAGTGGGGGTGGGGGGTGAGTATTACTTGCATGCAAACAAACGTACAATGGCCGGCCTATGAAGCACCCAGATACCCACTTTGGCCATCTGAGCTTGAACGCCCTTAGCTTGTAGACCTTTGACGGCACCCTCGGCATATGCTGGCAACTCGAAGTCGACAAAGCCATAACCTGAAACGAAAGAATATTTTGTTTTTGTTTTCGGCACGTGAGATAAGCGTGTTTATTTTTGCAACATGTTTATTGCGATTCAAACAAAGAAATCCCGTTTCGAAAAGTGTGCATTTAATGTTTGATGAGTATAAAATTTATTTTAAATATTTATGAGTGGGTAGAAAGCATTTATGTGAAATTGAACCAAAAGAGAAAAAAATGTGGAAAAATTTTACAATATGTTTTTTTTTTTTTGAAACAAAGGAAAACAAAAACAAAATTTTCATTGAGATAAAAGAAAAACAAACAAAAACACAAGAGATTAGCATTGTTTATTATAATTCGATAATGGTACTATAAATTTGAGTGATCTGGTTGAAAATCGAATAAAGAAGCCTATAAACGAAATACAAAGTTCGAAACAGTTATATATGGAGTCTGATTTTTAATTAGAGATATTATTGATTACTTTTTAATTTTATAACTTATTATATAAGAAAGTTTTATTTTATAAGTTTATAATGCCAAAATCAATAATGAATTTTTATGTACTCTGGTAAGTATAACTAAGAGTTCTCCACATTTTTTGGTTTATTACCAAATTTTTTTATTATAATTTTTTTTTTAAACTCTACTCTTTTAATGTAATATGTTTGTTTATGAAAATTTTTCTCCAATATTTTTCATTATTGCCGTAAATTTTTTTAACAATATTTTTGTAAATATTATATTCTTTATCATTTTTTTTTTTTTAACGAATTAATTTTTATTATTTTTTAACGAATTTGAACTAATTTGTTTAAGCTGTTATTTTTTACATTAATTTTCGATTTGTATTTTGTTTCAGAGCTTAACAAATTTCGGATTCTTACAACAAAAACACACATAAATAATAAAGATGAGAAATGGTGAAGAAAAAAAATACCTTTACATTTGTTTGTTGTTTTATCTAAAATAGCCTTGGTTGAAATAATCGTTCCATATCTGTAATGAAAATATTAAATTGTATTTTTAATGAAATAGAAATGTAAAATATAATATATAATTGCACATATGCACATAAAAGTATGGAATTTTGACTACGAAATATTAGTAAATCTATATATATTTAAGAGGCCCGGATTTTCCAAAGTACACCTTAAAAAATTATTCAATTGAATTCCAATTAATTTTTCCACTGTCCAAACAACTGCAATCTTTAAGCGTTCGGGTGAATCAATACTTTTATATTGACGTTTTTTTCGAAACTGCATTTTTCAAATCGGACGACGATGGCACTCGGAGTTATTGCACTTATTAATTTAAAAAGAGAACCGTGACCTCGTAATAATATGACCTTGAAAATGACGTACGATTTGTTTATTATTTACATTTTTTTTTTTTAAAATTACTCCTTGGTTTTGGCAAAAACTTAAACATTTTTTAAAGTTTGTCAGTTTGGTAAAATTTTATATAAACCCAAAACCATAGTATCAAGTCTTCTATACTATTAATTCTCTTTTTTATTTTGTTTCGCATAACATGAATTCCTAGTATCACCGTTGATTTTAGAGATCCTCTTGAAAATGGATTGGCCCCGCCGCCGATATTTTGTGTCAAAATTACAAGATATAATTCTTTCAAATATATGTGTATTTAATACGAAATAATACAAAGATAGAGAAATGCCATTGCTTGCTGCTTACTACTTGAGAAAATTGTCAAAATTAGCTTTTTTTAGGGCTCTAGGTTATGGGGTTACATAGGTTTCATGGCTTCAAAAATCGATTTTTGTTTTATTGCCTTATTTAATTCTTTAACATATCTAGAATATCGTCTTAAATTCTCAAGTTGATCTGAATAATAGTTTTTTAGATACAGTCTTGAAAAGTTGTGCGCTCGAGATCAGCTACATATATAGTCACTAAACACTTTAAACGCAGTATTCTCGAAACTGTGTTTTCAAAGACTGTTGTCAAGATTCCTCCCTTTTTTTGTAAAATTATCTGACAAAAATACAATTTTCACTATTTTTTTTTATTCGTCCAATACCTAGTTTATGGTCTTAACTAAAACAAGTATTTTTTGCTTTCTACCTTTGAAGATCCTGCAAGAAGTTCTGCTGTTAACGCGGAGGCATCTTTTTCAGAGGGGCTGCCTCAAATAACGTCGTATTAGTTGAGTTTTGAATATTTTCTTTTGAATATTTCCCAAAATCTTTGTAAAATATGTATCTTTGTAATAATAAAAAGTTTAAATAAAATATTTAATTTTTTATATGAAAAAAAAATATATATTTATTGAAAATAAGCCGTTTTTGCTTGAGGTAACTCATGTAACCCCTTAGAGAAGGCAATTAGCTGAGACATTTATGACGTAAATTTACTAACAGTTTGACGTTAAAACTTACTTAATTCAGCATAAATTAATGCTCTATAGCTATCTCAAAGGAGTTTTGATTTTGTTTGAAGTCTGCTGAGTGACTAAAATGAGTCGAATTTTATTAGTTTGTAACTTAATATTGATCTTGAACGGACACTAAAACCGAGTTTTACAAGAAAATCAGAAGGGTAAAAGAAACGAATAACAGTTATTCTTATTTTACAAATCAATTGCTTTCCTCTACGCATTAAACATGCTTAAACCGGGTTGCATGTGGACATTTACATCAATTTACTGTCAAATACAATACTAATTGTGCAATTAGTCAATTGCTCCATTTTATTGCAAGTTGAGAACAATTAGGGGTTGAATTGCTAAAATTCTCATTAACTGTCTAATCACACATGACAAAATGAAGGACCCTATAAAGAAATTTCAAAGCACATTGAATTCTGCTGCAACCTAATGAGTAATCCTACTTTCATATGCATCAAAATACAAAACTCTTCCGCTTAAAATCATCATTCGATACTTACTGTGCACACATAGATACTAAATCCTTATCGGTGGTGCCTTGTTGCAATCCTCTAATATACAAATTTGTTTTTGACAATTGTTCACCTTGTTGCTGTGTACCGTTACTAGGACCCATTGTTGTATTTGTATTGGTATTACTCAGACTAGTACTTAAAGTTCCGCTCTGTGAGCCGGTATTTGATGAGCTGCTTGAGTTCGTATTACTTGGCGATGCTGCAGTTGGTACACGCTGACCGTACTGAAATTGAAGCAAAAGAGTGTAAGAATAAGTTAAAGCAAGAAATAAGCTAAATTGTAGCAAGTTATAAAATAACGAAAAAATATCAAGATTGCAATTGATGGATGTTTTTAATCTAAATTTATTTTTTGTAGTAAAGAACCGCAAATTTGTTGGTTATTCTTTGTTAGTTGAGGTTTTACAAATATCGTATATATTATATTTTACTGATACATATGTATATATATTCAACACATACTCGATATTTAATATACTATTTAAATAACTGCATAAAAATGAGAAAAAACATCTTTGATCCCACATAATTTTTTTCTAGTTGTGTCTACTGACTTCGCAGAAAATTTGCGAAAGGTAAATTCAATTGGATTTTTGCACTAATATATCAATAATTATAATGATTATAATTTATTAGTTATTATTTAAAATATTATTAAAATTATTTCTTAAAATTCCTCTTTCTAAGAAAGTACTCATGAAATTACCCTAATTGTTTTTCATATCAAGATAATTACTTCCGAACTCCTATTGCCATATATCACGAACTCTTTTATGTAATTAACAGTATAAAAATTGTGTAAACTTGTGAGCTTTGTGAATGAAATTTTTATCAATTATCTCGTTTTACGAGTATTTACTTATTTATTTTTAAAGATAAAACTAATGAAGGTGTTTTCTTCAATTTTAATTACACTCACAATTAATTGACTTCCGCTCATTATGTAAGAACGTGCGAGCAAACAGCTCACTGTGAGAAAAATTCAGATTAACAATAGAATTACCTAACTCAAAGACTGCGAAAGATAACTGATTAATAATTAAACACAAATTGGTTATTTTTTAATTATTTTATTATAACCTTAGCTATTGTGTATACTCTGATTTGTCGATTAGTGTATACTTATGGCGATCTATTTCTAATAGTGCACTGATCAGAGGCTTTGACACTTTGGAAGGTATAATCAAAATTAAAATTTGGTTTCAATATGAGTAGTTTTTATTTTATATACACCTTCAGAGCCCGCCTGCTTGTTTGTCCTGTAGCGTCGGTTATTATACATAAAAAAAATGAATTATATTTTTTGAGTCCAAACTCAATTTTTTTAAGAAGTTAGATGATTTTAATTCTTTACGATCAAAATTTTTGTTTTTTTAACTTTAACCAAATTTCTTTTTATAAAAAGGGTCAAAACGACACATAGGATTTGAAAATAGAGTTGAAAACTGATTTTTTTTTTATGAAATTGGTGCAAAGAAAGTTTTTGAGCAATATACATTAACTTAAAATTAAATTAGGAAAACTTCTGTACATTGTAAAAAAATTTGATGCTTAGAGACAAAATGTTGAGTTCATAGCTTTATATCAATTCAATACACAGTAAAAAATATATACGTTATATATATGAGGTAATCAGGGGTGTTGTGGAATCCAAGACAGATTTGCGTAGTTTTCAGAATTGTAAACTAATACTGTTTTTCAATGGTGTCACAGAATCTGATTGGATTTTCGTCTTTTCGAACATACGCAACACTAATATTCGAATCAGCTATTTACTATTGTGACAAAACTTGCCAATGAATAAACTTGGAAGCGTTTGATAAATTTAAAATACTGCAGAAAGTCTACTAAAGTTTACAATGAGTTCCGCTTTTTTAGTATTTATTTTATTGGAGAAAAATCAATGAAACTATTAAAAGGAACATATTAAAAGATCACACACAGTAACCCACTTAATGCACCAGGGGTATTACATATGAAATTTGCTTGCATTTATTAGTATGTTTCTATTCATGCTTACTGTACAGCTATATATCACATTACCGACTGAATAAAAACGCATTTGGGTGTTAAGTTTCGTTTATTATGTTTTATAAATCCTCTTAAAATATCTGAATTTTTTCCACAAGTTTAACAATTATAAGATTTTGTGTTTTATTCCTATGTTTTCCTTTATAGAAATTAAAATAAATAAAATAGTAACAATAATAGAAACTAAATCTTAACTTACATTTCAAATCTGTCAGCGACTAGCAAGAGGTTTCTGATAACAGAACCGATAAAATTGGTTTCTGTGACACCCAATATCAATACAATTACTGTTTCGAACGTCAAACCAATAGTCTCTGAATTTATTACATCGACAACTATCAGATTCTACGACACCCCTGAATAATTGTTAACCGCATTATTAAAATACTCTGTCAAACAGTCTATAAAATTTATTATTATATAGATATTTAATTCTTTTTGTAGTTATGACAGTTTTTTATTTTATTTTCTAATACTGATACTTTAGGCAACGCGGCAATCAGCTTTGAGATAATTTTTAGGTTTGAGATATTTTAAAAGATATAATAAAATTGCTTTAGGTGCTTATTGGCTAGCGGCATTACTACGTAAGTGAAAAATAAATAAACTAAAAATTTAAATAAAGTTATTTTAATTGTTTTATATTCGCAGAAGCTTAAGAGATTCAGTAGACCCCTTGAATACTTATATTCATTCCTTTGTTTAGTTTTATGCACCACAAATATGATATGTAAATTTATTTATGCAGAGAATTCGATTTCGAAAATTCCTTAACTTATTCGCAAACGCTTGAGAAATGTCTTAATAATACATACATAGACACATGTAAAAATTACTCGGCTATGTGTTCTGTTTCAGGAATTTCGGAGTAGACCACAAAATACTCCAACGAAATGCAATAGTGGTCCAACTCGTGTCTACATACGAGTTTGTTTTTACAAAATCATTACATATGTGTTCTTGATCGAATTAACTGTAAAATGTGGACTTGACAGACGCGCTAGAGGATCTTTTTATTTTTCAGGAGAGAATTCAACCTGAATATGAATATAAATATATATATTATATATGGTATATTATATTTTTTCAAATGCTTGCTTATAACAATTAGTTTCGAAAGTGGTTTCCAAGATATGTACACCAGTTAGTAGTGATTTGAGAGTAGTAGGGAGAGTAATTACTAATATATACTCCTTGAAGTACTCCTATATCACGCGCAGCAGGAGTATGTAGCCAGGCCTTAGGACACCGCAATGCCAACTAGATGAATATTTATATAAAATTCCAAGTGGAATACTTTTTCATTTACTTTTAATTTTGGCATGCTGTGTATAGTTCTACATAAATATGTGAGCGCATAAATATTTCAGCTTTCTTCAAGAAATTTTTGCACTTGTCATTGCTTAGATTGTTTTTGCTGTTCAAAGTTGATGCGCGTGTGCTATTTTATTCGCAAGCACTACCCATAAGTAAATCCAGTATGGTATCTACCACAAATATTATATACACATATGTGTATATGTGTGTGTGCGCAAACACGTACATTTGTATGCGTACTTGCGTGCTTGTTTGCTGGCGTCACACAAAACTAAGTCAGCCGCCATCAGTGATATAATTTCATTATCAGAGAAGTTCATTGGCATGAAGAATGCGAACAACATGGAATGCGATCGAATGAATGTACAATAACAGCAATAACAATAAATTGACATTATACTAATATGTATAAAAAATGTATGCTTTTTCTAGATAGCAGCTTCTATTGTACATATATAGGAATCTGGTGTGTAGATATCGAGTTTATATAGTTCGCAGTTGTTTCATATATTTACTACGATTTTTTGCAAGATATTTTAATGTGAAAAGTTTAAAAACTATTCTTCATCAAATGGACACACTGCTAACGTTTTCTTGGTTTATACTAGCAAGCAATAATTATAATAAATTACATTAAGTTCAATAATTACATTTGTTAACCATATTGCCAAGCAAAAATGTTAAATAAAATATTAAAAAAAACGTTCTAACACGCGCCCTTGTCTCCCAAACCTCAACTACAGTGTTAAATTGCTAATTAATGGACAGCGTTGCCACATTTTTACAAAAATTATCGAAGTTGTAAAACTTATGAATTTAGTCTTAGTGAAGATGAGGTTAAAGCTTATGGCTGATACCTCAGATAGTCATTATACTATATGCACGTTCTTTTCTCTCCAAGAAGCTGCTAATTTGTTGGAACCACTGATATCAAAGCACTATAGGATATAGTTGCCATACAAACTGAGCGTTTAAAATCAAATCCTGGTATGGAACACATTTTTTTTTCACTAAATTTCGCATAGACAATGCTACAATCTCCGAACAAATTGTTCAGATCGGACCACTATAGCATATAGCTGTCATACAAACTATTCGATTTGATCGGTTACGATTTTAGATTTGGTTATACATTCATATATTTGTTTTAAGAAATGCTTCTGTGAAGGCTATTATAACCGCTGAAGTTAAAGTTTTTTCTTGCTTTTTGTTTTATTGATTTTAGGAATTTTAGACTGAAAGTAAATAACAATAAAGCACAATTAAATTCCGCAGGTACTAAAGGCCAATTCCTAGCGAGATTGCATCATTATACTTAGGGTTATTTGAATAACTGTTTTAGTTTGTTCGATTCGCTACTCTCTAACGCTTGGTTGAAAACAAATGTACAAATTTGGGCGGTAAGGACGGCCATGAGTGCCAATACTGTCTAGGTACAAGAAGTAAAATCTTGTGAGAGAACTATAGTGAGTTTATAAGCTATGTAAATAAACACAACTCATTCACCATTATCGCTTTAATTACGGAACACCACGTCTGCATTCAGAAGTTCAAGTGATTAAGGGAGTTTTGCATTATTCTCCGTTTACGAAGCTGATAAACTGCTGCTATGCGATGGACTCAGCCAATATTGCCGTAGTGGAAGTAGAAAACATTAAAGTAAAATAATGATAAAAGAGATCCACCTTGTACTTATATGAACACAGATGTGCCCAAGTGCCCTTATACAATACTGTGCTATGTATTTCAATTTATTAACATGTGTATATGTAAGTTCCTACATACGTGGGTAGTAAATAACACTATATAGATGGACGCGTATACATTTTTGCTTTCATTATTCGATGTTGCGACGAACGAGTGGGCACTTGTCGCA